TGGTTGGCAGGGGGCTGTCGGAAGGTGCAGTGGGTTAGAGTACCTGAGATACTCAGTCTCGTCTGGCAAAAGACCAAGACGCGCGCGGATTCTACAGACCCTGCAGGGAAGACAGTATGAGGGGAAAGGGCACATGGATGTGGGGAGAGACTACGATGGGCAGTGTATGAATCCGTACAAGGGATAAAGGCTAAGACGACGCGGGAGCCGGCCTTCGTCGTCCAGACCAGCATGGGCAAGCAAATAAAAGTCGCAGATACGGGAGAGAGGAAAAAGCAGACGCAGGTTTCGAGCGGGCGCAAGCTACTATTTATACCCCGCGCTCGACGCCCTCAGCGGCGGTGGGGGCAAGTCTGTGAAAGGGGTATTAACCAAAGTAGTGACCTACCTGACCCGAAGGAATGGGGAATGGGGTTGATGCAATTCATCTGTCATCCGTAGGTTCACTGCCCGAAGTCACTGGTTTGTTGAGGTGCAGCAAATAATGGATTCACGATGATCTGCCTCCATTGGCAGGCCTCCTCCATTTGCCTCTTCTTGCTCGCGCGAATTGCAGCGCTTGGAGACACGCGTTGGATGGAGAGACAACGTCCACTGCTGGCCTCCCCTCGCCTCTTTTCGGCCGTATCACAATACCATGGGGCTGAACAATCGGGTGTAGGGACTGCATACCTCTCAGTCTCCGCCCAACGCCCTGCACTCTTCAGAAGTCACTGCGGGGGCACAATAGCGAACCCTATACTCGATTTACCTATGGTGGTGACTTATACCGTTACCTTGTTTGCCCTGACCGAGCAATTCAAAGATCACCTTCACTCCAGCAAGCGCGCAGTGAGTGACAGTCCGAGTGCCATAATCTAGAGTATGGGGCGAGCAAATGCAGGTTCGGCTGTCGTTGGCGCGGTGAAGTCGTCCTTCAAGTCGGCAAGTCCATGGCGGAAATCCTTGTCTCTATTCATCGCTTGTCAGCGGTATCAAGCCCTATGAAAAGAGTGAACGGCTGGGAGCAAAGCAGGAAAAACGTCAGCGTTTCTTCCAGACCCCCGGACGTCACTAGGAAGTCTCAAACCCAACTACACACCCTACCTTCCGGGTCGGGTCACCAGGCATAGTGACTATCGTACGTCGCAGGCCGGGCCAGTTCGGCATCCTTCCAGGCGTCGCCATTCACCTGCGCCTCAGTCTCTCAGGACTTGGTGGTGGCGTCGTTTGGGATGTCTGAGGCTCAGCGTGCCAGTCGTGCCTAGTGGTTGAAGCGTAGGCTTCACCATGAAGCTTGACGTGTGTTCAGATTGTAGCCCAAAGCATTCTTGGAGTGACACCGGGGCTTTGCTGAACGGATCTGCGAGGGGAGAGACAGGGCTGACAAGTCAAAGTCACCTACCGGCAAGCCGGCATCGATTGGAACCTGTGAACACGGCAAGTGAAGAAATGATCCTGTTCTTCCGGCAACTTGTAAACATGTCGGGCATGAAATGGGACCTCGGGAGGCAATGTGACATGTTGAATCCAATGTGGTTCCTAACCAGTGACAAAAATGCAACGGTGTAGTCACAGCTCATACTCTCAGTTACGCGAATTCACCCTGCGCGGGGGAGATTTTTCGGGCAGCCATCATGCCAGCTGCAAACGTAGGGCCCGAGTGGAGGTCAGGAAGCTTTGGGGTAGGAGAGGATTTGAAACGCCCGTGGTAAGTGTACCGATGCAGAGGATAACTGATATGCATCTCGTCCTATGAGCCTGTCATTTTGCTTCTATCGAGCATCTGAATCAGTCAGCTCAGGCTTCGCGTTAAAATAACGGAAGTTTTGTCGTCTTTGGTCTCCTCTTACTACGTCTCCTCAGCAAGAATAACCACAAAATCATCATCCTCCTCTCGAAAGACAGCATCAAAGCTGACCCCCTCCTCCGCCAGCATCTTCTCGACGTTCTCATCCCCCCCGTCCTCGACAGTATACGTCGCCCCCATGACGTACGGCTCATACTTCTCACGGCTACGCCCTTACCAGATGGATGAGGCTGGTCCTTGGCGCCCCTCGCAATGGCAAGCCCTGTAGTCATGAACAGCCCAGGTGCCAAAGACACTCCGCTCACGCTTTCTTTAGATCCAACTTGTGACCGGATTTACCTCCAAGCTCTGTTCAATGTACTCGCCATCTGGCAGGGAGATCTACGTATCCAGCGCCCCAAAACACCAGAACCGCTTGATGGATTTCTGAAACGCAAGACCTTCTCCACCCCTAGGGCTGATGATTGTAGCGGTCTGCGGAATGGGGTGCAGGGCGCTTGCTGATACGGAGAACGCGGTCGAGGATAATGATGCCCACTAAAGGTCGGTTACGCGAGCGGGATAGATGGGGAGGGAGGGGGCCAGGCAGTGTCGATAGAGAGCGTAAGCAGGATGAGGCCGGAGATGAGGTGGCGGATTGCTGAAAGGGCGCATCCGGGTTATCCCCTCTTACTCGATGCTGATGCACAAATTGAAGCCCGGGAGATCAATGGGGAGACGCCGCTGCATGTTGCTGCGCGGTACGGGCAGCTGGAAGCTGCGAAGGAGTTGCTGAACCGGGGGCCAAAATCAACAATAAGGCCTATTCATCAGTGCTGCAGACGGCACCACTGCACTTTGCTGCTAGAGGGGCAACCACCGCATGATACGGCTTCTCCAAGCTCATGGGGCCGATATCGACGTTCATGACGATGATGGCAAGATGACTGACTCTGGACTGCGCCCGCGAGAAGGTGACGACGCCTTGGTCAATCTTCTCCAGCAAAGCGGGCCAGGAAAATGGGAAGACGATGAGGACGTGGGCGGCGTAAATGGCAGCGTGAGTCACTGGTAAACTAGAGACATTACCAGCGCTAATGTCATTCAGAACATCATCAGCCTCGTCCGACGGCTGGTGCAAGAAATTGGGCGAGCTCTGCGCCCTCCTTCGTGCGCCTCCTGGTAATTGAGAACCTGTACGAGTTGCCATCATCGTCAGCGGCGTTGAGCCGACGCATTCATGCGGAATAATACACGGGTATCGGGGCTTCGTTGGCGACTCTGAGTCGCAGGCTGGCAGAAGCACAGGGCCGGGCAAAACAGGCGTCAATCTCGCCTGCAGAGTGATGAGAAATCCGTAAATACGTGGCTCGCGTGTCCGAGCGCTCCTCCGGCAACGTCGACGCCCGGGTCCGCATTTCCGGTGACATATGTTCCTATCCTCCTTTGACATTTAGTCTGACGCTAAGAATAAACAGGCAATCAAGTGCGCCCGCACTGTCTGGAAGGTCGATATTATGGCGCTCGCGGGGTTCAACAAGCCTCACGACCGAGTGCAGCAAGAAATCCGAAAGCCTGGCACAAAAACATCTTGATTTTTGCGGCGGCCAGCAACAACGGCAGCGCGCATCACCTTGCCAGCGAACATCGCGTCGGCGTCCGAGTTAGTCTGTATGTTTGCCACGACTGCCAACGCAAAGGCTATCACGAGCTCCAACAACCCGTCTCCAATCCCGAGAAGCCGGTATAATTTCGCCATTTTCGGGGTAGAGGTGGTCCCAGCCCCGCGCGAAGCCGCTGTCGGGACGTCCATGGCAACGTTCATTGGAGCAGCGACCGCGGGCCTGATTCTCGACTTTGTCCGGCAGGCTGCGTGGCTGGTATCGTTGGAAACCGATGCTCGCATCTGAAGACTATGCGTGAGATGTCTGCTGTTTTCGATCGGATGGCAGAGGGGCACAGGGGTACGACCGTATGACGCCGTGGAAGCTCCACAGTGGTTTTCACGAACCGCTGTCCATTGCTTATGCTGTCTCGGGAGCACTAGACAAAGCTGAGTGTCGTACGAACGCTGCGATAAGATGATTAAGAAGATGCCGATGAAGCAGATACGATGGGACGGCTCTCGGACGCGGACTTGCCATCTAGCTTGCCTGTCAGCACGTCAGTCATTGACTTTTCTGGTTTCTATTTTCACCTCCTGGAAAGTCCGGGGACTTTCGATTTCAGCGGGATGTATCCCGTTGTCGTCGCTGGCTGAACTCGTTGGGATGGGTTATCTCGAAGCTGGCTGGTTGAGGTAGCACAACTGGACAACCTGGAGCCTCCCTGTCCTTTAGTCAAAACAGACTATCCCAACCCCATCTCCTCATCGCACCCTCAGGTCTCTTCACGTCCCTGTTGAGACGCAAGGGGCAAGGAGAAGGCTGGCTGGCAAGGTAGCACAACGAGTAACCACCCACCTCTATAACCCCCTGTCCTGAGTTCTCCATCTCCTCACTAAACTTCAGTCCTCCACATTTCGATGCCAGACCCTCGTCCCTACGCCCAACATCTTAGCCCACCTTCGATCCTGTCCCCCTCTCTGGCTTAGTCCCCTCACCTTGCGCGACAATGAGCATGAGTCTAATCCTCGGTACCTAGCAAACGGCAGCTCGGTTTAGGTCCAGGACGGCTTGCGGCGTCTTTGGGCTCTTCAGACGGGCACGGTCAGCTGAGTGCTCTTCACTTGACTGGCTAGTTGGATATCGCCCTCACCAGTGGTATCAAGGCAGTTTAAAGGACACCACCTGTCTTCTTGATGAAGAAAAAGATAAGACGACGCAGCGGGCGCTGATGCATTGCGGTCCCGGCTCGATGATCCTTGGTTCTGCGTCAACAGTGGAACATAGAACAGGTGCTAATCTATCCTGATGCTTATATGCGGGAAATATATTTTTTTTGGATTTTCGTTCCGGCAGTTCCGCGGTGCTGGGGCGAATCGAATGTAGAGGCTGTCAAGTGTAGGCCAGAGCTCAACAGATGACCGAAAGATGGAAATGGCAGGCTCAAGGCTTGGCATGCCAGGAACTGCCGCTGATTGGACCGCGGCGGAGGTCCGGATAGCTTCAGCTTCAGCTTCAGCTGCCCCACCCGCTGTCACACCTCACCTCGTCCCTCTTAAATCTCACCGGCCACCCAGACCATGGTTTTTTTCATCTCTTAGTTTTTCCTCATCGTCTAGCTCCTCGCCATGAAGCCCTACATCTCCATCCCCATCATCGTGGCCCTCGTCCACCGCGCCTATTCCCGCAAGGGACTGACGCCATTCGGCATCGTCGTCGCAGCGTTGACAGCTATCGCGCACTCCCTAGATCCGTGGTCGCTGCCACTATTTCTACTCCTCATCTTCTATCTCGGCGCGACTAAAGCTACGAGGGTATTTATCTCACCTTTGCTGCCTTTACCGTCCCGAATTGCCCGCGAACTAACCGACCCTCTCACAGGTGAAACATGACATCAAAGAGCAGCTCACCCTCTCCGCAACGGGCTCCGCCGGCGGCGAAGGCCCCCGATCGCACATCCAGGTCCTCGCAAACTCAATCGTCGCTTCCGTCCTCGCTCTCGCACACGCATGGGTCCTAAGGAATAACAAGGATGGTGCACCGGGGTGTTTTTCGAGCGGGCGCCATGCGCCGGATTTGCTTGTTGTAGGGATTATCGCGTATGCTACCCAGCGAACCATTTTGTGAAAAGAGAATGCTAACATACCTTCCGATAGTAACTACGCCGCCGTCACCGCCGATACATTCTCCTCCGAGCTCGGGATCCTCTCGAAATCCAAGCCGCGCCTCATCATCTCGCCTACGCTTCGCGTCGTTCCCCCGGGTACAAACGGTGGTGTCACTGGGACGGGTATCCTGGCGGGTGCATTTGGCGCATTCACCATCGCTCTCACGTCGGCGATTCTCCTGCCATTCTGCGGCTCGTTCGGAAGCACGGTGAAGGACCGGCTGGTTTTGATCGTCGCGACCACGGCCTGGGGGACGCTCGGGAGCATCGTCGATAGCGTGCTAGGCGGACTCCTTCAAGCCAGTGTCGTTGACAAGCGGAGCGGGAAAATCGTGGAGGGGACGAATGGGCAAAAGGTACGCAGCGCACCCATTCTCAGCGGTAAGCGCGACTAACAAGCTCTCTCTCCTAGGTCCTCATCCACCCATCCTCTACGAAGCCCGGAAGCGCAGCAGAAACCCTCCGACCCGCCGCCGGCGCAACGGGCGCTCAACTCCGAAACGCAGAGACCGCTGCCAACACCGCCGCGCTGAAGGGAACGAGGGTTACCGGGACTTCGGCCGGCACGGAGAAGGGCGAGGAGGAACAGCACGAAAGCCGGCGCGTGGAAAGCGGACACGATATCCTGGATAACAACGCGGTTAACCTCCTGATGGCGGTTATTATGAGCGTCAGCGCTATGGGTGTTGCTAGTTACGCCTGGGACTTGTCGATCTGGGATATGTTCGCCTGAGGATGGGCGTATGTAGGGATCTCTTGATATCTAGGCCAGTCTAAATCTATCGTTTGGTTTGAGTGTCTCTTGGACTGTAGTCGGCTTACATGGTAGAGATCTGCCCTACGCACCTTGCCGTCGCAGCGTTTCCCATCATTACCTATCCAGCGTCCAGAACATCCTATTTTCGGAGTGACACATTCTCGCCCAGCTCATGAATCCAGACCCTGTTCCTCTTGATCTAGCTTTGGAGATACCCGCCACGTTCTACCCTGTCTTACTTTCCCTACACATGGACAAAGCCCGGCGTATCCAGCATCAGCCCCGTCAGCCAATGTCTCAAGCAGCCCTCTCCTCAGGAAACCTTCTTCTTCCGCCAGGCGAATTGCTCTAAGACATCCTCCAGAGATGACGTTGCGCCGCTCAGACATCTCTCGCCATGCCAGACATAAGATGCTCTGGGTCCCCCGGAAATCGTCCTCCATTATTCTCCAGCTCCCAGCATTCAAGCATTCAAGCTCTCAAGCTCTCAACATCCAAGATCCCCGGCAATCTACCGAAGCACTTCAGCAAATACGTCCCCTTCATTGCCACTCCATCTCCTGATGGCCATGTTCTTCGTTCCTTGTCTTCTTGCCATCATCATGGCCACGACCTCGTTCGCCTGCATCGAGCCCAAGGGAACAGTCCGCTGCCACTTTTTGCTCAATTGCAATGACGAGTATGTTGCGCCCCCAGCCCGACCCTACCTACCTTACTCTATTTAATCGTCCGGACTACAACGTTCGTTACCACTCCTCAACTAACCTTCTTCCTCCAGTCTCATCCCGAACAGTATCAAATGCGGCCTCGCTCTCCACGACGTCAATCGACAGCAAGACAACGTGAGCCCTACCCTCCTTCCTTCCTCTCACCATCCAACCTAACAATCAAAAGCCCACCGCGCAAGAATCCCTCGTCTTCGTGCCCATCGAACTAGACCGCTCCGCGATCGACGCCATATCCTCCTGCAACGCCCTTCCCCTGGAACCACTGCCCACACCTAGCGCGACCGGCGCCCGACCTTATCCAAACGTCTACACCGGCCCTCAGTCTCAGCCTCAGCCTCAACCTCACCGTGGCCCTACCCGCAGCCCAAACAAGAGAGATACCCGTCCATCCGCACGAGATTCCAAGCCCAAGGCCAAGTTCCAGTCCCAGGACGAAGTGGAAAAAATACCTCCTCACGTAAAGGGTCTCGCCACCCTTCTCATCTGCTCTCAACTTATTCTCTGCGTGCTGGCCCTTCTGCTTCTTCTTTACATCGCCCGGCAGGAGTATGTCTTCTTTTCTGCCAGAGCGGCCGCTCATATCATCACCCGCGAGTTGGTTTTCTACGACGACGAGGAGGAGGAGAAGGAGGAAGAGAACAGAGAGCATCAAGACAATGTAAGTCTTGCCCATTTCTTTCTGTTGAAACCATGCTTACAAGGTCGCCGCGCAGGGGATCCTCATCGCTGTCCCCGCAGACGTCCTCCCCTCCGCAACCGACGCCGACGCCGACGCCCTGCCCTCCTCACCCGCCGTATCCACAAGATGAATATACCCCCGACGTGCAAAGCGGGAACTCTCTCTCCAGCAGGTGATCCGGATACTCTGTGTTTATTCCGCTTTTCCTGATGATTTGGTGGATGGATAGGGTAGACGCGGGGGGGGAATACTCTGAGTGTTTTGGACGCTGTTGGCGTTTGCTAGGGGTCAGGGAAGTGGCCAGCAAGGTGCTCAGCAGCTTGTTTAGCAAGATGCACAACAAACTAAGAGGAAGCTGTTTGGTGGCGTTGCTTGGATATGGACATGCCCTAGTCGTGGCTCCTTGGTAGATAGACTGAATGAACGAAGTACATTTGGCGTTTGTAGTTCCTACGTATCGGGATGCATCTGGCAGTCATTCCACACTTAGCTATCAGCGAGCCTCTTCCATGTCCTAACCTGTGCGTGCATATGCACATGCATCTTAACTCTCTAGATCCAGGATCTCGTAAAGTAAAACCTCTGTAGTAAAGCACCCTACCTACTGCAAGCATAAAGACCAGTTATTCCATCAAATACCACCTGCATGAGCCTCCATAATACCACTTGCAAGAGCTGTGCACTTGCACAGCCCGCGGCAATCCTTTCTCCCAGAACAAAGGCGTTGAGACATAGGTATCACCCAGCCATAAACAGGCCATGGACTCTTCCAATTTAGGCCAGCAAGATGTCCATTGTTGCTTGTATAAAGGACGCCCTGACCCTGCATCGCCAGAAATCTCTCGTCCTCAGCGCTCATTCAACCTTCTATCCTCCTCTCTTATTGCATGGTACTCTCGCACCCAATCATCCACGCAAGCATCGCATCGACCCTCGACTCTAGATCCGCTCTACGCCCACCTTTAATCCATAATCCAACTGCGCTCGCTCTCTAGCAGTATCGTCATCCATTTGTTATACCCGACGCCATGGCCCACCCCTTACCCCTCGCGTCCGCATCCCTAAGCCACGGCGCAACCGCCGAGATCCGTGTTTCCGTTCAGCTCGTGCTGGAGGGAGGGGACGGGCGAGCCGGAGGGCCGGGGGAAGGGTATGTCTCCCACTCCCATCCACCTGGGCTGCACCGCGAGCCCGTCTCTTCTATCCATGCCCGGTCCACGTATCCCCTCCGCTACTTCTCACTAACGCTAACGCATGCCTTCCCCCCAGAGCTCCAAGGATCCACTACTACGGCTGGCTCGTTGATATCGATGGTGACGGGGGACGGCGCGATGTATGTTCATGTTCACGTTCACGTTCACTTCACCGCACCTCTCCGTCCCCTGCCATCGATGTTCTCTACTAACTCTTGCGCTCGGTACGTAAACTAACTAGGAAATAACATTCTTCCTCGCACCCACGAACCTGATCCCCGCAACACACCGACTACGCACGTCACCAGCCGGATCGCAATTCACGCGCTGCGAAGACGCAGCGTGTCCGGCTCAGCGGCCACGTCGACCGAGCGATGGCGATGGCGATGGCGATAGCGAAAGCAAAGCTGGGCGTGCGACCGAGAACGAGAGCGCAGCGAGGCCAGGGGGAATACGAATACATTTCCATCATGAGAGCGGAGTGGTTGTTGCTTTTGAGGGTGGGGATGGGGGCTGGTGTTTTGGACACCCGCAACGGTAGATGGGGCTTCGGGTTTGGCAATGCATAAGGGAGAATACCAGGTATGGCAGGAACGGTTGGAGCAGGAGGGCTGAGAGGGCATACGGTATGCATAGCATGGGGCTGGGGCGTGTGGTATTGTTTTGCCAGTGTCCAGTGTAAGGGGCCGGGGGGTTAGAGTCTACCGTATTCCATCAAGATCTGGGTCGATATTATGTATGGATGGGGTTTCCATTCGTAGCCTTGGTAGCTGGGCTCGCAGGATGAAATCAAGCCGTCTACTTGTGCTACAGATCTAGAATACAAGGAGCATGCTAGGGTTACTCACATGCCACAATCAATTTGGGGGGGGCTTCAGTGTACGCACTTGGATAGAGTATGTCAGGCTCCCTTAGGGCTGGTTCAGATCGACAGCCCTAACTTCGGCCTCCGGCTCGGCTTCAGGTCGTCATTTCCGGGTTATGGTCATGGTATCACGCAAATGCTGCACAAGAATCAGCGAGGCTCTCTGCTATCATTTTCTATGAGCCTATAATGTCTACTCAGCGTCTCACTGGGGGAGATGAATCCTGTCCCCGCCTTCTATGGTACTTGCTCGGAAAAGCTCAGACGGCTGACCCGGGCCCATATTAACGCATTATAAGTGCAAATCATTCTCTTCTCATTCAAAAAATTCAAAATGCAAAAACATATAGAACAACGCAATCCAACCTATAAACATACAGCCTTACAAACCTTGATAGTACAACCCCACAACAAGCAAAACCCAACCCAGAACCGGGACACCAACAACGACGCCAAAAACCTTCAGGCAGAGCCGGATCCTATCCTTGACGATCTCGCGAAATTTAAACTCATCAAACATCTCATGCTGAACATCGTCCACCATATTCACGAGCATATTCCTCGCCAGCTCCGCAACCCTCTCTTCCTCCTCGGCGCTATCGATCTCGAGATCCGCCTCGTTGGTGTCCATGCTCCCATAAAAGCGTTCGATTTTTCTAGTCGCGCGGGCGATTTGGCACGCGGCGGTAATGAGTTCCGGGTCGGCAAGGAGAGCCTCGGTGTCTTCGTCGGGATTGGTTTTCATGCGGGCGGCGATGCGCGAAGAGAGCGTTTTTTCCTGGGCGGCGACCTCCTCGTCGGCTAGGGCCATGGGTGAATACTCGTCGTCATAGTCAGCGGCGCCGTCAAGGCTGGTGAACAGCTTACGGAGGCGGGTCTGCCTCGCATCAGGATCTGGATTCCCACGCCGATTACCGTCTGTAGCTTTATCAGCTACAGATTCAGCCGCGTCTTTCTCCATCTGCTCCTTTCGCGCTTGCGCCATGACACCCCCCTTCTCAGCATCCAGGAGATCCTGGATCCGCTCGCGTTCCCACTCCAGAAAGCTAAATGTAACCTGCTCGTCGGGAGACGTCCCGGCTTGAAACTCGCTCCACGCTTTCTGGTCGGGGAGGTACTCCCACTCCTGGCGCGGGAAGATATCCGTCTTACGGACGCGGGGCGCCATGGAGTTCATGGACGGCGAGCAGCGGAAGGTGAACTTGTCCTTCTGCGGGAAGAACCGCGACCATGAGTGTTTGGCCAGCCAGGCCATGTCCCAGTCCATGACGGGTTCCTGGAGCAGGATGGTCTTGGAGTGCGGGTGCCAGAACTCGCGGCAGAATTCTTCGTCGCCCCAGGCGTTTACGTCGGAGTCTATCCAGGTTTTGGGACGGGAGGGGCCGGTGATGGGGGTTCTGTGGATGATGTATGGTTTGCGGTTTATCTTGTGGTTGTGCGTGTAGAAGAGTGAGGTTGAGGGGTCCAGGGCGGAGCTTAGTCGTTTGCGGGTTATTGTGCGGGATATGGACTCGTTGGAGTCGGAGCTGGTGGCTGATTCGGTTTCCCAGGCGGAGTCATCGCCTTCGGATTCCTCTTCAACGTAGAATGCAGACTGTGAGTTAGTGGAGGCAGATCGGGATTCGTACCTTTGGAGGTCATCCTCTTCATTCTCCTCCTCTGGACCTGGAGACTGCAGATGACGATTCCCTTGGTCTGTTTGCTTGTCACTAGGACGTACCGCAACACTGTCTTCTTCGTCCTCATCAATCCAGCAGCTCTCATCCTCATACATTCCTTGCTTGAAGTCGCCCAAGATCTCACCTACCGGCGCCTCCGATATCCCCGAAGACCGCCGGCTAAGTCCAGGCCTCTGCCCAGCACGCACAACCTCCTTCCCCTTCCCCTCATCCTCTTCCTCTTCCTCCCGCTCCCGCTGCTGCTGCAGCCAGCGCCTCAGAGTCTCAACACAATCCATGAGCACCCCACAGCGCCCAAGGTACTCCTCATCATCAAGAGCCATCGCAACCTCCATGCCCTGAGCAACCTTCTCCTTCGCGGCATCAGGCTGCCCCTCAAAGAGCAGCACCTCCGCATCACGCAGAATGCCAATCATGCGGAGGGTCTCCAGGTTCCTTACCCCCTGCTCAACAAGCACCTCAATGGGGTCATCCTTGAGACCTTGCACGATCTTCTCGAGCTCCGCAAGCACGGGCGGCGGTTTGGGCATCAGCAGCTCCAGATCTAGGTAGGGGTCGGAGGCCGAGGGGAACAATTCTTCAGAGGAGTCGGGGCTTGGGGTGCGGTTGGAGTTCAGGAGAGCCATGGTTGTGTGGACGGCTCGTGTGGCCTCGCCGTCCCAGTCGTAGTCGTCGGGGGAGTAGCTGTCGATGGTGTTCTTGCGTCGAGCGCGGCGGCGGGCTGCTTTGGAGGTGAACTTGGATGCGGAAGATGAAGGGGGAGACATCTTGTTTGATTTTGTTAGTTCTGGGTGATCAGTGGAAGGTTCTGTTTGGTGCGATGATCAGTCAAATATTCGTGAGGTCCTGTGGTGGAATAGTGGAATAGCTATGGATAACATGAAACGAAGGAAAGGAGTGTATTTAAGCAGCAGGTCACAAAGAGATCTTGGACAAAAGAACGAGGTCAGTCCGTCTTCAGATAAAAGCTTCTTTATCCGCCTCATTGTGTGGATGTCAAAGCCGATTGTCCCATCCAGTCCTTGATATTCATGGAGCTTCCATGCAGCATGACCATCAACAAAGTAGTGTAGGCACTAACTCCGGCCAGCCCAGCCAAAGTCCGGGCCTGGCCCACGGACCAATAACAAGCTAGACAGAAAGCGGGATAGTCAGCCGCGGGGGCAAACGCAAAGCAACAACGGGAAAAAAAAGATAAGCTGGAAAAAAAAAACCTCCAGTCCAATTTCCCCCGCATCTCAGCAAACACCCTCAAGGCAAACCTCAAGGTCCTCAATCTCAAATCCTCATCTTCTCACCCCATCACCCACTAACATAATTCATCATGGGCAACGTAAGTCCTCCCCTCCAACCCACCAGCCTAACCTCCCAACCGCTCCACATGATCTACCGGCTAAATCCACCGCGCGCCTACTCCGTACGACCTTACTCATGATCCAAGTCCAACTGACAAGCTCACGCAGGGCGCAAAAGCAGCCTCCAAGCGCGAGCGCAACGCAAAAGACACCAAGGGCGCCGGCAAATCGCAGCTGAAAGTCGTACGTCGCTGACCCCGTTTCCCCTTACCCCCCATCCACCCCCCATCCTGTTCCACGTACTCGTGGGCGAAGGTTTGCTAACGGCACCCGCAGAACGAAGCCGCAAAAGACATCCAGTGCGTCGTGTGCCGCGCGACGTTCCTGAAGACGACGCGCGGGCCGGCGCTCACGGAGCACGCGGCGAATAAGCATAGCAAGACGCTGCAGGATTGTTTTCCGGGGTTTGTGGAGGCGGCGAAGAAGTGATCTTTTTTCCTTTCACTTTAGAGGGGAGATGAGATGAGGAGGGGAGAGGGGGGGAGAGGGAGTTTGAATGATGAGCGTTTTCGGTTCGGTTCGAGCGGGATATTTACCTTGAGGGACTATCGCATCGTGTAGCTATGGCTACCTACCTAGCGGAATCTAATTGTTTGCTTTGGTTGTTTCTTGTGGGGTTTGTGTTGGTTGGGAGGATGGTCGTGAGTGAGTATTGTATGGTGATGGTTGATTTACGGACGGAGACATGAGGTACGGAGGGAGGTAAGTTGGGTAACCGGATGGAAGATGTGTCCCATAAATGGGTGGGTTGTCATGATCTATTCATTCCTCGTATCTCCGTATAATACACTAGCAAAACAATCGCTGGCAAAGCAAGCCCGACCAAGAAGATGCCAGGGATGATTTGTACAAGCCTACAAGGTGGTAAGACACCAGCCCTAACCTAGCCAACAACCTTCTCCGCCTCCCTCTCACCCTTCCTCTGCCTCCTGAACCCCTGCCTCAGCCTCCTCCCCCACTTCTCCTTGCTCCTCCGCATCGCCCTCTCGGTCCGCTCCCACGGATAATTCACCGGACTCTCACCACCAGTGAAGATCATAAAGTCATACAGGAAAGCGCCGATGAACGCACCACAGAAGCTTCCAGCCCACGGGCCGTAGAACCAATACGGGTTGAGGAAGAGGTCGCCTCCGTACCCAAGCGCCAGCAACGCAAGACGCGGACCAAAGTCGCGGCTCGGGTTGAGCGATGCGCCGGTTTGGTACGAGAACGTGATGCTGAGCGTGTAGACCATCAGGCCGACGACGAGGGCGTTCATGCCGGCTCCTGGCGGCGCGTTCTGGTCGTCACCGAGCGCGAGGACGGTTACGGTGAGGACGACGGTGCCGAGGAACTCGTTGAAGAAGGCGGTTTGCGGGTTGATCCAGGTGTTGCGCTGGGAGGTGATGAAGGAGTTGATGACGTTTGTCGTGCTGTTTGTGCTGATGCTGAGATACTCGTTGATAGAGTCGTGGTACAGGCCGTACACCGCCAGCGCAGCTACAAAGGCGCCGATGAACTGCGCCGCGAAGTATTCCGGCATCTTGCTTTTCGGGAACCCGCGGTAGAACCAGAGCATGCAGGTGATTGTGGGGTTGAGGTGTGCACCGGACACACCACCAGAAATATAGATCGCCATCATCGCCGCGAAGCCCCAGGCCCAGGCTGTGGTGTTGGGGTTTGTAGTCCCGCCGAGCGTCACGCTGAGATCTGCAGCGAGACCGACGGTAAGCTGTATAAAGACGGCGAGCGACTCGGCGAGGGCTTCGCGGTGGTGCGTGCGGATGACGCTCCAGACGGTGTGGTTGTTGTAGACTTCGTCTTCGACGAGGTCTTGGATGAGCGGGTGCAGGTCCTCAGGGTACGCGGCTTCATCGATGTCGAGTTGGTTGGGAGTGAGGTCTGGTGAAGCGGGTTCCTCTGGGATGTGGATGTCCTGGAGGGGTTCATCACTTAGGTCATGACCTGTCTCGTCGGAGTGCGAGTCACGGCTGGAGTGGCCCTCACCTTCTGGGACGGCAGAGAGTTGTTCTGATGGGAGTCGTTCGAGTTGCACGCCGGAAGGCCGTCTCCTCGCATCAGACGTTGTACGGGATAGCCTCGACGTGCCGGCTTCACCAGTTAGGATCTTGTTCACGAAATTGTTCTCTCGCTGCATCCGCGCATCGTCCACCTCGGCGGCCATCTTCCTCGGATCAGCTTTCTCGATCCGCCCAGCCTCCAGCTCGTTGGGGTCAACATCAAGGCCCTGCTTCTGAGAATTCTCCGCCGGCAGCGGCGGGCGCTCATTCACACGACTCTGCAGAATCTCCTCCTTCGTCGGGACCATCCCCGGCCTCACAACACGAGGCAGAGGCTTCGCCAAACTCCACACGGGCTTCGTGTTCGTAGGCTGCTCATACTCAGGGTTGAGATCGCTGTATCCGGGATGCACAAACGGTTCATGGGCTGTCCGTAGCTGAGACGTATCCTCCGGTCCAGCAAAAGTGAAGTTGCCGCCAGTGCGTTGTGCAAGGGTCGTTCGAGACGTCAGGCTCGGGACACGGTTGCTACGACTTTGTCGTGAGAGTGCTGTGCTGCGATGACGAAGGCCTGACCCTCGAGAGGCTTCCGTCGCCAGACCGGATGCCCGTCGACCCCCGGCGCTGCGTGTTGGCGATGGGCGTGCTTGCGTTCGCTCCTCATCTCGGACTCTAGTTGCTTCGGACTGAGGCTGTCAATAATCATCCTCACTCTACAGATGGGATAAACATACCTGAGCCCGTGGTCTGGATGGCTCTCTTTCCGCCATATTTCAGTTCAATAGTAACAGGTAAAAGCTAGGTGGAGCGAGCCATGGACGGCGTCAGGGGCAGGTACACTGTAAATAATGACAGGAACCGACAACGGAGGCATCACATAATCCAGATATCCGCGGAGTACGGCAGGTACTTCCAAGCTGTGCGGCAGCCGCTGATTCAACGTTACGCAATGTCTCCATTGTGATCGCGGTGGATGTCAAGTGGAGTGGAGTTGGCTGTGTATTCTTTTCCTCATCGGGAGATCCGGGTGTTCATCGATGGATGACATCAGTCGAACTAGTCTCACGTTCACTCCCACGCTCAAAATACCATCTAATGTTGATGGAGCAGAACATTCTCAAAGATAAATTGGAATAGCTAATAGAATTCATCAAAACAGGCCAGTGTCAAGAAACAAGCTCCGATCAGCCAACGCCAAGCCTTCAGGTCAGTTGGTAGCCGAGGCCAAATTCCATCGCTGCTTTTACCGGCAACGTGGAGCCGGCGACGTTACGATGATGTACCTCGACTCCAATTCTCCAATTCTCCGAAGTTCCAACCATCCATCCGGATGCAATTGCACAAGTTTCTTATGCCTGCTGAGCCCAGCATGTCTGACCAGGTCGGCCGGTGAATTGAGTTATCGAGTTGTTTCGACACGGTTTCTGAGACTCCAGTAATGGGATCCCATGGTCCGCCCTTCTGCACAGCGGTCGGCTGAGCTTTGACCCCGCGTTCGTCAGAGGTGACGGGGATGGAGAACGCATGTTTCATCGCTGTTTGAATCAAGCGCTTAGACAGTATCCATTCGGAAGCTATAGATGGGGTAGAGAGGCAACGGTTAAAGATAGAACCACGGCCAGCGATTCCTCGCCCGAAGGAACACCGTTCGATGGCAAATTCCAGTTGACTAATCGCATTGACAGATTCTGCACTTCGGGATTCAACTGGGCAAGCACAGGAGACAGGAAGATTTCTACGATTGTCCAAGTCAATTCAGTAGGGTTTGAAGTCGGCTACGATATCTACGCGTGCTTTGAAGTTTCATCAAGTTGATAAGTTTTCATTTCGGTCTAAACTAAACAAAGTGTCCAACCCAAGGTATCTTGTATCCATTGCGCCAAGTTCCTTTCTCATAAAAACCGTGAGCGCTTGCTAGAGCGCATCCGTCATGAGTCGTAAGACCGCCTGCCTGGGCGAGGGCCAGCCTGGTTGTAGGTGTCCAAGAGAACGTCGGGATATAAAAGAGCGACTTGACGTTTCGAGGAAGCTTTCATCTGGTCTGCCGCCTGAGCTTAACCAAGGGTCAGGGTGTAAGCAGCGCTGGTCGAGCAGGCACGGGTGTTGTGATCGTCAGGGAACTGGTAGGACTCGGAGCAGTTGGCGTCGCCGGGGGCGCAGGTGACGGTGTCGCAGGAGCTGTCGTCGATGGTGACGCCGAAGCCCGCGGCGATGAGCGGCGAGTTCGCGTTCAGGTTGATGCTGGACATGTCCCAGAAGAGGACATTGCCGGCCTGGGTGTACTCGTACTGCAAGACGTCGGAGCCGTCCTGGGTGCAGCCGAGCTTGATGGAGACGCCGCCGCCGTTGGGGTTGGTCTGCCAGGTCTCCTGGTAGGCTTGGCCGGAGGGCAGGGTCACCATGGGCGACGAGGTGGCCGAGACGGACCAGAGGTAGACGTCCTGGGACAGATTGTTGATGATGGTAACACCACCGCTGATGCCGCGCGGGACGGCGTTGACGGGGAGGGCCGAGGCAGTAGCCAGGGTAGCAGCGAGGCTGAGGATCTTGCTGAAAAGCATTTTGAAAGAGTGGTTTTCTTGTTGTAGTTGGTGACGAGGTTGATCCAAGTGGTTCAAGGATTGACAGAGTCTGATCAAAGGAGTGTGATTCAAAGGATGGTGGGAGGTTCAACCTCAATTCTTCAAGGAATGAATGAGCTGTGTTGCAAAAAGAAAAGAGAGAATGAGCGAGGTAGGACAGGCTATTTATCTCCGCCATCAGGAACACATGGATCTCGCGGAAACCTCGGACGCTGGTCAAGATTTTCGAGCTGGCCGACGCCCGGTGGGCCAAAGAGTGAGACATCAGATTCATTGTTGCTGGATCTCTGATGGACTTGCGCCACGTTAGTGCCGATTTCAGGCACACCATCATATTTTCCCACGGCCAATCAGAGACTGCGCTGGTGGATAAGTGACTTTGGTACCTGGCTGTCGTGGCCAATCACGATACAATTGATTCCTGAGACTGGGGCCACGTTTGAGCCCTGAAACCGTTGGCTGGCGGTTCTTTCACCCAACACTAAAGGAAATCTCGCAAGGCCGCGAGTCCACTCTCGTCGATGCTGTTCTAGATCGCTGGGCTTTGCTGGGCATGGCTGAGCAGAGGATCTGTCATTGTTCATTCTTCTGCATCTTGTGAGGAGGATAAAGAGAGATGTCTCGCGACCGTGGTAGTTGGGCTTGGATAGATGTCGCGGAGAGCCAGGCACCAGGAACCAGAAGTAAACTGTAAACTCCAACAATGAAAAAGTTCACCTGCCATGGGTGATGAGGACTCGGAGTGAGAAACCACGGTGTGCTCGGCAGTTTTCTGTGGTGGATCCAGCAACAGGCGCCGTACGGGCGAGACCGACCAGCGTTCGTGGCCACCCGAACAAGCGGTTCGCAACCACACCCGATGTGTTCCTGACAGCACCCATGTAAATCGCGGAAGATTTTCTCTATGTTAATTTGTCCTTGGCAAACCAGAATGCAAGCAAGCCGTGGGTATTGTCTCCGAGTACAATTCGTCTTGGTAGCTATCCCGGCCGTGGTTGCATAATTGCATTCCTTTGTCGAGGGTGAAAATCCGCCACCACGCTGTTTCCACCATACAACCCCACGAGAGTCTGGGTGGCTCGGGAGTTGAGAGGTTCGTCATGCCGTGCAAACTGGTGGAACATGCGCGCGGAATGGGAATTTCCTCGAGGAGTCGAATGAGTCGGGCTCGAAGAGCTCGCTCTCGACCCTGGTGGATGTGATGTGGATTGCTCTAATTCGTGGTTGTTTCGTAAAGCGAGAGAAAAGTTTGCATCATCCTGGACCGTGCTCGGACTTATTTGGTTAGTTAATTCGTACCTGAGATGAGCCAAGGTGCTATCACATGTACCTGCAGAAAGAACAGCATCGCAGAGGCTCGGAGATGACGGTTGGCATTGGACTGAGATGTCGACTCCGAGTCACATGCCGGCTTTGATGCGCTGGCTTTGATGCCTGATTACTGAGGTGTCTATCTAAAACTCCTCCAGTAGAGCTTGAATCCGGATGGCCCGGAGCTGTTCACTGGAGGGTTTGAATTGCCTCCGAGAAGGTCGGTATTACAGAGGTCTGACCGTCCTACAGACTTGTAGACGGAAGATTTGGTCCCCTGATATCATCGTTGGCAAGTAGCCCGGTCGTCCCTCGCTAAGGCAAGTGAAGCGACTGGAGGAGCCAGGCAGATAGGAATCGCCTCTGTATCGGGCATCCCAACGTCCAAGCTGCCAGAGCCATAGAGCATGGGCCATTGGTACCATGTCGGCATTATCTATGCTGTGTCGCGCTACTCTTCTGAGCATTCGCATGAGCTCAAGGTATCAGTATCACCCCAACGCTTCCCCTCAACCGGGCATTGGAAGCTGTGCCCAGTGCTGCAGACGGGTGGAAGTAATATTATGTGAGTCATAAAGCATGCCCCGACTTTGCCCGCCTAGAAGCAGCATTTCTCAGTGCTCATGGACAACGCAGTAACGCTTCCTGTTCGATCAAGCAGTGGATCAAAAGCCGTTCGGGACTCCAGGATGCTCATCCCTGCGCCTTGAGATATATGTCGTACGATTTTACTGAGCGCAACTTGCACGTATGACCACTGGGACTCATCTACTGCCAGTGTTGGGTCTTTAGCGTTTCGTAGGCCTTTCCGGTTGTTGATCAGCTAGTTGGTCCTAGAACGGTAGGCAACTTAAGTTACTTTGAGACTAATCTCCGGGTTCTTAATCGATATTAAAAGCAAGCGAGAGTCGGCCTTTATTGAGCGTACGTTGCTTAGTATGGAGTTGAAGGTTCGAGACTGCTGCGCTAACATGGTGGTAAGCATGATGCAGTGTAGAGGAAACTTCAAAATATATTGCGAACACCAGATGGTTTTGAGGACGAAAGGATAGGTTATTGTTGTACGCGATTGGTTAAGATGATGTGGATTGACGAGCGTCTCAGAGCCTGAGCTCTAACATGCATACACTGGTCGAGGAAGCATCTAATTAGAGGAAGAGCTGTCGAAGGTTGAGGTTGGGGAGTTCAAGCTTCAAGTCGTTCCTGGATTGACGCCTTACTTGCCTGAGCCCTGAGGCGCCAATGAGGGGTAGGTCAAACAGAGCAAACAAGTGCAAACTGCTGCAAAGTATGCAAACCTGGGCTGATGCCTCCGCTACGTCACCACCCGCGATCTGCGCCAGCAGCGGCTCCGTCAGCGAATCCGAGCAGCATCTGAGCCAATAGCACGGCCGAGTCGCGGTTCTCATGGTCAGCGACATCTTACTTGCAGCCAGGGCAAGTTCTGGACTGAATCATAGCTGGCGTTTCCCCTCACAATGGCTGCTTTCGGCAGGTCCGTGCGGGGGCAGGGCTGTCTCTTGACTGTCATGCGTTTCGATTGACAATTCCATTTGATACAACGAGGTGTCTCTGATCTGTCCTGATGTCACTTTCATCGTCGTCGTCCAATCTCATTACCTCACGATGTGGGCTGTTTGCATCCTGGCCAGGCCCGGGATGAGCAGGTTAAACTTCCGCGGACATTGGACGGGGTGGTCTGAAGCAAGGTCAGGAAGCTATTTCCAAGCAGCCGCGGATTCCGTTCCTGCTTCCCTTCGTTTCTTCACGATGCTCCGCTGAATAAAACAATCTCTCCTCCATTTACCCCTCCTCTTTATCCTACATCTCGCACCTCTTACCCTCGTTTTCCGCGATCAGACCTCTACAACCGCAACCCCCGCAGTGTGCAGTATCCTTACCCTCTCCCGTTCGCCGAACACATCAACATGAGTCCGATGGCATTGTCACCCAAGAGGGTGGACATAGTCGACATCCGGGAGAATGACATGCAATTCTCCCTCGTTAGCGAGATCGAGAAAGGCCTGAACCTTTCCGACGGGGCTCGGCGGCGGTCATTACCGACCATGCTCCTCTACGACTCCGAAGGGCTGAAGCTGTTCGAGAAGATCACGTATCTAGACGAATATTACCTGACAAACGCCGAGATTGAGGTGCTGGAAACGCATTCTCGACGTCTCGTTGAAAAGATCCCTAGCAACGCACAGCTTCTAGAGCTCGGTAGTGGGTACGTCTTCAAGCTCGTTCAGAATTAACACCGTTCTGAGGCGTCTCTAACCTGCACAGAAATCTCCGAAAGATTGAAATCCTCCTACGCGAATTTGAACGGGCCGGAAAACCAGTAGACTACTACGCCCTTGATCTCTCCCTATCCGAACTTGAGCGCACTTTCTCGAATGTCGCTGTTGAAGAGTATAAGAGTGTTGGATTCCATGGTCTTCACGGGACATACGACGATGGGCATACCTGGCTAAGTGACCCCAAGAACAGAGAGCGGCCGACGGTTGTTCTGTCCATGGGCTCCTCATTAGGAAACTTTAGTCCGCCCGAGGCAGCGGCATTTCTCGCTGGATTTGCCAAGCTCATGAAGCCATCTGACATGATGGTCATCGGGCTTGATGCTTGTGAGGATCCACAGCGGGTATACAAAGCCTACAATGATTCAGCTGGAATTACACGGAAGTTCTACGAAAATGGCCTTGTCAATGCCAACAAGACTTTTGGTCGCGAAGTCTTCCGACCTGAGGAATGGGAAATTGTCACTGAATACGACGAAGTCGACGGCAGGCACCAGGCTTTCTACGCACCCACAAAGAACTTGACTATCTGCAATGTCCATCTCAAGCGGGGCGAGAGGATCATTTTCGAAGAGGCATTTAAGTACGGCTCAGAGAGACGAGAGAAGTTGTGGCGTGAGGCTGGCCTGCTTGAGGCTGCTGAGTTCGATAGCAGCTCTGGCGATTACCGTACGTTCCCTGGTTATCCAATAGATTTATACTAACCTGAACTAGATCTACATCTTCTGCAGTCGGCAGCTCTGAACCTACCGCTTGTGCCATCCCAGTACGCGGCTAGCCCTATTCCCAGCTTAGATGACTTCCAGTCGCAGTGGACTGCATGGGACATTGTTACGAAAGCAATGATCCCGCAAGAAGAACTGCTTTCAAAGCCGATCAAACTACGAAACTCTTTGATATTTTACCTAGGACATATTCCCACATTTGCTGGTGAGCTCGCATACCCCGCGTTTCCTGTGACTTTGCTCACTTCAGCTCAGATATCCACTTAACCCGTGCGCTGAGTGGCAAGCCGACAGATCCAAAGTCGTACCAATTAATTTTTGAGCGAGGCATTGACCCAGACGTTGACGATCCGGAGAAGTGCCATTCCCACAGTGACATTCCTGACGAATGGCCATCGCGTTCCGAAATCTTAGACTACCAAGATCGGGTAAGGAACAAGATACGACCCACGCTCAATCTGGCTGGCCTCTCCCAGAACAGGACGTTGGGCGAAGCCCTGTGGATAGGATTCGAGCACGAGGCTATGCATTTAGAAACTTTCCTTTACATGCTCATTCAAAGCGAGAGAGTTCTTGCTCCGCCAGCAATTACAGTACCGGACTTCAAGAAGATGTTCCTTGACGCTCGGCAGAACGAGAAAGCGAACAAATGGTTCGCTATACCAGAGCAGACTCTATCGATCGGGCTTGACTGTTCGGAAGACTCAATGCCTGAGTCATCATTCGGATGGGATAACGAGATACCCAAGCGCACCGTGACGGTCCGACCGTTCGAGGCGCAAGGAAGACCCATCACAAACGGTGAATACGCCCGGTACCTTCAAGAGAATGGTATCTGCGAGTGGCCAGCCTCCTGGATCATGACCGATCAACAGGATGGGGTTGCGCACGGCAGCACCGCAGCCGAGGATTTCCTAACCGACTTCTCTGTCAGAACTGTTTTCGGCCCTGTGCCGCTGAAACTCGCTCAGGACTGGCCAGTAATCGCGTCATATGAGGAACTCGAGCGTTACGCCTCATGGATGAACTGCCGCCTGCCCACATTCGAAGAAACGAAAAGCATATACGCCCACGCAGCCCATCTAAAGAAAACTGCCACGAATGGCACAGCCGACGGAGCACCAACCAACGGACTGAAGAATGGCTATCACAAGCCCCATCTCAGAAACGGCACCATCAAGACTCACCCGTCCGCAACCCAGCCCGTCCTCCCACCCAGCACCTCTGCGCCGTCACCACCCGTCTACATCGACCTCACAGAATGCAACGTCGGATTCAAGAATTGGCATCCCACGCCCGTCATCCAGAACGGCGACAAATTAGCCGGTCACGCAGAGTTCGGCGGCGTCTGGGAGTGGACTTCGTCGCCGCTCGAGCAGCATGAGGGCTTCAAGGCTATGGAAATTTACCCCGGCTATACCTGTTAGTCTTGCTCTTGCCTCCAACACTTCTTCCCCGTACTGACTCGTTTCCGTTTTCTCTAGCCGACTTCTTTGACGGAAAGCATAATATCATCCTCGGTGGTTCTTGGGCTACGCATCCCCGGATTGCGGGGAGGACGACGTTGTAAGTTTCCTTTGGCAACGCACGGATCCTAGATTGAAACTACAGGCTAACGCGCACTCCCTCAGTGTGAACTGGTACCAGCGCAACTATCCTTACCCATGGGCTGGGGCCCGACTTGTCCGGGACATTTAGGGCCTGTGACTCCCAAGTCGAGGCGACGTCTTACTCTGATTTAGGATACCTACTGTATGTAGAAGATAGAGAAACCATTTTTGGGCAGCTGAACTCGATGATGGTCGGGTATCAGAAATACATTATGTTTTAACTTTGGCTAAGGTTGTTCGCACTACTAACGTAGAAAGTCAACAAGACCCGCCTTATTTACGTACCGTAGAATATTCACAGTATGTTTAAAACAAAGCTCACAAAGACGGAACGTTGCCCGCGGGTATCTCGATCTCTTGCTCATGCGCATCCAGCGGCGGCGTCATCATAGCCTGCTCGGCATCCGGTAGGACCGAGGTAGAAGACTTCTCCGGTTCCTGGTTAAGCGCGGCTATATGCTCGGCGGGTAAGGTATTGACGAAGTCTGGGCCCGGGCTAGGCCATGTGTAATCGACCCACGTGGGCGAGAGAATTGACTGGATCTCTTTTGCGAGCGATAGGATACGGCTGCGGCGCTTACGAGACCACACGCGGTCTGTGATTATACCGTCGGATGGGGTAAGGATGGCTGGTGCGCTGGGGGCGGATGGAATGGAGGCTGCTTCGGCTTTGTTTTCAAAGTACTCGGTGTCGTTGTCGTCCTTGTTCTCGAGTCCATCGACGATACTGTGCCAGACACGGAGCGTCTCGGTTAATTCTTCGATGTTGCTGACGCCCATGACGCTCACGCCTAGCCGTTCGCCGGTGCCCATGCTGGCGACGGAAAGGAAGCTTGGGTCCGAACCCGGGGTACGAGCGAGAGGAGGCCCAAGGGCGCCGCCCTTTGCACCTTCGCGAAGCCATGATTCAAGTGCGAACCGAATCGCGATGACTTCGATCTTCTCGCCTTGTGTATCCGCCCACTCTGCCGCATTGTGAATGGCTGTCCGAAGACCGTCTGGTGCCGGGTGGAAATCGCCCATGCTCCCAATTGGCACGCCCTTCCTTCGTAGCAGACCCATGCCAAGAGGCGATGCGTTCGGGATGACATCCACGCCGGCGGCTGTAAGGCGCGGAAGACCCTGCGTCAGGAGTCGCGTGTTTTGAAGAGTAAAGTTGGCGTAGGACATGACCGCGTCAAGCGGCTCGCCGGTCTCACGAAGGACTAACTCCGAAAGGTCACACAGCACATTCACAGGGTATCCCGAGATGCCCACGTAGCGGATGGTACCCTCTGTATCACGGATGCGCCGAAGCTCGCGCACCGCGTCCAGCACCTCCGCGGCAGGAACAAACTCAACATCATGGCAGTATACCACGTCCAGGTATTCAGTGTGAAGACGACGCAAACTCCGCGCGACGCTTTTCCGAACCCATTTCGGTGAATAATCGAACGACGAGCCGGCGATCCGTCCGACCTTGGTGAGGAGATGATACGAGCTTCGGGGAAAATTCGACTGCACGAAATCGGTGGCGAGAGCGCGGCCGAGGAGATTTTCCGCAGGGCCATAGTAGGGAGAGGTATCGAAGGCACGAACACCGCTAGCGAGTGCACGGTGCACCAGTTCGGTCGTGGGAAGGGCATAGGGGTCCTCGTTGTACTGCGAGTTGAAGGTCGCGGTGCCCATGATCAGCGGCGGCAGGGTCGCCGATAACGGAGCGCGGACGGTGTCTTGGGCCATTGTGAGCACCAAATGAGGTAGAGAAAATTGCAAAAGAAAGGACAGCGGTGCTCTGCACTCGCTTTCAAGGAGGTGCCGCAGAATATGTAGGAACAGGAGAGGAGGGCGAGAAATTCAGGACTGATAAGGGGAGCCGCGGGGCGAAATCTTTTGGTCTCCGATCTCCAACCGAAAGAACGGAGGAACCCCACCGGATGGCGCCATGGCTGGAGCAGATTAGCTTTGTGGTTATGGAAATGGAGGACGAATGGCGATGGGAGCCAGAGGAATGTGCACGGGTGATGGTCGGGATTGTGGAGGACAGAATGAAAAGCTGAGTTCTATTGACGGCTCGATGCGGACCTTGACTGCAGGATCAGACCCCGCAGTACATTGTCGTTGACATCGAGAGACCCTGAATCAACATCCAGAAATCATGTCGTTCCTCCCTCGTCGCCCATTTCCTTCAGTTAGTCATGATCGAGCTCCAGAATCGCCTTCCAGATCTCACCCATTGTATCTCAGGCTGTCTCTTCCGCTCTACGAACTACGCCTCGCCGCACCAAAGAATGAAGCAACTATAACCGGAGAATCCTACGCCGACAATGCCAGTGGGGGCTTTCCCAGATCTGAGCGATAAGACTGAGAAACCAGAATATCCTCCTTGTGGAATCAATGTATATGGGGTGAACTGTACACAATTTGAAGTCTACGGCAAAAGAGTCACCTCCTCGTGCCCCAGTCTCCAGAAGCATCGTTTTGCGGGGCCGCTTGGAGGTGGCGATCTGCCTAAGAAGATTCGCTTATCGCCGATCGGACTCAACTAGCACGTCTCGATGGTTAGATCGAAGCGCTGCAGTACCGATCAGATCCCTCGCGGCGATAAGAACAACCTGGACCACCAGTCTACTTTTCTCCCATATCAGCGCTCGGTTTGATGCGATGAGTACGGACATGAGGGTATACCTACGGAGTCCAGCGTGCCGAGACCATGGCCCAGATCAAACCTGAGGCTCATAAGCTTCTACGCTGAATACAATGTGCAGTCTGCACAGTGTCATAGAGTACTGAGAGCCTTGAGAGGGAGGCTCACCCCACCTTCCAATGTACTCAGTTAGCGCCACCTAATAAGCACTGATTTGATTTTCATGGCTTGCCGGTATGCACGCTGACGTGGTTGGGTGCCGGAGGGGCTTGTCCTCCGCACAGACAGCTCACCTCCCATGTGCGCAGGCTACATCACCGTCATGCAAGCCCTTTTCCGTCAAGCATGAGCGGAATATCGAAGTTGAAGCATTATGACCGTCTTGGGAATCCGACGAATGAATTCAATATCGAGTCGAGAGATCCACCAGCGAGTGCGACGGCTGATTCAAAGTCAAATACTCGGTCACCTCCTTCGAATCGCCATCTCTCTTCTTCTCTTACCGCTAGACAATACAGTCATTTTTGTGGCGGAGGTTGCGTGGTTCCTTTCACCGTACTCGCTGTGGCTGAGTACAATCAACGGAAGACATGCGATACTGCGAGATGTGCAATTTCGCCCAAAGACCATCCTCGTTACCGGGGTAGATAGCCCTCACGGCCTACGTATCGCACGTTGCTGGTATAATGAGGGCCATCGGGTGGTGGGTGCAGCTATCAAGGAGGCAAGGTTCGCCTCAGGAGAGAGCATGTCGAAAGCCCTTGTGGCCTACTACCGCATTCCGAACTCGCAGTATGTCTCGAGGTTGCTGGATATAGTACTGAGGGAGAAAGTGGACATATGGATCCCATGCTCGCAAGATACTTCCGCCATTGACGACGGCATGGCAAAGCAAGCAATCGAGAGCAGAACGAGCTGCAAGTGCGTAACTCTCGACACCGAGCTGGCATCTCAATGGAACCAAACAGAGTCATTCGTCCAGTATCTCATCGACCATGGCCACCCAGTTGTCGAGAACCATCAAGTCCAGTCGCGTGACTCTATCCACAGAATTCTGCATCGGTCGCCGACGAAGATCTATCACATACGCCAGACAGTTCCAGGCAACAATGGGGAGAAAATAATCGTCTTGCCGAAGAGAACCCTAAGCTCAACCTACTCTGAAGTCAGCGAAATCAAGGTCTCCAAAGACAGTCCATGGGCTATGGAGCAGCATGCGCGTCTCGGAGAGTTCGTCGCGGAGGTGTTGATCATTCGCGGTCATGTCACTGCTATCAGAGTCCATCCTGCCGGTCGAGAATCGGACTGCGGATGTTCACGCTTGAATGAAGGACTTTCAGCGGCAGCCCGTCAGGTCATGGAAGACCTCGCATGTAAAGGTGGCCATCGATTAACCGGACACTTCCTCGTGCGATTGATGGTTGACGAAGAACTGCATTTGAACTCGGTTCGCTATGAGGTGCGCATTGCAGGCTGTGCGCAAGGCGCGGCTGCCATTGCACGACTTTTGCAGGATACGCCTTCGCGCACTCTGGTCGACGGATACTTGACTATACTACCAGAGAATGCACCTGGCGCATTGGTAAATGGCCTCAACCGTCCTGAGATTAGCATAAGTATGCTCTCGCACCGACCGAGCTTTTATGAGGCATTCAAGAGCTATGCCACTCGCGATATTAATCCTGCACTGTGTCCTCTAGCACAACAAGTTAATTGGGCTATGGATGAAGCAGCAAAGCTCGTACTGTTCTGGACGAATTGGCGATTCTCAATCACGGATCCATTGCCATGGTGGTGGCATAACCATGTTTCGTGGCCATTGACAGAGCTGGATCTGTTGCTCCAATCGATCAAGCGAGCTTTAGCCTCGTAATGTAAGATTCTGTCCTCCATATGATTAGGTAGCAACTTCATCTCGTGAAATTGAGTGTGGATTCGGTAGGCGCAGCGAGGTGAACTGCGGATCACAATCTTCGGGCAATTTTCCTTGATTAGAAGCACTTAATCCTGTGTGCTTAGCTGTTTCAGGGACAGATAAATGTTTCACCAGTTGTATAGGGGCAGAGTTAAGGGAAAGGAGGAGATCGAAAGCCTTAGGCAGTGTACAAGAAAAAGGAACCTTGAAGCCCACGAGCGATCATTGACGGGCACGAGGTGGGTGATGACGTAAGGCATCTATTTCTGGATTTTATGCCTGCTAGGTTCCAGCATTCAAAGTTTATGAAAAATGAAAATAATATTGAGTGCACAGCCTCTTGAACTCTTCAGCTCAAGAATTTTCTTTTTCAATATTGACTTGATCATCTTTGCAACTGAGCCGGCCGATCCGGTTGCTTTTTCGAGTTTTGTCTGACGAGCGCCAGCGATTAGACTAGTGTCCGCGCGTTGCCCGTTCCACCAGCTGTCATACACGCCGTAAACAACGAGCGGAACCAGCCAGATCTCACAGCCTCAATCCTTCCATCTCTCAGACTCACGCCAGAACCTTCGAAGTAGATTCGAGATTCGAAGAACTTGCTTTCTTGCTACACCTTTCTCCTCGCTCTCCCAATATACACGAACGTCAAATCCAGATCTACGAATTTACCATCCACGATGCGGCGACCGTCATTCAACCCCGGGCGGACGAAGAATCTCATCCATGGCCTTCAAGGCTTCTTGATCTTCCTCGCATGGGCGCTCACTATCGCTGTATTCACAAAGGGAGGCGGTATCGATGGACGGACGGCGTACTATTTCGCTTTGGTAAGCTGTGGACGAGCTTTGACTGCGAGAGCGACAATTCTAACCATACCGGTTCTACCAGTGTTGGTTCAGCATTCCCGGTCTCATCTATCTAGTCGCCGTGCCCATGTGGCCTCGCGCTCGACGATTCGGAAACGTCTACGCTTTTGCGACCGTCGACTGTCTCTACGTCCTCCTGTGGTTTGTCGCCTGGATTTGCATCGCCAGCTACGTAACACAAGGCAAGAGTGAGGGCAAGGACGACAGCGATTCGAAGGACAGCGACTCGGAAGAGAAGAAGAGCGGGTGCGACAACTGGAAGTATGGCAGCGCCAGCAAATGCCATGTTAGCACCGCTACGTGCGTGATGGGAGTGGCCATCTTGTTCGTCCTCTACCCTTCTAGGTATTCAAGCTTCGCTAACACTGCTCACCCCTAGCGTTCTCTTTCTTATTACAGCCTGGATGTCTTTCCGAAACGTCATGCATTTCCGCCGGACCGGTACCCTGCCCGACGCTGTCTCTGACCCCACCTTCGCCGCACAGAGCAAGGCTGCGTTCTCCTCGAACCCCGCTCAAGACTTTGAAGAAGAGGACGACTTCCGCTCTCGCGCCGGAATGGGCTCCTCGCTTCGCGACCGCGATGAGGACTACGCGCTGCTACACCAAAGCGAAGTGGACGACCTCGGAAACCCTGGCGGACGCGGCGCCTACGACCCGACCACCTCCGGCGGGACCGTCCTGCATGACTACAATGCCAGCGAGTACGGTAGCACCAGCTACGGCGGTGCCCATGGCCAGCACTACGGGGCGCCCTCAGAATACGACTCGACCGTGAGCGGGTACGGCCACCGCTAAACCAAACAACCTCCTCTCCGATTACTTCCTTCCTCTTTTCCCCCCTGACATGACCATGGAGCGGAGTTGGGCGCCTTTCAGCTTAGTGCTGTGCTATTACGTGTTTAGGTGACTTTGGTACATGAACCTTGTCTGTGTTTGCGGTTTCGGCGATGATTTTGCGACGGTTGAGTCGTCTCAATTGCGCGTCTTGTTTCTGACGATTGGATGACTCTCAGATTGGGATTCCTATGTGGTTTGACCTGATGTATAGATAAATCTTGATTATTTAGCCTCGTAAAAATAGTTATAGCGTTTGTCTGACACCCGCGTATTTCTTCAGGCACATGCGTAGTTCCGGCAGTAAGATACCGCTCTGGTTATTGTTGGGGCCACCGCCCGGTCTGGACAGCTTGCGGGTATCCGACCCCATTCACTCCAGACTCCAGAGCTCAATTCAGCGACAACATATCTCCTTGACTCGGCTGAACCGCACATATAAGGCCTGATTGAGACCCGGCTGGAATTCTCGGTTTCCAATTCGCAAATATCTTCCAGTCCTTGAGTTGCCTGCCTCCTTATACCAACACCATCCAGACCACCTATACCTCCGCAACAACAAACCAACCCACGAACAAACAACCAAAATGGCCCAATCAATCGACATCTTCAACCTATATCCCCTCGTCCTCGACCCCGCCTCAAAAGCCATCTCCCTCTCCACCAACTCAACCTACACGCCCTCCCAAACAACCGCCGCGAACGCCGAACTCTCCGCCCTAAACACCCTCCACCGCAGCCTCCTCTCCCTCGAAAACACACCTGCCATCCCTCCACCCCCCCTCCCACTCAACCCCAAGCGCTCCGCCCAAATCACCAAGCTCCGCGACAGCGCCAACACAGCCTACCGCAAGAACAACCACGCCGAGGCCGTGCGTCTTTACACATTCGCGCTGGAGATGGCGATCGCCCGGCCGGGGTGGGAGCCCGTCGCTGTTGCGAGGGAAGAGCTTTCTGCGCTGTATGGGAACCGCGCGCAGGCGTACATGGCGCAGCAGCTTTGGGTTGAGGGGCTTGTTGATGCGCGGGCTAGCGTTGAGGGGAAGCCAGTCGGTAATGTTAAGGCTTGGTGGCGCGGCGGCAAGTGTCTTGCGGAGATGGGGAGGTGGGAAGAGGCCAAGAGCTTTGTCAATCGGGGACTTGAGCTTGAGGGGAAGAATAGCGAGGGGGCGAAGGAGTTGGTGCAGTTGCTGGCTGAGGTGGAGGAGGGACTTAAGAGGGAGAGGGGGGGTCAGTAGGTCTGGACGCAATGGGATACTGATGTTATGATGGACTCTGTATAGGGCTTGTTTGTTTATGTCTTGTTATGTTTTCTTTTTTCCTGGGATGGGTGGCTGCTATAGAGCTGCTTCTTTTTTCTTACATACTATGGCGTTAGGGCTGGACTTGCGCGTTTCAATCTCGAATATATGATGCTTCTTTCATTGGAATACAGTTTCGTGTTATGGACTATAATGCTGAGGAATATCTCACCGACACTTACAGCAGTACAGCAGGCAAACCGCGGGTGATCCGATTCCAATCCCAACTACGCACGGCTGTCCCTGGTCGACAAACAATCCCCCTCCTTATTTTTGGTCACTGTCACCCCACAAATACCTAGTCAATTCCGCTGATTTCCAGATGTCTTCCTTTCTCTATCACACCGGGTCTAAAGTACAATATGGAAAAGCTCCTCGTGTTTATCTCCTTAATCTACCAAGCCAATGCGCTGGTGAGGCCAGACGGAGTCGTACGTCGCTGTCCTTCTCCGCCTCTTTGTTGCCCCCTTTACACAAGCCCACGATTATCAGCTACTACTAGAACTAACCTGAAGTGATCTGACAATAGGGCCGCCTCCCAGCTCTAGGCTGGAGCTCGTGGAACGCCTACGAGTGCGACATCAACGCATCCGTCATTCTATCGGCGGCAGAACAGGTCGTCGAGCTCGGGCTGAAGGACTTGAGCTATGAATACATCAACAGTATGGGCCCCAGCACACCATATAGCCCCTCATTGTTCAAACAAACTGGAGCATAGCCACCGCAAGCTAACTGCCCTACCCAGTTGACGACTGTTGGTCCGTCAAAACCCACCGCGACCCAACCACAAACCGCATGATCCCCGACCCCGAGCGTTTCCCAGGCGGAATTGCGGGCGTGGCTTCCCAGATCCACGATCTCGGTCTCAAGGTCGGCATATATAGCAGTGCGGGCGAAACGACATGCGCCGGGTACCCAGCTAGTCTGGGATACGAGGATATTGATGCAGAGACGTTTGCTGAGTGGGGGATTGACTGTACTTCCACCCCATTCCCCTTAGACACATACCTCTTGGGTCTAGGTATCTGATGTACCCGCAGACCTCAAATACGACGACTGCGGCGTCCCATCCACCTGGGCCGACCCCTACACCTCCTGCATCCCCGACACAGCCAACAACGCCGGCCCCTTCCCCAACGGAACCTGTCCCAATCTCGCCAACCCAGCACCAAAGGGATACAACTGGGACTCCTCCCCCAGCGCAACCCGCTTCCGGCGCATGCGTGACGCCCTCGAAGCCCAAAACCAAGACCGCGTCATCCTGTACTCCCTCTGCAACTGGGGCAATGCGGCGGTAAACACCTGGGCCGCGGACGTCGGGAACTCGTGGCGGGTTAGCGGGGACATCTCGCCTGGTCGGGGCGAGGTCGGTGCGGAGCGAGTCAGGATCGCGACGTGGGAGCGCATCGCGGAGATCGCTAATGAGATGAGCTTCCTTGTTAGAGACTACGCCGGGTTCTGGGGGTGGCCGGATGCTGATATGCTTGAGGTGGGGAATGGGGAGGGGGACATGACGGTCGCGGAGAATAGAGCGCATTTTGCGCTTTGGGCGGGGATGAGGAGTCCGTTGCTTATTGGGACGAGGGTGAGTTATGTCTTTCTTCTGTGGTCATCTTGGACATGGCCTGCTTGGCTCGTGCTTTTTGCCCTAGCTAGGGTTTTAAACTCGAGGTCCGATATGGGAATGGACGCTGATGATATATAACCGACATAGCTGGAAACCATCAAAGAAGAACACCTCGCCATCCTCAAGAACCCAACCCTCCTAACCTTCCACCAAGACCCGCACACCAACCGCCCCGCCTACCCCTACAAATGGGGCCACAACGCCGACTACACCTTCGACGCCGCGCACCCAGCAGAGTACTGGTCTGGGCCGTCGGCCGCGTTAGACGGGACGCTGGTACTCATGCTTAACTCGGAGAATGTGACGAGCACGCGCACGGCCGTTTGGGGCGAGGTCCCGGAGTTACGAGACGCGCAGCGGGGGCATGAGGAAGGATATGCGTTTGAGGTCGTGGATGGCTGGACGGGCGAGGAGTTTGGATGCGTGGAGGGAGGGCTTGAGGTTGAGCTTGAGGCTCATGATATGGCTGTTTTGGTTGTTGGGGGTGCTTGTTAGGTTTCTGTATTCTTGCATCCTGGACGTCATGGAATACAATGATCCAGGGGTTGGGTTGCTGGTTGCTTGGGGGGGGTTAGGGCATGCATTGAAATCGGTTTGCTCGAAGTGTTCTCCTAATTCCAGGTGCAGGGGCAAGGGCAGCTTTCACTTAGTGCCAGTCCTTGGATATCAATGCAAGCTTGTTTGGTTATGATTGCCTAGTTTGCAGCAAAGCGACGGATCTCGAGGCTGTCAAGATGCAGAAGTATGCATTGTACGTATATGCCTACAATCTCATTGCCTGTCAAATCTGGAACTCGTTCTTTTTTTACGATAATCCGAATATACACACTACCAGAACAGCAAACAAAGCACAGACAGTAGCAGTCAAGTCAAACAAAGACACCCCCAAAAACGCACCAAACTGAGCTCTGTCGCAGGCAGAATCCTACCTTCCCGTAAGCAACCTCACCCATCAGCCGGACATATCAATGTCACCGTCATCGCCAACTATAGCATCACCCCTTGTATCCACCAACTTCCCATTAATACCATGCACCTGCAATCCCAGCGGGATAACCATCGCCGGGAGTTTTGTGTTCGGAACCCAACTAGGAATGGCTGTCGGATGCTTATTCTGCAGCATAACCTGACGCACGCGCGTCCCCATCCCACCGTAAAACAGGAAATCCTCAGCCCCCTCATACCACTGGATCCCTTTCTTCTTTGCAGCCTCACGCAGCGGGCTCGAGTCCACGAAATCAGCGACCCAGTTGTCGTCGAGAGTATCGAAGACGATGGCGCGCAGTGACGCAGGACCATTAGCGAGGGACTGCAGCTCGTTCGCCAGGTCGCCAATGTACTCGTCCTCGTGATGGATGTGGTTCGTGTACAGGCCTAGCGACTCGAGGTTGGGAGGGAGATGAGACACCATTTTAGTTGGGTTGCGGTGCGTCCCGCAGTTGGATCCCGCAAGTAGGAAGGTCGGGATGCTGAGGTGGCGGAGGGCGCTGAAAGTTGCGAAGGGGGCGCAAGCGTGGACTTTCCGCAGGCGGCTCGTGAACCATTCGACGAACGTCTCGTCCCTGAGTTGCCCCTGGTAGATGTCTAGGTACTGTAGCTGGTCCTTGAAGGGCGCGAGCATGGCGTAGAGACCCTGCATGAGTTCGATGTCGTTCTTCTCCTCGAACTCCTCGTCTTCGTCGCGCTCGTCGTCGCCGGGGAGGTGGATGCTGAATTGTGTGAGGTCTGGACAGAGGGCTAGGAGGGACTCGAGGCGGAGGTTATTGAGAGAGGGGGCGTAGAGGGTGAGTTTTTCGATTTTACTGGCATTCTGCCGCTGGTTGGCGATTTGGCTTACTGACGCCGTGCACTTGACGACGTACGCGGAGAAGTCTTTTAGCGCGGGGAGACGGTAGAAGGGTCTGTTGGTCTCGCTGATGACGCACGGGCTGTCTTCTCTTATATCCCTCCCCACCTCCTTGATAATCGCGATCCTGGGCGCGACCACGAGGCGGTTCAGTTTTTGGAGCGGGAGATGGTCGAGCTGTAGGAGATCTGTGTTTCTTCCGACGGCGTAGCCTAGGATCCGGCCGAACCAGGGATCCTGGTCTTCGGTCCAGTCGTGGATGTTCAGGGTTTTGATATTCGGGCAGTACGCCAGAATCAGGGCCAAGAGCGGGCACGCGTAACCGTTCCAAAGCTGAGCGTCCTCGAGGACTTTCCGTGCCCGTCCTTCGAGGTCATCGGATCCCTCGTCGAACCCGACAGCCCTAAACGCCTCTCTGAGCCAGGGCCTCGCCTGCCTGTACAGCGCGCGATTGTAATGTTTCCCGAGCGCATAATAAAAGCTCCCAAGCCTCAGCTCCTTACCCAGGACATGCGTGAATTGCTCCACAAGCCACCTGCGAACAACGGCATCATCGTCGGTCCTTGCAGGGTCCTGAGCTGTAGGTGGAAAGGGGGCCTTCATGCTCTCATCGTATTTCCACGCCGTCAGGAGGATATCAGGGTTCTTCTTAGACGTCATCCTTAAGCCGCCTGTCCTGAGCCCGAAGCTCGTCAACGTCACATGCCGGACCATGGCCGCCAGCCGCGGGTTCGAGACGATGAGTTGCGTGAACTTCCAAAGGGACTGGATATTGTTGATGTTGCCGTCGAAGGAATACTTGCCGTAGACGATGGGTGTGAAGACCTCGTTCCAGGTTTTGTTGATGGTGAGCCAGCTTAGGTGCAGTGGCTCGGCGTAGTCTTCTCCTCCTAGCTCTCGACCTCCTACGGCGAACTCTAGGATTGGTCTGACGACCTCTATGGGGAGAGGATATCCAAAGACGTGGGAACTCGGTTGGGCTGCCATGGCGTGTAGGGACAGATAGTCGATTCTTGGTGCTCAGGTATAATGAGGGAAGTTGTAGAGTGGTGAGGGGCCCCAAAGGGAGGGTCACGGCGGCGAGGTATATGCACCCATGTCGTCGAAAGCCGCTACACTCTCGCTTGTCGATTTCAGCGCGGAAATGGATCTCTTTCAGTCGTCGACAAGCCATACATGGCCAGTTGGCAGTCCTTCGGCGCCATCGCCATCAGCAGGTTCGTCCACGAGCCCATCACGAGTTCACTATCTCTTTGGGCAATACCTAAATTTGTCCTGGGCGGGAGGACGTTGTGTCGAGAACAATGAGGCGGCCTGAAAGTGGCGCAAAGAATGAATAGAGAGTAGAACAGCACGCCATATCCGCAGACGCTCATTGCACGCTTCATGTTTCTTTGAGAGCGGCGAAATTGGGATTGAGGGAGTGAGAGAGAGCCGAGGCGCAAGCTAATTGAAAGACTGGAGGGAAAGAGCCACGGAATCAAGTTTTGCGAGGCATAAGACCACAAGTGGGCAAAACGAGGAACGTTCTTTGAACAAAGTCATGAGGGAGCACTGCCGAGCTGGTCTAGACTATCGCCGATTGCGATGAGGAGCTCGCTATGCTCACTGGTCGCTACAAGCCCATATCCTAAACTTGTCGAGATTATTCGTGGTGGTTCTGGAGGAAGAAAAACATCCATCAGAAAACGGAAAAAGAACAAAGCCCCAGGAGGCAAGCTCCGACGAACTCGGGATATCACAAACGCCTCACTATCGACGGCTGCGATCCCCATATCCTCAGATCATCGAGGTTGATCGTGATGCGATGATCGGAACGACTAGAGGAACAAAAACACCCAGTCAAAACGCAAAAAGAAAAGAAAATAGATTCCGAAACGGGGAAATTCCGAAACGGGGAATCGAACCCCGAGCTGCTGTGCACGTGACGATGAGAGACAGCGATGTTAACCATTACACCATTTCGGATTGTAGATATCTTATGTGCTTTAAAGTTACCTTATATCAGCTTAACTGTAAGGCTGTATGGCGGCGTATATCTTAGGGCTCGGCGGGAGGGCAGGAAGGTGTTTTGGGGAGGAAGGCAACAAGACATCTACCATCCGATATGATGTACCGCGATGGTGCGCATCGCTAGGTGGACCCAGGCGAGTGATGTGTGAGCATGGCTAGGCGAATATATATGTCAGCACCGGAGCCATATCCATCGGTCACTCCGCAGGATACGGTACAGAGACTAGGCTACATGAGGAGACTCGAGTACATTGTGAAGTACAAACAATTCAATACGACATCTTGCTCATAAATGCGAAGACATGGCCCCCAAATGAGGTAACCTCTAGGCAAGGCGTCGCTGATGGACGCCCCGAGTTGGAATAGCGTAGGTAGCTAAGGGATTGAGATGCTCGCGATGTCTCGATGGACCTGGGTCAATGAAGAGAGGCTACTCCGTAGAGCGCCGAGGTCTCAGAAGGAGCCCAAACTATAGGACACCGTAAGACATCCAAGCATAATGGAGAAGACGCCGGTCCCCAACATGTCTATTGCTGGAATCCCTGCAGGAACTCCTCTCCCTCTACACATCCTCAAAATATTGGTAGTCTTCCTTCTTCCAATCATCGGGAGCAGATAGAGAGACCTCACGGAAGTAATTCCGCAGGAGTACCCATGATACACATTTCTGAAATCGGTTCCGCCACCCACCGAGAATGCACCAAGCTTCTTATCCAGTCTCCCAGTTGACTTCTCATGGAGTTGTCGTACGGTACAATGTATATCATCATATTCATACTCGTAATCGGGTGAAGAATCGGGGTCAATTCCGTGCTCCACTGCTCGTCGCCTCAAATCCTCCCGAAAAAAATGGATTAGGGCTCTCCCTTGCTTCATTCATCATGGCCCAAGTTGGCTTGAAGTCCGGCAAAGTTTCATAAACGCGGACATAGTTCCCGACAATGCACGCCCTGGCGACTCTATCTACCATTCGAGGCATTCTCTTCGCGAGTTCTCTATACCTATCTGGCCGGGCCAAGGTCGGATACCAGATGCAGCTTGGAGCGGTGTCGGGTTTTGCGAATATGCGGGACAGATCATAGTTCATGATAAAGCGGGCAGTTATGGCTTGCTCTATTCTCCACTGTATGGCAGATAGTTCATTTTTTATCGTCGAGCCGTCCGTCGTCCTTTGTGAGGTCCTGATACGACCACCATTTGGCAAACATTGTATTGTGGAATATGCCACGGATAACGAATATATATTCGGTTTTGATCATAATTGGGCGTCGTAATCGGACGTAGCGGTCGATGTCGCCATAGTACGCGGCCATCAAGATGAGTAGATCTTTGTTCACTGTTGGCAGATCCACAGGCAAAGGGGAATATAGAAGCGGAGTGGCATCTCCCGAGCTGGACTCTTGGGCAGGCGTCGTATGAGTATCGATTCTCATGTCCTCAGTTATGTCAAAGTAGTGGGTAGACTTGAAATCGCGATCATGTTCCTGCTTGACCTCGAGGGAGGAGCGCACAGCCGTGTCCTCATTCAGACAAGCCTTTCGTGGGTTGTCCAGGTTGATAGTACGGGTATAGTCGTTCATAACATCGTACTTGTCTGGTTGATTCGTGATAATATCGTAGATCTCGGCACACCCGTTGTCGCGAGCCTCCTCAGCAATATGCACATCAGGGAGCAAATCAAGCTCTTTGTACAGATCCACATAGCCCGCAACCGCGCAAGCCCGTCCGACTTGATACCGGAGTTCTGGATACCGGGCTGAAAGCTTGCGGTGAGTTTCTTCGGTCGCCACGTCGGGATGCCAGATACAGTAGGGCATCTCGTCGGGAAAAAAGATATCAGGGATTATGTTGCTCATAATACTTCGCGCATGAAGAGCCCTGTTTATACTCTTCAAGCTATATTGGCCCTGAAGCTCCGTTGCAAACCCATGATGGTATCGAATGCCCCTGATGAGGCAGAGAAGGTGACAGCCTTTCAATCTCTCGGGGATCTTTTCACCTCGAATGGCAGCATCACACTGCTCTGCTTCGTACTTGAATCTCATGACAGAAAGATAAATCAGGTCTAACAAGAGTGAGCAGGTTGCCAGATATACTGGGGATAGGCCCAATATCAATTTTCAACGCGATAGATGTTGAAAGCGAATTGGTATGTATTGCAGCAATAGTCAAGACCCGGCGGAGTTTTTTCCTCGCGGAAATTGCACTAGTACTCCGTAAGACTATGGCGGCTCTGTAGTCTATACTGCTGTGGTACCCACCCAGGATATTCGTCGATTCGACTCGTGGTGCTAAGCATTGCCCTTTTCTGCATCCCCCAGCCCGTTGCAGGCTGTTTAACGCGAAGCAACCCTCTTGCTTTAACCGGCTTCATAAAACCACCAGCATTATTAATCATCAAAAACGGATCTAGTCACAGATGAAATCCTCAACGAGGGCTTTTTCGGAGCATAGAGACGGTCTGCGTCGTGGAATATCGAGTATGGTGGAGGTGTCATCTCATGATAAACAGCGCGGCGGCGATAGGGCGGAATTTCAGGCAGTGATATAAAAAAGAAACTCGGCTGGTGTGGACAAGGTTAAATACTAACGTAAATTGCTCGCGGTTCGCACTTTGTATACCGGTATAGATCAACGTCGACTCCGCTGCGGTTGCTAACGCGGCTGTGTGGATCTTGGTGGCTGGGCACTCGGCAGAGATTGAAGACGGCAGAAGGTCGTCAGTCGTCACAGGCAGTAAGGGGTAACGCGGGGTAACAAAACTCTCCTGGGCCGTCTCCCCTCGCGCAGGGATGCATTATCTGGTTGAAATGATGATAGGCTGCCAAACGCAATTTAAGTAATGATGAACAGTGAACTGCCATGGACGAGAGCCGAGAAACGCTGGACAACCGGAGGACAGAAATTCGGCAGTCTGGATTAGGCCTAGGCTCGTGGAGTCCGCTGGAGCTTCCCCGCACGACGTAAACCCCCCGAAGCCCCGGTTATTGCTCCTTCGCCGGAGTTATTTTATCTTCAGGTCCCCATCTGCTTAGTTGCTTTTTTTTTTTTTCTTTTTGTCTTTCAAATTTGCTAGTTATTTGCTCTTTCTGCACACCCATTACACCTCCCCTCATACAGTGCGACCCTTCAGCTGCAGCCATGGTCTTCACTTCCTCGAGTCCGGCGGTGCTACCGCCTATCCCGGACAACATTCCGATCAGCCAGTTCATGCTCACAGAGGCCAATGGCCGATATCCCTTAGCCAAAGCACGAGACCCATTTACTTGTGGTCTCACGGGAAAGACGTACTCGACCCTTGAGGTAAAGGACAGGGTCCAGTACATGGCGCGTGCTCTCGCGAAGGCGCTTAATTGGGAGCCCAACAGGGGCTCAGAATGGGACAAGACACTCGTCATCTTTAGCGTGAATACGGTAGGTCGAGAGACCAGAAGTTGTTTGTGCACAGACGAGGATGCTAATCACCTCTTTCACTAGATCGACACGTTACCTCTGGGTTGGGCAACGCACGAGCTGGGCGGAATTGTTTCTCCCGCTAACGCGGCCTACTCCGCAGAGGAGCTCAAGCACCAGCTGCTAGATTCGAAGGCGAAGGCTTTGTTCACATGCGTTCCGCTTCTTCCTACGGCGTTGAAGGCGGCATCTGCTGCAGGGTTGCCGAAGGACCGCATTTACCTGATCGATGCCTTGCCCGACAGCGGCAAGATTCCGACGCAATACAAGACACTCTCGCAGTTTGTCGAGGAAGGGAAGTCTCTCCCGAAGCTGGAGAAACTGAACTGGCGTGCTGGTGAGGGTGCGCGGCGGACTGCCTATCTGTGCTATTCAAGCGGAACTTCTGGATTACCTGTACGTGGCCTCGAGTGGGATGTGATTCCAAATGCTGACCGAGAATAAAGAAAGGAGTGATGATCTCGCACCGAAACGTCATTGCCAATGTTCTGCAGATGGCGGCCTTGGAGAAGTCCTGGCGTGACACCAAGAAGAACGCCGACGGAAGCTACTATAGCGACGTATTGCTGGGCCTCCTTCCCCAGAGCCATATCTACGGACTGGTCGTTATCTGCCATGCCGGCACCTTCAGAGGTGACCAGGTCATCGTTCTCCCCAAGTTCGAGTTGAGGACGTGCTTGGCTGCTGTTCAGAAGTTCCGGATCTCTGTGCTGTTTGTGGTACGTAATACCTCATATAGGAGTGAACTTGTCTAACGCGCTTCCAGGTTCCTCCGATCATCATCAACATGCTTCGCAGCCCAGATGTCTGCGCCGAGTATGATCTCAGCTCGGCAGTGGCCCTCTTAACAGGAGCAGCGCCTCTTGGCCAAGAAACAGCCCTTGACTTCCAGAAAATGTACCCGAGGGTTGCTATTCGCCAGGCATACGGTGGGTGATTTGCTTGTTGAGTACTGTCGGTTCGTACTGACATTGTCTTCAGGTCTTACCGAAACAGCAACGGTCGTTACAGCCACACACTTCGACGACGTGGTGCTCGGATCTTCTGGTTGGCTCATTCCGGGCGTGGAGGCACGCATAGTGACTCCAGAAGGGGTGGAAGTCACCCAGTACGACACTCCCGGTGAGCTTTGGATCCGAGCCCCTGGTGTCGTTCTCGGCTACCTCAACAACGAGAAAGCTACCAAAGAGACCTTCATCGATGGATGGATGCATACCGGTGATGAAGCCGTTATTCGAAAGAGCGACAAGGGCAAGGAACATGTGTTCATTGTCGACCGAATCAAGGAGTTGATCAAAGTCAAGGTTCGTCGTCCAGACAACATACTAATCGACCCATGGCTAACCAGTTCTCGCCTCAGGGTCACCAAGTCGCCCCAGCCGAGCTTGAAGCTCATCTCCTTACCCACCCGGCAGTCGCGGATTGCGCTGTCATTGCCATTCCCGATGACGCTGCCGGCGAAGTTCCAAAGGCGATCGTCTCTAAATCGGCCGAGGCCGGGCCAGACGACGAAGCGACAATCAAGTCAATCCTGAAATACGTGCAAGACCACAAGGCGCGGCATAAGTGGCTAAAGGGCGGCGTCCGGTTCATCGAGACTGTGCCCAAAAGTCCCAGCGGGAAGATTCTTCGACGACTCCTTCGTGACCAGGAAGCAGCAATACGCAGACAAGCCGGCCCCAAGCTATAGATATTTTTGTGTATTTGGTGGATTTCTGGATGCGTTCTTGCGTATATAGGTGTACCCTTGGGTATATATTTTTGCAGATTAGAACTAGAATTTATGCTGGTTATGTCTGACTCATTCTTTTTATGCACGGCTTAAGTTTGCACTGTTTGATGGAAGCGCGGGGAAGAATTGAATTTCTAAGCGGGGAGATCTAAAAATTTCCAGTTACTTCATAATCCCATTCTGGCTTCATAAACATTTGAAGCCTCTTTAACAAATTCCTACATCTCATACCTTGCATACTCCACAATGTCCTCTTCAAATTCCAACCGCCCCAACGAGGAAGACGCCTTCATCGACGCCGACGAAGCCGAAGAGATCTTCACCCGCGATGAAGACCACCCCATGGAGTCTGACGGCGAGGACGCCGACGGTGACCAGGAGATGACCTTTGAAGAGCAAGAAATCGAACTCCAGAATGACTCCGCCGCCCATTTCGACGCTCACAACGACTCGATCTTCTGCATCGCGACACACCCCATCCACAATAACATCGTCGTTACGGGTTCCGGAGACGACAGCGCTTACCTTTTCGACTCGACACCAAACACCGACAGACCCGTTCTACCCGCCAGCTACGAAAGCGACCCGCAGCCGCGACGGGAACGGGAGTCGTTGAAGCCCCTGGTCAAGATGGAGGGACACAGTGACAGTGTTAATGCGGTAGCGTTCACGGAGCCGCGCGGCGAGTATGTTCTTACAGCCGGCCTGGATGGAAAGTTGCGCGCTTGGAGAGATACCACAGGGAATCTGGACGGCACGGCTTGGTCATTCGTTGCCGAGGTGCAGGAGGTCGAGGAAATCAATTGGGTCGCTGTTTGTCCTACCAACACTGGACACGGGGAGGAAGAGGAGAAAGCGAACGTTATTGCGCTCGGAGGCAATGACGGCAGTGCGTGGGTGTTCCGGATCAACCACAAGGAGGCCTCAGAGCCTATCTCCATTGTCCAGAGTTTCTTCCAGCACACCGGACCCTGCACGGCGGGTGCGTGGACGCCCGACGGAAACCTACTCGCGACCGTCTCCGAGGATGGTAGCTTCTACGTTTACGATGTGTTTGGCGCTGCTGCGGCGGCCGGTGTGTCATACTCTGCTGGAACGAGCGCCGTTGTTGGCTTGACGGCCGAGGATCAGCGATTCGCCGTTGAGGGTGGTCTGTACTCTGTTGCGATTGCTCCTGGTGGTGGCTTTGCAGCCGTTGGTGGAGCGGAGGGACATATCAAGATCGTCGGTCTTCCCCGTCTCGGCCAAGCTGGGGCTGGTGGTGGTGCCGGTGCCTCCTCCAAGGCCAAGGGCAGGCCCGCTGCTCAGACCTCCGCCGCTACAGCAGGTACACTTCTCGCCTCTCTCCAGCCTCAATCCGACAGCGTCGAGACGCTCTCTTTCTCCGCTCCCCCGTTGACGCTACTCGCTGCCGGCTCGGTCGATGGCTCCATTGCTCTATTCGATACCGCCCATCGTTTCGCTGTTCGTCGGCACATCAGAGAGGCACACGAGGGTGCCGTGGTGAAGGTTGAGTTCCTCCAGAGTCGCGCCGCCGCCGCACCATCAGTCCGCCCGAGTCCCCTGGCTGCGGCGACAACAGGCCACCGGTCATTCCTCCTAACATCTGTTGGCATTGACGGTGTTGTTCGACGATGGGATGCTCGTGGCGGTACTACTGCCGCTGGCCATGGGTTGCTGAACGAATGGAAGGGGCACTTCGGACTTACCGAGAACGATGAAGGCGAACAAGCCGGTGGAATCATGGGCTTTGTTCAAGGATTTGATGGAAAGAGGGTTGTTACGGCTGGTGATGATGGTATTTCATTGGTTTTCGAGGAATAGATTCCCTTGACTGTGGACTTGATTCGTTTTCGTATATAGACCAATGATGATTTGAATGTCATGACATCACCACATGTTCGATCTCTTGCTCTGGTTATCTGACTCGATTTGAGTTCTTGCGCCTGTAGAACAAACGAATCCATTTGTGCCACGGAGATATCAGTAGTTTTGATACACGAAAACAATGCTATGTACACTGACAAATCAAACCCAGGCGCCGTTTGCAGAGGGCTTATGCGTGATGACCAGACATACTCCGATCAGACCCTTCTATAATATAGCACAAATATTGTCCCTGGCGCGCCATCTCCCTTCAGAACGAGTCCGGTTCCTGCAAGCCGGGGTATCCTCCGCTCTAGGGCACGTCTATTCCGTCCTAGGACCTCTTATCTCTCACCGGATTGGGAAACGCTCAGTGGTGGCCATCGCCGTGGTGGTGGTCGTCCTTGATGAAGAAGTACTCGTAAGCGCAGTAGCCTGCGAACGCAACGCTGGCGATGCCGAAGCCAGGGAAGATGTTCTTGAATCGCTGGAAGCGGCTGAATGGTCCGGTGTACCTCCACGCCTCGCTGGAGAACAGTCAGCTCACATGAACAGGCGAAATATCAATTGAAGACCGTACTATCGAGCCCAGGGATCCCGCTTAGCCCAGATTGACCGCGGGTTGGCGGCGGCCTTGAACTCGTTGACGTTGAAACCGGTGGGGTTGGGAGTCATTGTGTCGGTGGGTGATTACGCGGCGGCGAAGCGATCAATTGGTGATAAAGAGCGACGGTAGTAGGTTCGGTAGTAAATCCCACCGTATTCCGAGCGCAATAGAAGCGGGCAATAACGTGCAAACAGTGGGCGTTTCTCGTGGTGGTTGCGAAGTCGTCAGCGAGGGAAGCTGGAGAAACTCATGCTTGGCGCGCTAACCCACATCCAGCGACGCAAGGTCTCTCCGCCTTCCCTATCCAACCAGCGGACCCGGCATTATCCTGCTGTGTCTTCATTCCATCGAATCCCACCAATCTCAGATGCATGACCAGCCCCTCGAGTTGCAGTCGAAACCGATTCAATTACCGATATCATGCCCCCTCCCGTCGGCCGATACGGCGGCCCTACCGGTATCACCGGTCCCTACTCCCATCTAGCAGCCCAGCAACAGGCTCACCTCCAGCAACAACAGCAACCACAGCATCACCCGCCTCACGCCCAGTCTAGCAACACAGCTCTCCCGCCGCCCTCGCTTGGCGGCCACCCTGGTTTCACAACCGCGAACCCGAACGCAAATATGAATCCTTTTACGTTGTCTGGTGCAGGGGTAGGGAATGGGATGTCTGTCGCGGGATTTGGAGCCGCCGCGGATGGTGGAGGTACGGGGCTTGCGAGCCATGCGGCTCAGATGGGGTTTGCGAGGGGTGCGCAGATGCAGCAGCAGCAATTACACCAGGCGCACGACGGGAGGTTTACGCTTGAAGGGAAGGGTGCTGGTGTTAAGACGCGGATACGCGACGTATGGAAGCACAATCTAGCCCAGGAGATGGCGGTTCTGAGACACCTTGTCGAGAAGTATCCCTACATCAGCATGGTGAGTTGGTTCGAACGACTTGAAGTATTTTTAGCCATGTCCGTGCTAACATTCTGAAGGATACGGAGTTCCCCGGAATCGTCGCGCGTCCGATTGGATCGTTCACGAACAAAGCAGACTACCACTACCAAACCTTAAGATGCAACGTCGACTTGTTAAAGATGATACAGCTCGGGATCACCCTTTTCTCGGAGAAAGGAGAAGTGCCGCCGCCAGATGCTACCGATGCGAACGGACAACCACTGGGAAATGGCCTCGTACCTGCGCCGTGTACGTGGCAGTTCAACTTCCGGTTTTCGCTAGAGGAGGACATGTACGCTCAGGAGTCAACGACGATGCTGGCCAAGGCGGGCATTGACTTCGCTACACACGAGAAAAACGGTATCGACCCGCTTGAATTTGGAGCCTTGCTGATTAGTTCTGGATTGGTATTGTTGGATGATGTTCATTGGGTCTCGTTCCATTCCGGCTACGACTTTGGCTACCTGATGAAGATTATGCTTTGCCAAGCGCTACCAGAGAATGAAGAAGAGTTCCATAAGCTCCTCACCATTTTCTTCCCATCGCTATACGACATTAAATATTTGATGAAACACGCAGGACGCAACCAAGCGGTCAACGACTCTCCGTTAACACCGGCCGCCGCTCAAATCCTCACCAACCTCGGACAAAAATCTGGACTCCAGGACATCGCAGACGAACTTGGGGTAAAACGGGTCGGCATCGCACACCAAGCCGGCTCTGACTCCCTCGTCACTGGAGAGATGTTCTGGAAAATGCGCCAACTGGTCTTCAACGGCAAGATCGACGACTCCAAGTACTCCGGCCAAATCTGGGGCTTGAACGGCCAGATGCCGACCATGACATACCATATCAACCCACATCAAACACCGAACCTCAACGGCGCCACAATATACTCAGCTGCTGGTACGCCGAGCACCCCAAATAATGCTGGCGTTCAAACCCCTCAACATCACACTCCCGGAGCGCTGACGCCTGGAGCTACAGGTGGAGTCTTAGGACAATTTCAAATGGCGAAGTCGTGAAGCTTCAGCCTCTTTTCTTCTCTGCTAATGTATAGGCCTTTCCTGTTGGCTTTCTAAGGATAGTCCCTCTTTCCCGCTTTCTCTTCTCTTCGCCACTTTTCTCTCTCGCTACTTCGCCATTTATCGGCAGTTAGCTAGCAATGGAATACGACTTGACGGATGTACATACCACGCGGTCTTCTTGTGACGTTTCTTTTCCTCGTTGCGGTCTTGGTGCATGCTTGCCACACCTTATATTTATGTGGTAAAGTCACTCGCTTGCCGTGGATAGCGCTGTCGTCACTTGGTTTTGGAGGGTGTTATTATCTCGATGGGTGCATGGTGTTGCGTTTTTCTTCTATTTCCCTTCTCGGCTGGAATCTGATGCTATACGGGCGTTCAAACATGCGGATATATGTTTTTCTTAAGGTTCTCTTACGCTCCGTGCCTTGTGTCTATTTTCTTTATAGATGTCCGTAGGTAGAAAAGGGTTGGATCTTTCTCATTTTTCAATGGATATTGTAGGGTGTTTTCTGCTAACTGTACACTCCAGCTAAACACAGACCTTCTCTTCGCAGCCTTCCATGCTAGCACGAGACCTCTCAATCCGTCTTTAAACCGGAAATGCAATCAAAGTGCTTGAGATGGACAAGCGAATGACTGGAAGAAGCAAGGTAGGTAGAGTACCTAAAGTACCGGAGACGGCTAGGAAAACCTGTGGCCTCCAGGATATGGTCTATAGACAGGCATAGATAGGTGAGATCAAAAGAGGTCGCGAGATCCAGTAATTGAGAGCGATTCGAAACGGAGGTCAGGCCAAAGGTCCAAGAGTCGAACAAGCTGAAATTGTGACTGTATTTTCTCTTGTTACCAGTGGACATTTCTTTGACTTTTTCCCTCATATTTCAGCCCACCTGCCTTGGACCGACCTTGCTTTCATATTCAATCCTGCTAACTTCGTTTTACCTTCTCTCCTTTGCTCTTCTTACCTCTTCCTCGCTTGACGTCCTCAATCTGTCCTGACTCGCCTGCTCCCTCGATCTTGAAGCAACGTACTTGACGGGCATAATCTTCTCCTCTTCCCCAAGCATTGGAAACCGAGTACCGCAATTCTTTTTTTCCAGCACTCAGAGCCTTGCCTCCGCCGCATTGTAGACGTTCGCGATGAAGCTGGCGGACCTCCCTACCGAGGTTCTTCATCACATCTGTCTCTTTGTAAGTCTTCAAGATGCCTCAATATGGCCCTGGTCCATCTTCATCGGGCTTTTAATGTGCTGACACAAACAGGTCAAAGGTGAATCCTACCATGATCTTGCCTCCTTAGGCCAAACAAGCCGCCGACTGTTTTCGATTGCCGCACCTTTGTTCTATGGAAAGCTCATCGTACATTGGTCTGGCGATGATGCAAATGGGCCCGAAAAGGCGTTTGCTGAGCTACACGCGACTGGCCTCGGCCGGCATTATTTGAAATACACGAGGCAACTCGACGTTGTGTGCCATGATCGACAGATCAAAGGAATCCCACTGTCGACTGAGAATGTCTCCTTGATATTCCAAGACTGTAGTTTTGAGCCTGCGAATGCTTCATTCTTGAATGCACGTTTGACAAGCCCGCCTCTTCCTGGCCTCGAGCACTTCCTATTTGATAGGGCTGGGAGGAGTTATCTCGGTTCTAATCGGAAGTCCCAAAGATGGACATCGCAGTTGGTCAAGCTATTGGCAGACATAGACCGGTTGTTTCAATTCAACTATTACCTACGCGACGCATTCCCATTATGTCTTCTTGAAGCCATCAGCGAGAACCATCCTCGTTGTCGATTAGATATCTCAGGCGATCAACTTTGTTGCGAACTATCCAATCGTTCTCATCCCGGCAGGGTTATGCTTTCACTGGATGTACTCCGTTCCCCCCTACTTGAAGCTTTCACGCTGTATCTTCCTTGGCCGCTCGATAGGACACCCATAGAGAATCTGCAGAGCGAGTATCTCATGACGCTTGCTCGAATTCCTAAGCTCAAGCATCTTCGCATTTGGCCATACATGTGGGAGACAGTTACTCCCAATAAGCCGATTACTGTGCAATTCGAACAGAAGTCGAATCGATCGTCCTCCGGTATTGAGAGTACACCAGTTCCAGCACTTGACTCGCTGGTTGTGGACGGAGAGAGTTCTATATTGAATGAGCAAATACTCATCAAGACTTCACAGGTTTTTGACCTTTCTCGCCTTCAGACGCTGGCCATATCACTCACCAAGGATACGATTCTTCTAGAGAAGGTTGCCCCAGCCCTGCATAGCATAGAACGGCTTTCCGTCACCCGATATGCAGAAATATGCCCCGAAGACTACCATTTGCTGAAGGATGATAGCCATACTATAGCAGCAATCGGGGCTTTTCGGCCTTTGAAGTATCTTCGCGTCCAGGTGATCCGAAGCTTCGAGGCTCTCTCCAGCATTCTCGTTCATCATGGAGGAACCCTGAAAGGCTTAGAAATTCAGCCCTATTGCCTTGCTTTTGCTACGCCGCACCCGTGGGATGCTGGATATAACTTTCCGTTGCTCGATAGTGACGCAATTCGCGAATTGGCAATATTGTGCCCGTATCTACAGGAGCTACGTTTACAGATCAAGCGCTCGACGGGCAGCTGTGATGAGTGTGAGGCATATAGGGCACTCGGCGAGTTCCCGCATCTTCGCACCCTCTTTCTTGACTTGTACTGCGAGCCCAGGGACCCACCATTTGAAAATGGGTTTGACGCCGTCATACCATACCGCGAACTCTTCATGAACGCCGCAGTAGACAAAGCGTTGATTCTATCCATCTGGAATCTCATCGTCTGTCAACAGAAGTCCAAGAAGCTTCGCGACCTACGTTGTACACCATTTGTAGAAGACTTTTGGGATGAAACCGTGACCTACGTTTGCAGTATCCTCTGTAACTCATTCCTTGTGAGGCGTCAGGACTTTACGTCTACCGAGCCCCTGCAAATAACCGGAGTCTGGGAAGTTCAAGGTGAAAAGGACGAAAATTTCGATGCATTTCTAGGCCATGAGATTGAAGACGCTTTGAATAATCTCTGGCCTGGGGATAAAGGATGGAGGAGTGCCTGGCATAGCTTTCCACTGCAGATCGATGACCCTGCGAACTATGATTTCCAACATGCTCGGGATGCGCTCACGTCAATCTAGTACATGACTTGCTTCAGTGATCCAGCGTGGATCTTGAAAAGCCTATGGCGGTGATGTAATTTCCTGGACCCCCTACCTAGGGCCGAGTCGGTCGACGGATGGCATCCGTAGGCGTTGCTTTCACTCGGACCGCGTCCGATGCCTTCGGTACCTAAAAGCCGTCTAGGTATACGGCACTGTGATTTTATAAGGACATGAGGACATTTTACTACAGTTACCAACATCCAAATTTCTTTTCTACGCCCTGTTCTCTCAGATCCTCCGCATACTCTGTCTCCTTGGATCTCCAACTGCTGCGCCTACACCCACCAAAATGACACTTATACATATGGGTCAGTTCGCCTCCCAATTGCCGACTAGCTAGCACACGCTGACCTGTGACTTAGTCCTTTTCAAGTTCCGCGCCGGAGTCAGCGAAGAACAAAAGACGAAATTCATCCAAGAGCTCAAGACGCTGAAAAATCTACCTTCAGTCAAGAACGGACGTCTTATTGTCGGTAGCCCCAGCGTTACGGATCCCATTGAGCGCAGCAAAGGATTCCAGATTGCCCTCGTGAGCTACCACGAAGATCTGGCGGCTTTGGCAGAATACCAAGCAAGCGAGGAGCATCACCGGTAAGTTGTTGCCTCACTATGGGTTTGAGTCGTCCAGTATGCGATACTAAGATCGAGCTGCAGAGTGACATCTACATACTTTATTCCGTACAGGGAGGATCTAGTTCGCTTTGATTTTGAGGTTGACGCGGAGGATGAATACATGTGCCAGTTTCCTGGGTTAGCTTAGTTCTCCATTGAACAAAATCTATCATTCTGCTCGTGATCCGTAGAGCATTAAACCATGCAAAGCAAATTGTAGTTTCCCCGGCTGCGATCGGAAGGCCCGCTTATCCACCGGATCTTCCCCGTCAGGCCCTTCTCTTCTCTACAAACCTCTCCACGTTTCGAAGAACCGGAAAACCCTTATTATACAGGTGCGATACCTTTGTTAACTAATATTTAATGGGCAGCTAAGTTGTTAAGCAGTTTAGAATTGACGTTGCAGGTATCTCAATTGGCCCGTTCCCTCGAAACCCGAGATGGACTCGCCGAGGAGGACACGGAACAGAGCCGCCTGCAAACGCTGCCAGCGACGGAAAATCCGCGTATGCTACCACAGTCAAGCTCCCCGAACTAAAGCTAAACAGTCGACAGTGCGATGGCAATATTCCCTCCTGTGGCTCCTGCTTGAAAGCTGGTGTCGCCTGCATCAACGATGGCAAACAGGAAGTTCATCGCTCGTTAGTTTTGCTCCCTTCCATCATTGTGAGGTGACTGACGGGTGGAAAGGTACATCGCGAATATAGAGAATCGGATCAAATGGCTCGAATCGATCGTGCGAGATCGATGCTCCGATGTCGATTTGGACCATGGTCTACCGCGCCCTCAAGAGACATTGGATGAGACAATGCAGACGGAAACGCTCAACGACAGCAGAGACGATGACGCCCAGGTTTATCATCAACCGTCCCAAGATGCCGTCCAGGAGAGACGAGAAAATCAGCCCGAGGTTAGCCCGCGCATCATAATATCAGGAAATCAAGAGGTTCTACGAGCCCCTTCGCGAGCTGCTGGAGTCAATGAAGAATCTCAGCAAGCGCACGAGATCGGGCTCGTGTCACTATCTCCAGGTGGTGACCGTCGGTACATCGGACCTTCGAGCGGATACTTCTTTGCGCAACGGATCCTCAAAAGTGCTGGTTGCCGCGGCGCGCCTAGGACCTCATCTATTACTGCCTCCTCGGATTCCAACCGTCTGTCCCTCGAGCTGCTGAATACCCCAGCGGCGATGCCGGCTCAAAAGCAAAGCACAGTCGAACTATCGACCAAGTACTTTCGAACAGTACACCTTCTCTACCCCTTCCTGCATGAACAGACGCATATGGAAGCTATCAATCGAGTATACGCTTCCCACGACAATGACCCTCTGGACACCTTTCAGGTCTATATGGTTCTGGCGATCGCTTCTCTCAACCTGTCACGACAGTGCAAGGTGCATCTCCCTGTAGAGGGCTACTACGCATCGGCGATGAAACATCTCGACCACGTCTGCAACCTCGGATCCGTAACTTCTCTTCAGTGCCTACTACTTCTGATGGTCTATGCGCTGTACAACCCAAGCTGCAATATCAACATCTGGAACCTCAACTACCAGTGTCTCGCGAGCGTGATCGACCTGGGGCTTCAGCGCGATGTCCGGGCTTCTGAATCGCTCCATATATCAGTTTTCGATCAGGAAATGCGGACCCGTATATTTTGGGTCGTTTATACGTTTGACCGGACAGTGTGCACCATGATGGGTCGTCCAATCGGCATCAGAGACGAAGCCTGCGACATACGGGTGAGTGCCGTCACAGTCATTTAGCAGAACCTGAGCTGAACTCCGATATCTAGTTTCCGTTAGCGATTTCAGATCGTGATCTCACCAGAATCAGCCCCGACTGCCAGACGTACGACCAATCGTCCTCACACATATCATCCTCGATTCACCTCTTCAAACTGGCTCAGCTTAACTCAGAGATAAAGTACATCATGCACAGCATCAACCGCGAGGCTCCTGCCTATGCTCTCCCCGTCATCAGAGACATTTTAACATGGCAACAAGGAATGGTCCAGTCGCTGGACAACTGGAACGCCGCAATTCCACCACAGACGGGCGGCGGCAGCACCGAGATAGTACATTTATGCCGGGCGAAATACCACGAAACGATGATTCTTTTATTACGACCCAGTCCCGGGATCCCAAACCCCTCTGATGCCATTCTCGATGAATGTTTCAACCACGCTCTTGCTCTACTCCGAGAGTTCAGCGAGCTCTATGCAACCGGTAATCTCCTCTACAACCGGCTAGTCGTGCACTCTATCTTCCTCGGCACCCTAGTCATGCTGAACTGCATCTGGAAACTGCCAGCGACAGCCGCCAGAGTCCCGGTGGACGAGCTGATCTCCAAGTTCAATACCACGCAGAATATCCTCAGTAGCATTGGCGAACATTGGTTCGAGGCTACGAGGGCGCGTGACTGCATCAAGGAACTATCCACCGTGACAATCCAGCGACTTTTAAAAACGCAAGTGACCGGAGCTGCTGTTGCCGCACAGCCTTCTCTACCCCAGCCTTTCACGCCACTGTCGCAGCAGTACGCCCTCGGCAGAACCCAGGGCGAGGGTGAGGTTACCTCACAACCTGGAAACCACGGCGACTTCCCTGTAGCCCCAGTGCACTTGGCCGCTCCAGATGCCGAGATGCATACGAGCTTTGACCAGTCCGGTTCGGCTTCGGAATTCTCAAACCTATTCGATGATTTCCTGCAGGGTGATTTTCCTGGTTGGAGCGGGATGTCTGATATAGATGGGCTTATGTGGGAGATCTTCAACAGCACCGCTCAGTGAGATATCGGATCATTATATCTCGTTAAGACGTTACTGGCCGTCCGAGAAGGCCAATACTCGGTCATTGAGGCCAGATGCTGATAGCGAACGCAGAGAGCCAAGTCTCCCGCTATGCGAATAGTACATGGCCCACCTGATCCGTAGTACGGGAGAGGAAGGAACCCCAACCATGATGGAGTAGGTATGCCGCTATCTTGTCATCCTTGATATCATCGTCGTCGTACAAGGCCTTCCCGCTCGTCGCTGTGACTTCCATCATCACATTGGCGCCTACCATTGGACGGCAGCACGTCTTCGGCGTATGGACGCTGCAGCCGCGAAGAACAAGGAATGAGGACACCAGTGGGTGTCTTGTTGTTTTGAAGTACTCTAATGGTGTGGTTTGATGCAACAGGCCGCTCAAAATCAAGTCTACGGTCAGGTTGTGGTGCTTGAGTTGAATTGAGACAAATATGTATGTATAATTGATCTCATTTTTTTTTTCAATGCAGTTAGGTACAAGTACGACATAGTCTATGTGCCCGGCCATCCTAGTGTAGTATGTAAACATTATTCCTTTCTAGACTTGCTAAAAGTATGCATGTGTCACCAGCAACAGCACGAATTTATCCAAAACCCAGCACAAAGAGAGTAATTGTGCAGAAGCAGATGCAAGCTCAGGGCAAGTAGGATAAACATCAAGCGGAAGTTGAATGTATGTATTGCTTTCGAAGCAATCCCAAAAGAGTGGTAGATAGCCAAAAAGGTAAATATGGACAAGAATGTAATGGGCCAAGGGGGTATGGGTATATAACTGAGCTCGGTGAATAATCCAGCCGATGAACAGAAGACGAAACGAATATGACTCGTCGGAAAAAAGTTAAAGGAAGACGTGGTGGTACATGTCGCATCAAGACGAGAGATATCAAATAGTGGTACAAAAAGCAAAATGCCTCCGGTCTAGCGCCTGTATATGGTAGGGTATGAAAAAGATAAAGTATGGACTTCGAATATCGTATTTTGGAACACCGGTGGGAAGAAGCAAGGAGGGGACGTTCAAATCATGTTCATGAGTTTTGTGGTCCGCCGTTCAGGGAAACGGCGGGCACCACCAGGTGGTCCTCCTGGCGGTCCGAGTTGGTTTGGCGAGGGTGAGGGTGGTGGACGGCCATAGGGAGCTGGTCCTGGGCCTGGCTTACGGCCGGGGACGGGGCCGGGCCCGTATGGACCGGGTGGACCAGGCGGACGAGGTCCGCGACCTCGGCCTCGGCCCGGACCTGGGTAGCCTGGTGGAGGTGGGCGGCCGCGAGATGAAGGAGGGGGCATGGGCATGCCAGAGGGAGCAAGAGGTGAAGAAGGCATAGTCGGGCGACGGAAACGATGAGGTGAGACGGAGGAGGCAGCGCGCCGGGCATCTCGCTCGCAGTAGACGAAGCCGTCCCACTCGTAGTACTCGCCCTGGAGGTCGATATTGCAGGTACGGCATCTGAGACAATCGATGTGGAATTTCTGGCGATCTCCGGGTCCTGGACCCGTGCGTTCATTTGTCTCAAGGTATTCACCCTCGATGCCCTCGTGGCATCCAGCGCAGATTGAGCCGTTACGTTCATGGTAGTGCCTCGCGCAGTAGGGGCGGTCGTTGAGGACGTAAAAGTCGTTTGTTTCAAAGGGGAGGCGGCATTGGAAGCAGACGAAGCAGGCGCGGTGGTAGCGGCCAGTCAGGCGGCCGTCGGCGGAGGAAATGGATTTGCCCATGATCATCTCGCCGCAGCCACGGCAGGGTCCTCGTGGTTTGGACTGTTGTGGGCGGGGTGTGGGTTCCGTAGCGGCTCGCGACAGGGGCTTTCGCTCCTCCATGTCATCTGGGTTTGGAGGGCTTCGAGGACTCCGTGGGCTTCGCGGACTTCGCGGGCTGTGCGGCATTTGAGAGCCTTGAGGAAATTCGGGTATGAGAGATAAGCCGCCGCCTTTTGCGAGGGCCGGGTCTGTAGGTGAATCGGGAGTGAAGAGGTTTTCAGGGATACGAGGAGGTTCGAGGATCGTAGGACTTCCCGAGTGGCTTTCGTTGCGATGTTCTGTATTTGAAACAGTTTCTTTGCGAGGGTCTTCAACGACAGGGCCAAGGCGGGTCAGATCAGACGGCTTCCGCCTGGACATGCTGACATCGGATTGAATGCTTGACAGAGAAGTGCCGCTTCTGGTTTCTGACGGTGATGAATCAGAAGAGGTCGTCGAATCTTTCACGGTATCGTCGTTTATATCAAGACCCAGGGCCCGAGCGAAGTTAGACACTGAGATTGCGCTGTCATCGGTAGCGTCGGAGTTCTTCCTGCGCATGTCGTCTTGCCCATTCTGATCTGCAGGGTTGGGCTGTAAATAATCCGTGCTTGATGGCTTGAAAGCCTTGTATTCGACCTTTTCAGATTCGGCTGGTGATATCGACCGGAATTCAGACTCGGGTAGATCGAGAGGAGGTCCGTAAGTACTTTGCGCCGGACTGCTGAAGAATAATTCAGCGGATCCACGCGAACTGCTGAGGCGCTCCGAATTTGCGGCCGACGATACTCGTAAGGGGCTGGCAGCTGGTTTATCCAGCGCACCACCGAAATCAAACCCGCTGTGCACTTCATTTTTACCATCCCGTCTTGCTGAGATATCGGACATGGACGAATCCGAGAAGACCGAATGGAACACGTTTGGCGGAGACTGCGGAATTGGGGGTATATCTTCCTCATATCTGTATCCAGCCAAGGCTACACTTCCAAAAGATGGTCGCCGGCTGGAGATTGCGGTTGATCGTTTCGAGTTTCGATCGCCATACCGCGTGCTCGCCAGGGACGTTCTATAGCTGCTTTTGCTGTCCACGGAAACAGTGTGCTTATGCGCGTAGGGTGTATCATCCTTCGGTAACGGCGGTGGGGCTTGTTCTTCTTGCGGGCGGAGTGGTAGATGTGCGCTATGCGGCGGGCGATCATAACCCTTGTTTATCGCATCTGTAGACCCAGGTGCTTCCTTCACTGTCATGCCATTTACCCGTCGCCCGGACATCGATCGAGGTAGCGGGAAATTCGGGATACCTTCACCGCTATCCTCCGTGCTGGGGCCCTGGGGAAGTGGAGCTGTCCGCAGCGGGGAGCGCGATCCTGGCGATGCGGAAAGGGGAGAGGGGAAAAGATTGTCGTCCTGCCCGGTCGTCGGTTGTAGGAATGGTTGATCTATGAAGAGTGGTCGTTAACATGGGATGTACCGCTGCCAGGCGAGGCAAACATACTAGCTCTGAGAGGGTCGATGTTTGTTGGCGGCGATGCCCGCCCAGCCTTCGAAGACCATGCATCCTGCGACCCTAATGTCGGTCTTCGTATTGACTTGGGAGGCGGTGGGGGAGGGGACGGTGTTCGCGATATAGCTGCGCGGGAGGATTTAGCAACAGGGGTAGCTTCAGGAGCACTGGTCAGATAGCTACCATTTGCAGGTTTCGCGCAGACATGATCCCCCATCGCAAGGATGTCAACGTTGACCCCACAGTCGGAACATTTGATCATGGGCAAGTCGCCCATGTCTGATGCCATCTTGACAGACACGCGGTCTTCAATGCCAACTCCCCCCGTTGTTAGAAAACCATCCGACTTGGCAACTCAATCATCGGTCGTATACGCGTCCACACAATAATCCGTCACGTTGCGTAATCCTTTATCCTCCTAGCAGATGTTGTGGCCAGCGCTCGATCGATACGGGGTAGTTGAGGGATGATGTGAAGTGGATGGAGGTTTGTTGATGTCGAAGGGCGATGGGGAAGCAATTGGAGCGAGAACGGGCAATATTAATTAATGTTGTGAGGCGTGGCCAATGGCAAGCGCCGATAATTATAACAAGAAATCGATAATGTCGCTGCGTTATAGCGACAGTGGGCCTGACCAACGCCAGGCCTTGTGCGGGAGAGGTTCAAGAGTTAGACGAAGAACCATCCGGGCAACACGCGTTCTCAGCGTCAGCCTTCTCTTCCCCTTCCCGCCTCACTCGGTCAAACAGCCTCACCAGGTATTTAGTCTAGCCATCATGCCATACCGTCTGTCTATTTCTAACCCTACGCTTCTCTAAATAGCGATCCCGAGCGAACTTTCATTGTTGACTGCCGCCGCGTTGCTATCGCCGCGGCGTCGTTACCCCTTTTCCAGTTCCACCCCCAAAGCCTCCTCCCCACTAGTGAACCGTTTATGTGCAGAGATCCGAATGAAGTCAAGTTGCGATCCTCCTGAACCGGCTAGCCCAGCCACTAGCCCCTGAGGAGCAATTCATGAGCCGTGTATCCCTCCGCAGATCGTTCAGGGGGCCGACCGCTCACGGGCGCTTTGCGGCTTTGCTCATCCCGACTCCAGGACTCCTTTGAAGTTTGTTCACTCCATCTGATCATCGCCTTGTTCCGCTCCTCCGTCTGAATAAATCGACTGATTCGCCTTGAATCGACGCATATCTTATCCTAGACCGGCCTGGCCCTGCAGTGCTGCACCTGCACGAGCCTTCGCGTGCGTTACTTGCTTTTTCCTCGAAGACTACTCCGCAGGGTCTGTCTCTGTCGGAGTATACGGAGTATATGGGGCCTCTTCATCGCTTCCATCAGGCTTCTCTGACTTCGTCCCAGGATACGGTTCGGACGCCACACACGATGACGCGTGGTTGCTGGATCTGGCTACCAGTAGCTGACGCCGTCTTTGTTGTAAGACGGACTCAGAGATTCGGCCCCGTCTGTAGGACTCCGAAAACCAATGCCCATTGTCTTGAGTTACTACTACTCAAGCAGGCTACGGTTTGGAAGCCTGAAGCAGTGGCCACTTAAAGCATCTACACAGCTATTATTGCGGGCCCAGCAGAGTCATGTTTATATCACACCCATCGTCCCCTGACTAGCAGTTCCAGATGGTCAGCACAGAGTATCAAGCTCCGTTTCTCGTAAAACACGTCGTCTTTCTTGGTGACATCGCTCCGATGGTACGCCGAGTATAGAATATCTAACGTCCTAAACCCGATGCAAAAGCAGAAGATTCAACGAAACCAGTGAACCATAATATGTACCATCTGGTTGTCGAACGATACCTCGCTCAGAGTTATAGACCAATCGACTTGTCTGGCCTCTGGAATCCCTTGAAAGCAGCGATTTAGCAAAAGTTTCGAGACTCGTCGATCGGTCCACCCCAGCCGATCGATCCGCGAAGGTCAGTGATCGCTGAGCAGTGAGCAGTAGCACTGATCTCTAAATTTGGAAAACAATGATCGCTTGGTGAGACATGCCTCCTGAGTTCCGTACTCTGAGTCGTGATGCAGTTTCATCTTCATGCAGTGGTCGTTCCGATATCATGGAAACCAAGGTATGCCGGCCCCCGAATATCTTCACTCACATGTCAAGACTCCGTAGTCCGTACGCATGGCAAAGTGACCAAAGGCCTTGGCACCTTTAGTCTCCTGATAATAGCCAGCAGTACTCCGTAAGCGACCTGAAATGCCTATCATCTCCACTTTAGTCAGTCCAAGTCCCTTGGCTCTGGCGAGAACGAAACGGATCTTCTTCAGTTGAACCGAGCTCAGGGCCTTGCATAGAAGCCGCATGTTATCATGAGCTTCAAGCAACATCGGACGGGGTGCCCACGGCTGCTGAACATTGACTAGGAGCTTCCGCAAACAATCGTTCGCCGTTGCCTGCGGGCAGCATTCAGGGGCGCTTCCGGCTTGCGGTAGAAGAATCGAACCATGGAACCCCATCCGAGCTTTCCGCCGGCAGCTGCGCACAAACCAGGTGCACTGTGCACAAGCCAAGTCAAATCTCAAACTTTCGCCCAATTCCAATGCTCGCAAGATATGGACGAGTCCCGGTCTCATCTTCTCTTAGAGGAAGTGTGCATTGGTCAAGATGGGCAGTCGACACCGAGTTTCTCTCGTAGGCCCGTGGCATAATGTGCACACTGCACAGGTCTTATCCGGTTCCGGCCCCTTGGTTGTGGTGAGCGGAGTGCTGTCAGCGTTGGAATGCGGGTCTCCTCCAGACTGCGGAGTGCTTGACAGAAGCCCATGATTGGAGAAACGTGAGATATGCTAGCCGTTCTCCATCCTCTCCAGGCAACCGACTTAACGTTCACTTCCTGCCAGCACTCCATTATTGCCGAGGTGTATCTAGACGCCAGCTGATCATGGTCCCCTCATTCAGAAATCGGATACAAGTAATCATACCGCTTTGTAGATCCGTAAAGGTGTCAAGAAACCAAGAAGGATTTCTCCGGTGGACCGTTGAACCACAAAAGCAAGAGACAGCTGGCACCTGCTCGCAAGGAAAGCTGCAATGTGCCAGTGTACTCCGTAGCCGAGCATTTGTAGAGGAATTGTCAAGCGTTGGGCAGAGCTATTGAGATCGTCTGCGACAACAAAGCGACTAGAGTTTATATCGGTTCTTTGGCGACCCGGAAGCCAGTAATCGAACGATATTAATGGTACGGTGTAGGATATGTGGTGTGATAGCAGTGCGTCGAGACTCGAGTCGAGAGGACAGCAAGTTCCTCTCAGGCTCTCACCGCAAGTCTCTTGGACCGTGTTTGTGCTTGTGCCCCGCCATCAAGGGTTAAGAATCAATAGCCCAGGCTCCCGGTGATTGGCTGCGAATGGTACCTGGCCTCGGAGCGAGAAGGAACACGCTATGGCTGGGCAGTCTTCGTCCGGTTCGGGGATGCGGGCGGATAAGATAAACGTGACCCGGAGTCGAGTGTGCCGCTAAGTACCGTATAAAGTGTCCTCCCCTCCTTCCCTCTTCCCTTCTCCTTCTCTCTCTCACCCCCAACACACCATTGACCTCAGTCCCAAGTCCAATCCGTTGCTTCTTTCTAAGGTCTTTTGATCACACTCTTCTTCGAGGCGTGATCGCTTATAACACCGTCAAAATTTTCTCCACACTTCTGAACTCGTAAGTTCCCCATACCCCGTGTTCCCCAGGACGACTCCGCTCTTTGGAGCCACTGGACAAACACTATGCCATTGAGTCTCCTCCGCATCGTCTGAACTCCTTGCTGACTTTATCGTTTCCAGGCGGCACCACCCGTTCAACGGCCGGCGCTCATCCAACCGTGGCGGAGCACCAGCCAATATAATATACACCCACTAAATAACCACTGCGTTTATCGAACATCCTTCAATCCCGCCAGCCTCGTCAAAACTTGTTCCTGAATTATTCCCGAAATTCTGAACGCAATGGCTCCCCACGCAAACTCGGATGTTGCTGCCAATGGCGCCGTGAACGGGTCCGCCCAAGCTGCTCGCGCCCCTCTGTTTACCGTCAACTCGCCCAACGTCGAGTACACCGACGCGGAAATCAAGAGTACCTATGCTTACCATACCACTGATATCTCTCGCTCTGCGGATGGCAAGCTTGTCGCCACTCCCAAGGCGGCCACCTACCAGTTCAAGGTTGACCGCAAGGTTGGCAAGGTTGGTATGATGTTGGTCGGTTGGGGTGGAAACAACGGTTCTACCGTGACTGCCGGTATCCTCGCCAACCGCCGGAAGCTTTCCTGGGAGACCAAGGAGGGACCCCGTGCTGCCAACTATTACGGTTCTCTTGTCATGAGTTCGACCATCAAGCTGGGAACTGACTCCAAGACCGGCGAGGAGATCAACATTCCCTTCAACGACATGTTGCCCATGGTTCACCCTAATGACCTCGTCATTGGTGGCTGGGACATCAGCAGCTTGAACCTTGCTGATTCCATGGACCGTGCCCAGGTTCTTGAGCCTACTCTCAAGCAGCTTGTCCGCAAGGAGATGGCCGAGTTGAAGCCTCTGCCTAGTATCTACTATCCTGACTTCATTGCTGCCAACCAGGAGGACCGTGCGGACAACGTCCTCGAGGGTACTAAAGCGTCCTGGGCTCATGTTGAGAAGATCCAGGCCGACATTCGGTAAGCCACTTTCCTCACAGTTGGAAGATCATCACTAACTGTAGCAGCAACTTCAAGGCTGAGAACGGTCTCGACAAGGTGATCGTCATGTGGACCGCCAACACCGAGCGCTACGCCGACATTATCCCCGGTGTCAACGACACTGCCGACAACCTTGTGAACTCCATCAAGGCTGGTCACCTCGAAGTCTCCCCCTCGACTGTCTTTGCTGTCGCCTGTATCCTGGACGACACCCCCTTCATCAACGGTTCTCCCCAGAACACCTTTGTTCCTGGTGCGATTGAGCTTGCTGAGAAGCACAATGCTTTCATTGGCGGTGACGATTTCAAGTCTGGCCAGACGAAGATGAAGTCTGCTTTGGTCGACTTCTTGATCAACGCTGGTATCAAGCTCACTTCGATCGCCAGTTACAACCACCTTGGTAACAATGACGGCAAGAACTTGAGCTCCCAGAAGCAGTTCCGCTCCAAGGAGATCTCCAAGTCTAATGTTGTCGATGACATGGTTGCTGCCAACCACATCCTGTACGAGAAGGATGAGCACCCTGACCACTGTGTTGTGATCAAGTACATGCCTGGCGTCGGTGACAACAAGCGTGCGTTGGATGAGTACTACGCCGAGATCTTCATGGGCGGCCATCAGACCATCAGCTTGTTCAACATCTGTGAAGATTCCTTGCTCGCCTCTCCTCTGATCATCGACTTGGTTATTCTTGCTGAGATGATGACCCGTATCTCCTGGAAGGCCGACGATGCCGCTGAGTACAAGGGCTTCCACAGCGTCCTGAGCGTCCTCAGCTACATGCTCAAGGCTCCCTTGACTCCTCCCGGCACTCCGGTTGTCAACTCGTTGGCCAAGCAGCGCAGCGCTCTGACCAACATCTTCCGCGCCTGCGTTGGATTGCAGCCCGAGTCTGATATGACTCTTGAGCACAAGCTGTTCTAGTCGTCTTCGACACCTTTTACTTTGAGGGATCATTCGCTCAAGCCTACCTCTATTCGCCAACTATAGCCACTCGTTGAATGATATGAGCACACCAAATTGACATCAAATTGACTTGATCACAAACTATTCCTCGTAAGCGTAAATTTACACTGTAGCCGCAGCTACTCTTTATTCACCTCTTGGCATACCAATGTCTCACGTCTTGCCATGGTCCAAATTGTTATGTTCGACTTCTATGCCACCTGCAGCGCATCCAATGGAATACAATCCAGAGTATAGCCTCATCCGTGTATACAACTGGAAATGAAGAAGATTACAAAACTGCCTAAGCATTGAGACTCGTCCCGGGGAATAGCAGCCTCGACAAGTAACTCAACATTTTGTCCAGACCGGAGCCTCGTGCCATTACTGCTGTTTGCATTATGTTTCAGTACCGACTGACCACCGGACTTCATCTAGACCTCCTCCATCAACCGTGATGGCCGTCGTAGCATGGAGCCATCCGTCTCCGTCTCGGGCCCCAGCCGTCCGTGGAAGAGCAGCCATTGACCTTCCCTAATCCGTGCTTTATCTGTATGACCTCCCGAACTTCGCGACGAATGCAATCCAACGCACCGCTTCGATGGCAAACCCGCACGACTAGGCAGCTAGCGCCTCTCTACACTAGACATAGACACGGCGAGGTCCGACTCCGCACCTCGAAATACGGGACTGGTGGCCTGCCGGAATCAAGGAAGGGGCTCAATGCTGTGAGGATGGGTAATCTGTAATCCCCGGCATATATGATGGTTGTCCATGTTCCAGCCCTAAGGGTCGTGGTCGAGTGGGTGAACTCTGCCCTCCGGCAATATCGGAAACCGGCTTTGAGCGCTGGGGCTTACGGCTCTTTTGTTTGAGCGGATGCGTACAGTATGCGTGCCGTCGTCGTATCATCATAGTCTCTCCTCACCCGTCAATGTCCCGAAAGAAGCCTCTGTGCTGGAACTACCAGCATTGTAGTCAGGATCGAGCGTTTCTAATCTATATAGCTGGAGTTGACGAGTAACTCTTCCGTTTCAACATCCGCCGCTCCGCTCAAACCAAGAACACGGGTCAATAACCACTACATTTCGAGAGGCTCTAACGATAGTAGAGGGTACTCATCGGGGTTGGTTGTCGTCATTGGAATGATATCGTCTGAGACGATGGGAGTCGGGCCTCGCTGTTGCCGGAGTCAACGAACAGTGCCTGCTCCTAGACATGGTTCAGATCCATATCGGAGGGGTGTGAGTTTCGAGTACTTCATTTGTGGAATCCAGAAGAAGCGCATCTTTGAGGGTTTGCGGTCTGATGGCATCTCCAGTGACTGGAGCGCAAAGCGTCCTGCTTTCCAGGGAGCATGTGCCTCTGGGCTCAGGCAGACCAGGTTCCTCTGTTCCATTGAGGTCTGAAACAACCCTCCTCCGTGCGTTAAACTTCTCGGCATCCCGCAGATTTTTGGTGTGCGCCGGAAGTTATTCTGTTGGAACTGCGGCCTGCGCGCCGTGCTGGAAGGGTATATGTTGACGGCCTCGAGCCGCGAGGTTTTCATGGTCACGAAGCAGTGCTGGTCGCGGTCAACGCACTATGACAATGATTAGTACTGGCCATCTTTAGTGTTTGCAGGCCACTAGACTAACCCATTGCTTCATCCGCTCAGACTTTCTGAAATATCCGGCCACTAATTCTCGCTCCTTGAAAAGGTTGAGACTGTCGTACAGGTCACTCGTCTCTGCGACTCCCTCCAGGAATTCCACCGCGTCAACTCAACCAGCCCCTGGAGAGCATTAGTCCAGACCAGACCCAAAGACCAAGCTTGGCGAGCGTCTGACACATACATGCCAGTACAGTTCCTGTATTCATATCCGTCCTCAAAGCACGCACGATAATCCACCCCGGCTGACCAGCGAGGAACCCAAGCCGGTCTATATCCATCAGCCAGACCATGGCCCAGGTTATGCTGTCGACGTGGGGCTCGACGGCACCCGTTTCTGTATCAACTCATGTCGGTGCTGGTCTGCTTGTTCTGGGGCGACTGTGGGACGGAGCCGGGTCTCGAGATTGGATAGGCAGTTCTCTGGCGATGCTTTCATGACCATGGTTAAGTGAGGCTGAGCGAGTTCTGGACAGGGCTTGCGGGTAAAAACAGTCGTTCTCTTAAGCGGAAGGGGTGGGAGTGATGTTGCAAACGGAGCCAAATTGTCAGGTCGTCGCGGCGGAGAGGAGTGCTGTTCTTCGTACGTACTTGTGAAGGTAGGAATGGGACATCGACTAGCAGGCTAACATGAACCAGGCCTTCCAAAGAGTATTAAGTCCTGGTGGGCAGAAATCGGACGATGGGATGTTGAGGAGGACGAAGTCCAGGAAGGTAGATTTTGAACGGAGCAAACTCCCGCAGCCAGGCCAGTAAGGAGTCAACCAGAGAACTAGCCAGATGCTGCCGTATAATGCTCGATCGCGTCCTTGTGACGTGATGTCGGTGGTAGATCTCAGCTAAAGGCAGCCGACTTGCTAGCGTTTTGTCGTGTCGCCGGAGCATAAGACCAACGCCTTCATTCTGCTACCTGGCCGATTACTGTGATTTTGAGAGGAAGTACATTCGCTATCTTCACTGAGTTCAGTAGGTTCACATCGCCTTGGCTTGTCCTGCTAAAGATATTAAGATCCATAGGCATCGTAAGTAGTCGTTCGCTGGCATTCAAGCTCGTCTTGGGCTGATTCTGCAGGCGATACGCATACCCGCAGACTCCGTGGCCAGTATCTTCAACAACTATATACCTCTACCTGCCCTGCTGACCCTAGATTCGAGAATGAGATCAGTTCTGACCAACACCCGCGGCTATATGCTATAGCCCATCTCATCGGCAGCATATCCGAGCCGATCGGAAGCCGCCCCGGTAACCAAGAGACCGAGACCCGTCCTCAGGCCCGCTTCAGCAAAAGCCAACTCCTAGGCAAAAGATAAAGAGGAAGTTCTAGCACTCTCATGCGGGGAAGTAAGCGCGCGGGCGCAATTGGAGAAGATAGCTGCTGTTGGTGTGGTTGGCTGGTATCGAAGTGCTTACCACACTAAGGAATTTATACCTAGACTACGGGGTAGGGTAGACCTCATCTGATTCTGATGTCATGCCATGAAATGCGGGGGAAGACGGTATGCAGACTAATGTTGGGTAGGTACTTTGTGTGCTCTGGCTCCAGCTGTATGGACTCATGCATACTGCGTAGGTGGATCATACTAGAATTGGTGGTTACTATAGGTGGAATATCCCAGAGACGCCGAGGACCTTGAGGGGGTTCTTGGGGTGGGGAACTGAAGAGGTCTACAGAGGTAGAGGTGTGCTTGCTGTTCGAGCTGGGCGAAAGATCAGACTGGCTTTCTGGGGGGTTATTGACGTGAGAGTGTAACCGAATTTTTGTCTATATTTGCGATGCATGGTATACGATCCATCATCTATACTCCGTACAGTGTGCACGGATGAGACTATACCTAAAGTCGGTGAGCCTGAGGACCTTGAGGATTCGGCCACATAGGTATATTAGACATCTACGTAGCCGATCCAGCTCTGCTTATTTTGAACATCTACTCCGCCATCACCCGCGGCGAGTTCATGTACTTGCTTCATACTTCATATCTCATTCAGCTACATACAACTTTTATATAAGGTATTTATGATAGGTCAACAACGCAGCGAATGCAATCGCCAGCCTTCATCTGCTCGAAAGCAGTGTTGATGTTGGAAAGGGGCTCGCGGTGGGTGATGAATTCGTCGACCTTGAGGTTACCGTTGAGGTAGTCGTCCACGAGGCCAGGGAGCTGAGTGCGACCCTTGATACCACCGAAGGCGCATCCGCGCCATACACGGCCGGTGACGAGTTGGAATGCTATGGTGAGTCAGCGAATGATCACAGGAGCTGGACGGTGAATGCTTACGTCGAGTAGAGATCTCCTGGCCAGCAGCAGCGACACCAATGACGATACTCTCACCCCAACCCTTGTGGCAGGCCTCGAGGGCGGCGCGCATGACGCCAACGTTTCCTGTGCAGTCGAAGGTGTAATCGCAGCCGCCGTCGGTCATCTCGATGAGCTTCTCCTGGATGGTCTGGCCGTTGAGCTTGGTGGGGTTGACGAAGTGGGTGGCACCGAACTTGCGCGACCACTCCTCCTTGGCGTCGTTGACGTCGACGGCGATGATCTTGCCGGCCTTGTTCTTGACGGCACCCTGCATGACGGAGAGACCAACACATCCAGCGCCGAAGACGGCGATGTTGGAGCCCTCCTCAACCTTGGCGGTCACAACGGCGGCACCGTAACCGGTTGTGATACCGCAGCCGAGCAGGCACGATCGGTCGGTGGGGATCTTCTCGGTGACGGCAACAACGGAGATGTCGGCGACGACGGTGTACTGGGAGAAGGTGGAGGTGCCCATGAAGTGGAGGAGGTCCTTGCCGCGGGCCTTGAAGCGGGATGTGCCATCGGGCATGACACCCTTTCCTTGGGTAGCGCGGATCTTTCCGCAGAGGTTGGTCTTGCCGGACTTGCAGAACTTGCACTCGCGGCACTCGGGGGTGCTGCATTTGTTAGCTAGGCGCTTTCTCGTCTGCTTCCGGAACATACTAAAGAGCGACGACATAGTCACCGGGCTTCACGGAGGTGACGCCCTCGCCGACGGACTCGACGATACCGGCACCCTCGTGTCCGAGGACGACGGGGAAAGCTCCTTCGGGGTCCTTTCCGGAGAGTGTGTAGGCATCTGCCGTTGTCAGCGGAACCCGACGCGACTCAAATTCAAGCACGAACCTGTGTGGCAGACACCAGTGTGAAGGACCTGAATGCGGACCTCGTGGGCCCTGGGAGGTGCGACCTCGATGTCCTCAATGGAGAGGGGCTCACCGGCCGCCCACGCGACCGCCGCCTACAAGCTTCAGTTGGTACACGAACTCGAAACTCCCATTGTTTATTCATTCTGCGCGCAGGTCGGTCCTTACCTTGCAAGTGATGGTCTAGAGCAATTAGTCTTTGCGTACCAAGTAAATCATAACAAGGGAAGCTTACCTGGCCGACAGTGCTAGCCATGATGACAGAGGTGTGAAGAGTTCGGATGGATGGAGGAAAGGAAGAACTTGGGAGGATGAAGCGGAAGAGGATGGATAGAAGAGTTATTTGCGATCGGAGAATCAAGGAAATAGATTGCTCCAAATGGATTGGGCCGGAAGGTAAAAGAATAAGAAGAAGCAAAGCCGCAAAGAAGAGGCAGAAAAGTGGTGAGGCGTGAGGGGAGAGGGGGTGGGGTTGATGAGGGGCACGGCTGTCTATCGCGTCTTGCTGCTATCCCGCCGTTATCCCCCCGGCCTTGACGAGTAATATAATTATCCTAGCAGCTTTTGCTTTTCTTGTCTCTTAGCTCTCCTCATTCTCCGCATGGTAATTGAGTCATCAGTATGAGAAGATTTGGAGACGTCCGACGGTCCAGATTGCTTGTCTGACAGATATCACGGGCATCATCGCTCAAGAGTGGGCTGGCCGAGCATCAAGCGGAAGGACTCATCTGATCTGCCAGGCACAAGCTATTACCATCACTGATGGCTAATATCATCTATCGTCTATCTACTGAGCTGGACCCTTCTTGGAGCTGCGATGCGTTTAGCTGTCCCGATATGGTGAAAAGATCCGGTCGGAGCCGGTTCCGCCAAGCCTTCCATCGGGTGTCCTCCCGATCACCTGAGCGGAGTAGAAGAGGAGGACTGAGAGACACCCTGCAGAGTGCAGATACGCTGGACATGGATGCTCCGAACATATGTTGGTTGTTTGGCTGCTCTTTGAGAGTTTGAGAGATGCTTCTAGCGTAGTTTACTACGGTAGACAAAGCTCAAGCTCACAAGGATCATGCAAGGCACCGCTTAGTAAAATTTATTTACAGTATACTACCTACGGTAAAAGTTGCAATGCGGTTGGGAGCAAAAATATATATGCGTTGCCTTCACCAGAGCAGAAGTATACCACTAATCAACCTTTAACCTCGCAGCCCCAACCATATCCGCCTCTTTATTGAGACTCTCAATCTCAGCCTCCGTAAACGGAATGCCCTCCTGTAATCTTTTCTCTCTGTTGATCTGCTCTATCTCCCCAGGATAATAGATCCTCTCAACACCACCCATCTTCTCACACCCCACAACCCTCTGATAAAGATAATCCATACGCTCCTTGAAGTCCTCCAAACTCACAAACAAATCCGGCTTGATAGCCATCAGGAAATGCCCAACATCCGCCGGCTTGCTCGGGTCATACGGCCCCGTAACATGGCCCGCAAACGCTGACCCCGAAAACACACCCGAGAAGACATCCATCATCACCGCAAGCGCAGACCCCTTCGGCCCGCCCATAGGCAGCATCACGCCCTCAAGCGCACGCGCCGGATCATCAGTGACATTCCCCTCGCCATCAAGCGCCCAGTCCGTGGGGATCTTCTCGCCCCGCCGCAGCGCCTTATAGATCTTCCCGCGCGCCGCAACAGAGGGCGCCATATCCAGAATGAACGGCCGCTCCCTCCCAGCCGGCGCCCCACACGCAATCGGCGAAACACCCATGAGTTTCTCCCGCCCGCCCCAAACCGGCAGGGCCGGCGAAGAGTTCGTGAAAACAAGCGACATCATGCCCGCATCAATTGCCTGCTGCACCAGCCACGCCGACATCCCAAAGTGATTCGAGTGCTTGACGGAGACGAGGCCCAGCCCGAACTCCCGCGCCATCTCGATAGCGCGCTGCATGCCCATGTGCGCGGACACAAAGCCGAATGTGTTCTTGCCGTCGATGGAGGCTGCAATGGGCGTTGTCTGCGTGAGTTCGGGCTCTGCGGCTGGGTCGAGGACTTTCTGGCGGATGCGCTGCATATATGAGGGGATGCGGTTTGAGCCGTGGGTGTCGACGCCGCGGAGGTCGGCTTGCACGAGGCATGAGGCGATTATGGTGGCGTGGGATGGGGGCACATTGTTGGCGACTAGGATTTGGTGGACGAAGGTCTCCAGAGCTGAGGGGTTGATGTGGTGGATTTTCTGGGTGGTGGTTGGTTCGGACATTGTTGGCATGCGCGGTGATTATAGCGTTGATCTTGATATTGTTGAAGGACTCGGTGGGTCGCTGATCCGAGTGTCGAGTTGCCCAGTAGTTGATATGGTTAGTGGAATTATGCAGCTTTTATGGACCAAGATCGAGGGTGTGACGGAGCATCCGCGGTCGGGGTTTCGGAAGCAATCCGTCGACGGACATTCCCGACCACGTACTGTACCCTCAGACCGCAACCTCAGGTCCTATAGACGTGTTCACAAATCCAGCAATGACAACTGTCATCTACGGGCTTCTTCTTGCATATATCACTCTAGCCATCACGCTGACACATGGTTTAAAGCACCGAAGCGAAACCTAGTCTATCGTGTACGAAAGAGAGCAGAGCCTGGAAACCGGAATCATGCTATTGGGGGTTTCCCTATCAAATGTCTCGCGAAGAAGACCAACATAGTGATGTCTATCATACATCGGTGTGCGATGTTTCTCCTAAGTATATTATGCAGGCAACAAAACAACGAAACGAAATCATCATAACTCCAATGCCCGGGACACGTCTATAAAGCAACAGGATTTTCAAGGCTGAAATAAGCTCTTTTGCCAGAAAGTCAGATTAACTTTGGAGGGTCCCGCAATCTGGCCATCATCCTGTTCATCTGCGGAGTGGGGGTGTGATTGTTGGTCGCGTCTATTGCGAGGCTCTTTCGACACTGGTCGGCGAGGGCCAGGGTTCACAGCGGGGCTTGATTCGTCATCGCCAGTGTTGTTCAACTTGACCTTGCTGGGGTTCTTCGATTCATCCTGGCTGGGGCTCTTCGGTTCGTCCTTGCTGGGACTCTTTGATTCATCCTTGCTGGGGTTCTTCGATTCATCCTTGCTGGGACTCTTTGACTCGTCTTTGCCGGGGCTCTTCGAGTCGTCCTTGCTGAGGCTCTTCGGCTCGTCCTTGCCGGGGCTCTTCGGCTCGTCTGTGTTGGTGCCTTTCGGTTCGTCCTTGCTGGTGCTCTTCGGTTTGTCCTCGCTGGAGCTCCCCGATTTATCTTTCCGGTGAGTCTTCGATTTTCCCTCGATTGCGCACGTCGAATTTCCTTTGCTGGCACTGTCCGAATTGCCCTGTTTATCCCCGGTCAGGTAATCTGGAATTTTAGGTGGAGTGCTGTTGTTAGGCTCCCCCTTGCCCGGCTTTGGATGCTCAAAATCTGTACTACTTGTATCTTGACTGGGTAGTGACGGACCAGGATGTTCACGACGTTCTTCGGAACTAGGCGCCCGTGGCTGTGGCTGTGGACCAGAACGGTCAGCGTGGCCACGCAGGCGGGCTCGGACTTGACGAAGAGCGTTTCGACCACGTCCAATAGTTTGACCGATAGTTCGACCGACACGTTTGAGACCTTGACTGACAGAAGGACGGAGTCGATGGCTGGCCATGATTTGTTTGAAATCAACCTGATATCGTAACCAGTTTGTTGTGGTTGAACGTGTCGATGATGTGAGTGAAGGAGGTATATGCAAAGAATTCTTGAGTAAAGGGCGTTTTAAACGAGTGTCGCTTAGTGTCGTAAGGTAAGTGAGTGTTTGTGATTGCTGTGGTGGTAGTAGTTGTTGTTGAAATTATCGTAAGCGAATGTGGATATGCATGGAAGTGAGAGTTAACGAGAACCCCTCGAGTTGGGGGCGTTTGGGTTATGCCAGAAGCCATGACTTTTGAGACGGAAGGTGCCTTGCGTTCCAGGGAGGTTGTTGTTGTTGGCTTGTTCCTGGAAGGTACAACTAAGATAACCTTCGAGTGCACAGGCCAGAGCTTGAGCCCGGAGTTTTAAACCCGGAGTATTTATTCGCTTCGGCGAGGTGAGGTGTCACTGCATGCATCTGCAGGGCCCAGGCCAACTGGCCGTGCTGATCACCTTGTCTTGACCGCACATCTGGTGAGGGGCATCTCATGTCTTACATATAAGCATCTCCTCTCTTCCTCATCTCAATCGTTGCTCTACTTACCAATCTCTCATTTTGCCGAACAATACCAAAATAACCAGCAGCAAGAATGTCCTCACCAAACCCTGGCCAGCTCTCCTCGGGCTCCCTCCCTCCAATTACCCGCTACATAACGGGCCACAACAGCGACGGCAAAGCCATCGTCCAGTCGTCCAACCCCGCAGAATGGTCCCCGTTTGAGCACAACACCATGGCTTTCACGGTCGCCTACACGACGTCATCCTTCCCCGCAGACCTTAACAACGACGCCGACCTCAAAGAGCATGAGCGGATTGCCTCCTCCGGCCAGCTGGGGCTCGTCAACCCGAACGGAACAGTCTGCAGAGTCGTGGACTTCGCGCCAAAGTCGCGGCCGCTTATGCATCGGACACAGAGCCTTGATTATGGGATCGTGCTTGAGGGCGAAATTGAGATGCAGCTGGATTCTGGAGAGAGGAAGTTGCTGAGAAAAGGGGATATTGCGGTGCAGAGGGGGACCATGCATGCTTGGCATAATCCGAGTGAGACACAGTGGACGAGGATGGTGTTTGTCTTGCAGGATTGTAAGCCTCTTGTTATTCAGGGCGAGAAGCTCGGTGAGGATTTGAGCCAGGCGAAGACGGATGATATTAAACCTTCTCGTTAGCTGTAAACGGTGCCTTGGGTTATCCTGCTACCATCAGTGGGTTCGAGAATAAGTTTTTTCGAGGGTCATCAGGGAAATTGAGTACTCAGAATGGTGGAAGAAAGCAATGGTATATTGGCGGTGTTCAATATGTTCAGAAGAGACTCAAATCTATACCGTAATTCGTCTAAGCAATCTTGATAACGATTTTTCCAAAGTGCTGTCCGTTCGCCAAGTACTTGAAAGCATCTGGCGCCTCCTTGAATGAGAAGATCTTGTTCACCACCGGCTTGATGCCATGCTTCTCGTAGAAAGCAATCATCTCCTCGAAGCGGTCCTTAGGGCCGTTAATGATGCCCTTCAGCGTCACGTTCCGAGAGAGAGCGAGGAGGTTCACGTTGGTGCGGTCCTCAGGGGCATCAACCTTTCCGCTCAAATATCCAACGCAGTCGATGAGACCGCCCCAGGCGATGCAGTTGAAGCTCTTCTTCAACGTACCCGCACCACCAACCTCAACGATGATATCGGCTCCGTGGTTGTCCGTCAGTTTCAATACCTCTTCCTGCCACTCGGGGTTCTTGCGGTAGTTGATCGTGTAGTCGGCGCCGAGCTCCTTGGCCTGCTGAAGCTTCTCGTCGGACGAGGAGGTGATAATCGCTGGATAAGGCCTGGTCAGTCTCCATTCGCAATCCAGCGGACAGTAAAAGACGTACCCTTTGCACCAGAAGCCTTAGCAATCTGAAGACCCGAAACAGACACGCCACCGGTACCCTGGAGAAGGATGTACTCTCCCTCACCGCCGTTCTGACCCTTGGGCCGCATGCCATTGATCGCCATCCATGCCGTCACCGCCGCAATGGGAAGAGTGGCCGCCTCTTCATCGGACAGGTAGTTTGGGGCGCGCACAAGACCGTGCGCAGGGAACGCGCGGTACTCTGCGAGTACACCGGGCTGGGGGAGACCGAGACCACTCGCCATCATCTTTTCAACAACCTGACCGGTCTGGTGATCGGGAAGGAAAGTCGAAAGCACGCGGTCGCCCTTGTTCCAGCCCGTCACGCCATCGCCGATCTCAACGATTTCTCCGCACATATCCGAGCATGGTACGAGCGAGGCCTTGTCCTGACTGACGGATTTGTGGTGGCCGTAGAGTCCGCAGCAAACTGTGAATCACTCCGTTAGGTCTGGGTTCTCCAACTCCGGCCCCGGGATATCGCGCACCTTCATAGTCGCGGTAGTTGAGCGAAACGGCGGAGATCTTGACAAGAACCTCGCCGGGGCCAGCGGATGGCTTTGGCGCCTCGCTAAATTGCAGGCTATCCAAGCCTTGGAGGGAGGTTGTCCATTGCTGGATTGACGACATTGTGGTGATTGCGATGAAGGTAAACGGCGAAGATGAAACGGTCTATCTACCCCTCAACGGCAGAAAACGGTTCAAGATAAGGAATGACCTCACACTTTATACTGCTCCACTAGAGCTCTCAATTAATAATCGTGGCCGAGAGCTGGTCGCCCCACAGAAGACGGCCTGAAGAATTGGAACTTCGCGGAACCGGGCATCGCGGCGTAGGCTCGGTTGTACCTGACTCATGACTGAGCGTTTGATCTTGGAGAACGGAGAACCTGCTCAATGAGGTAGGTTGATGACTGAGCTGGTTGGTTGAGTTGAACGAACAGAATTGACATGTCTTGGTTGCTGCGATGAAACCTTGACTTCTGAGGGCCTCAGGGGACTCAGGGGAAGAGATTTTTAGAGGGGATTCCCGTTGAAGATCTGAGACGGTTAAGCGGTGCCAAGCCAGCGGACATGCTGACACCCATTCCACCGGCAGGATAACTTTGAACTATCAGGCTTTGCATTGGACGGGATTCGGAGGTTCCTACTGCCAGACCAGGGACTTAGGCATTCTTAGCCACTGCGCCTGCGTACCTACATGATGAAATGAGAACTGGCCCAAGGCCACGGTCTAGTGCGAAGCAAGAGTCTGGGTATAGGCGCGACTGTAGAATGATCACCATCTCCCCGCGTTGCTAACACTGAAATGTCGAAGTTTCTGATCATTTTTATCTCCAGAGAACATCCGGCATTTAATTGTACGCGCATGCAAGTCCTTCTGGTTATAAGCCGTTGAGCTTGGACATGCATCGCGGATTTCCTTGCCTCCAGAGCCACGAAGTAATTAAACAGTGTCTGAGGTTGCTACAAAGCCACCATGGCAATACTTACCGTTCATGTTACTTGCACGGACAGTTTACAAGTTGATTGGGTATTGCTGAGAGATGGCGTTGTGGCTGGGGCTGGGGTTTGAGAGTCGCCAGTGTGGTTTTACTGTGAATGTGAGGTGCTGTGTTTCTCTCCTTGTCCACAAAAAACCTCCCTCTTCCTCTCTCCAGCTGTCTTCTCACATCACCCTTCTCAACCTATCTCCGTTGACTTCACCCCATACGCAAGCTATTGATTACACGTCCTTCCTCATTTGGCCATCCCCATTCTGTCACGCCCCTGCCTTGGTTTCCTGACCAGTGCCCATTGGGCCACTGTCTACCATGGCTACGCGTGGAGGCAGTCTACGGTGTATCTTCCACCATGTCGTCTTGCCACCTAAGCTGCCTGGCCAGGCCGATGAGCACCCAGAGGCCGTCGAAAGGGAATTGATGCGCCGGTTGTTGAGTGCGGTGACGATAATGAAAACAAAGTCTGAAGAAGAGCTCTTCCCAACCTGGCAAAAGATAGAAGATACACTGAAGCTATCTTCTCTTATAAATGAAGGAGGAATATGCAACAAGGCCGCGCTGCTTAAATGTTTCAAGAAGCTGTCACCGGAGATCGCCCTCATTGCTCGTGTTCGAGAACAGAACGCAAGCCTTCTCATCAGGTAGTCCTTCCCCCGCCCCTTGCCCACCCGGTCCTTCTCTTTTGTTGGCTAACTTGAATGATGTCCTAGGTACGACGAAGAAGGCGTCATTTTTGAGGGATTTGAGATCTCTCCCTCTGCCGAACAAACCCTTGCGGCCAAAGGCGCTCTGCAATGGGACTTTCCCGGCTGCGCGGTCTGTATACCCCACGATACTTTCAATGACCCCAGCTTTCAGGAGAATCTCGCCCTTTTCCTTGAAAAAGCGAGTGTTGAGCGGCTCCACCAATTCGCCGCCAAGGTTCGCAAGGCAGGCACGGATGTGAGTGAAGACCGAGACACATCCAATCCCGCGCTCATAACACAATTCTTGATGACTCTCCTCGAGATTAATGGCCGACGATTGTCTATACCTTACCTGCGAAAGCGCGTTTACGATGATGTCTGCTGGGACCAGGCAAAGATCCCTTGGCGACGCTCTCCACTGTGGCTTACGCTCAGGGTGTGCATCCAACGCTTGCTACATCTGCAACATGGCGAGCTAGGCCGCATACAATACAAAGGGCTGATTTGTATGTTCTTGGCAAAACTTCTGGGCGACTGCGTGACCGAGCTTCACTCCGAATGCTACCACCAGCTGAAGATAAAACTGTGTCGTCGATTAGCGAAACTGGAAGCAGAGAAAGGGTCCGCATCTCCAGCGGTAGCCATGGTTTACAGCTCTGTTGTTAAACTAATTGAACCTCAATGTTCCGCCTCGATTGATAAAGCCACAGAGGCGATCCAGAAAGAATGGACTCTCTGGAAACAAGACAATCAGCGACGGATTCCAAAACTGTCTTCGTGTTCCGCCAACGACTCTTACCTCACACTTCCTAATAGCATCGAGTACCTGAAGAATATCTTCCAGCCGAGACAGCACCACATCCCGCGATCAGGCTCGATAGAGCCCAGTCGTCTTGAGAGTATTGTGACCAGCAGCACGACACAGCAGTTCGCTACTCTTACGAAGACATACTCAACGCTCGCAGCTCGAGAGGCTGCTATAGCGTCAGACTCCTTTGAGCTTCCGTCCACAGTCGAAGCGATTAAGACGCGATGCCTCGATCTAGCATCGTCCATCGAGGACTATATGGACGCTGTAGGGAGCGCATACGACGATAACCACGAGCAGTTTTCCCTATTTATCCTGAACATATTCGACATGTGGGTAGCTATGGACAAGGCTGCAACAAAGGTGTGTCCAATTCTGAGAGACTTCCACCCATGGTTCGAGCCAGAAATTCTTGACGTCTTGCTTCTGGCACGGTTTCCAGAAATGCGACGTCTTCAGGCTATCCAAACTTATATTGATTCTCGCTGCACGGAAGCCAAGTACGGCAAGACAACCATTTTCGCAGACCCAGCTCCTGGCTGCTTTGCTGAGCGGTACTTCGATTCACCTGGCGCAGTCGCGCTCCATAGGCTGCAGAGACGTATTCTAGAAGCGTCACAGGACTGCGAGGATGATAAGAGAGAAGACCTGGAGAAAGTCAACGATAATTTCATCAACCTCACCGAGAACCTGAGACTTACAAATTGCACAATGTTGCGCCACCCCGACGGATCGCATGACATTCGCGGTTGCAATCATTGCTACTATATTCGGTCCCGCCGCCGGCTCGAGGTCGAAGTTCACGAAGATTTTCTTCCAATTGGACACCGAGTCGAAGTCCAGCAGAAGGCCGTCCTTTTCGAGTTACAGATACCCAAGGACCTAGCGGCGTATCGTGAAGTCACCTGGGCCATCGTGAACAGACTCTGTCCCAAGATAATCCCTTCAGATAGGGCCAAGCCGGAGGTCTTACTTGCGAATTACCCTCAACTGAAGCCGTACAATTCAAATCGAGGAGGGGTCTTCTCTCTTGCGTCTCAATGCAAATCATGGCTTGGAACACATTACGGCTGGATCAGACTTCCTGCTGCGGTGGAGGATGTATTACTTCCACATGGCCTGAAATACTCCTATTACGATTCGAAGAGAGAGTTGTGGTTCAGTGACTACCCAGAGCAGCTGAGCTTCGCACACCACTTTACGATCGAGATACCAAAGGAGTCTCCGTTCTCAGTGCTTTATTCTTCGCTAGGGTTCGCTCCTGGTGTAGACGGTCCTTCTTCCTATGAGGTAGCGGCTAGCGTCAGCGAGTGTCCAGCAGCCCTAACAACCCACGAATTTACAGCCCATCAGACAATCGTGGGCGGATGGAATCGGCGCTGGCTATCTATTCTAGCCGAACTCGGGTCTTCGAATATCAATTTCAGTCTACAAGAGACGATGATTCTGTTCAACCACCTGGCATTGCAAGCAGGGCCCAGAACGGAGACCAATAGATTTCGGGTCGCTCACATCATGTTCAAGGATGAACAATTTTGCCAGAGGATGACGGAACAAATTGGCCGCCATGTGGAATCGATAGCCACGAACCACCGCGAGACTTACATGATGGAGACTCTTCTGACACTTTGCATCCGCCTATTCACCTTGGGGCTTGCAGAGACCCGTCCCAACTCGAAGAGGGTTCTTTTAAGGATTCGACAAATAACATTGGGTTGGATTACCATGCTACGGCAGGAAACAAGGCAAGCTGAAGATGTCAATCTAGCCAACACGTCTGCTCGATATTGTTTCCTAGCAGCCCTCCTCTGTCGGAGAACCTATGCCCCCTGGCTCACAACTCATGCAGCCCTTGATTCGGACCATTTGAAGTGCTTTTTCGATGTATCCTTGGCCATGCAAGAAAGTTTAGTTGCCGACCTGAGCCGCTTCTCGACTGTGACTAAGAATATGCTGATTCGAGACATTAAAATGACCAGTCAACTGTCTTCCCTGATGCGTACTAGTGCGAACCATGACCCCAAGTGTATTGGAGATGCCATTGACACTGCCTGGCCCGCAGCTGACAACAAGCCGCGAAGCTATACAGAGTGGAAACTGCTATCGCCTCCTTACGAGAATTGGGCCACGTCGCAAACGTGTGCATCAGAAGGGCTTCTACCGCAAACTTTCTATTTTCATCTCCTTGAAGGCCATCTGGTGGTTGACGGTAAAACCCTTGGAAAACTGCCAGCTGACATTCGCGATTCTCCGATTCTGAAAGAACTCTTCGGGAACCAGCGACTGTTTGCTCTGCCCTCAAATCTTCCAGGCATGGAATGGACGTTACTTAATTCTGCCGAAAAGCATCGGATTCACTTGGGTCACCGTAGAACACAGCTAATCATACGAGCTGAGGCCTACAACACCACTCTAGAGCTCGTGCCAAGAAGTATATTTGGTTGCGGTCCTGAGTTTGACCTTCCCTACTATCTGATCTTTGATTGTATTCACTGGATGGACCTCCGGACCGCCGTCCTCGAATTGAGGCAAAAGCCACGAATATGGAAGAAACGAGATGGTAACTGGATTCTTGATATCCGTGCCAGAAAAGCAGAACGGCGAGAAGCCACACTCGTGGATCCATATTCCCCGCTCGCGAAACAAATATCTAAGGTTTTCCTTCACTTCGAGCAGCTCAGTCGTCTCACTATCTTTCAGACCCCCAGTACACTGAACGTCGAGTTGAAGAGGATGAACCTGGACTTCTTCGTTACGAAATGGGGTTCGCTCAGGTGCCGCCAACTTGGAGCGGTGATTGATCGCAACCAAGACCCGGGAACGTTCTATGGACTTCAGAGTATGCTTGTGCTGCGTGACGAGCGAACTGGCCAGCGCAGCATACTGGTCTCACTAGGTGACCCCAGATGGACACGCCTCAGGAGTCACGTCCTAGTGGAACTGGAGAGCAACGGAATATACGTGAAATACACCATCAACAATGTGCTTCGGCGACTCGAATGCCCTGCTGATCCGCGGCATCTTTATGCAAAGGCTCAATTGCACGCCCTAACAAGCCATATGTTACCAGACTCGCTCACTGGCCGAACTGGCATCCAAGAAGCTCTTGACTGCCTCCAATCAGGCTTTTGTCAGCCATGGATGCCACTTACCTGGGACGCCCGGAATGCTTTGATTCAAATCGCTAGGCTGACACCAGAAAGAGCATATTATCCAAAGGACAAGAAATGTCAGCAGACTGTTTCCTGGGACCCTGACCTGACTCCAAACATTCAGCATGAGGGTTTCTATCCCGTTGTTGACGCCATCTTAAGGAAGTCCAATCAGTTATCTGAATTCTCTATCAAACAGACAGATACACCAAACAATTCGACAATGCCCGCCAACACAAGCCATCTGCGTGAGCGAGCACAACGGCGGCGGTCGGCCTTCGAAGCCGCTGGTTCGTTGCCGCCCGTTGAAGCCGAGGATGTCCCCTATTGTTCTCGAGACGGCTGGTCTATGCCTAGAAGAGTCACCAATGTTCGCGAAGTCGTGAGTTTGATCCGGGAACAACGTTCTCTTATACATACGACGCGCGATTTAATAAAGCTTTTCGAAAGCTGGCCCTCGTTTGGTGGTTACGCAAACACGTTCAGTCTTTACAACCTCAACGACTTCCTCGATGTCAACATTGCTGAAGAATGGGGTGGTCTCGTCAATATGAGCCGAAACACAGAGAGGGGAAATTTACACAGACTTATGTTCCAACTTGGTGTTATAGCATTCCGGGACCGCGTCAACATGACGGCGTTGGTGGTCATAGTCTCTTTCTTCATATTTCCAGAACTTCGAAGCCTTGCATTTCCAGGATACCCATCACTTGTCAGGTTCGTCAAGGACGAGAAGCCTACCACTGATATTCTGCTCCCGGCTATTAGGTCATCATACCCCCCTCGACCGGCGATTTCCAAGAGACATCGAGTCCACGATGAGAATTCCGGGTTCAAGTACGATACCAACTGTGAGAAAGAGGGCGTCAAATTAGCCGAGATGCTGATTCGACAATGGCCTTGTACGGAGCCGTCCGTGGAAGACTTCGAGCCCACTATTCTGGACAAAGCGCAGGCCCTCAAGGCTTTACTACCTGAATGGACAAGAATGTACCAAAACCTGCAGTTTCAGCGCCATCTTGAGAAAGTCCAAACAATACTTAATCACCACTACACAGCGAACCATGACTTTGCACCACCAACAGACTTGAGTCGCTCTCAAAAGGAGATCTTGGGCCTGAAACGAAAGGGCATTTTCTTTCTTTATCCGCGACTTGAAGAAGACCTGCTGGGCAAACAGGCACTTCAGGCCCCCAAGTTACTAGAACTCGCCGTGGAACAGGGCGTTCTGGAGGCTCCAGAGTCGCCAGCTGGAGAACAAAAGGCCAATTCGCTGCATTTTCCGCCACAGGAAATCCTTGAGCTCGAGGCGATAGTCCGTCGGCTTGGTCAGTCTAGCTGTTCGGTGAGATCCACGTACGCTCAAGACCTTGGACAAAGCATCACGGCTTTGGCGACAAATCAAGCTACCAAGCACGACCATCGAGTCCACCATGTCAAGCCCAAAGAAACAGCTGAAGCAGATATTCGAGCAGCTCACGCTGACATCAAGGGTCATCATACCTGTATCAGCCAGTCATTCTCCTCGCATGATGCAAGGTTCAAATGGCTAGCAAAAGGTGACTTATGGCCTATCATGACTCCGACCACAATCTTAAGGCAGCTACGATCGACATCACGACATGTGTTCGGACCGGGCATGTATGAGTTGCTTATCTCGTACGCTTTAGCGACTAGCAAGCTGCAGAAGCTCCTCAGGCTAAAGGACGCTGCGATAAAGGGTGATGATAGCAGAATCGATCATGAGCGTGCTGACTCTGGCCATGTGAATTGGAGTCCAGCTGACTTCCCGGACTGGATTCTCCTTGAGATCGACGCCAACATCCAGATCCGACAGGATCAGGTTACCGTGGCTAAGGAGATGATTTCACCCACTTCCGGGGCTAATTCCGTGCTACAGATGAACATGGGCCAGGGGAAAACATCCGTGATTATGCCCATGGTTGCCGCCGTGCTGGCAAACGGTGAGATGCTTACAAGGCTTCTAGTCCCCAAAGCACTACTATCCCAGGCGGCGCAAATCCTCCAGTCACGCCTTGGTGGGCTACTGGGTCGTGATATCGTCCATGTTCCATTCTCACGGCGAACTCGGACAACTTTGACCCTCCTCGAAGACTACCACCAGTTGCATGCTAGTACCTTGACCAATTCTGGTATAATACTTGGCGTGCCCGAGCATATATTATCATTTAAGCTCAGCGGTCTTCAGCGCCTGGCTGACTCGAAACTGACGGAAGCCATTCAGATGATCGACACGCAGAAATGGCTGAATGAAAACTCGAGAGACGTCATTGACGAGTGTGACTTTACCCTTGCTGTCAAGACGCAGCTGATATACCCCGGTGGCGCACAGCTTGTGGTTGATGGGCACCCCGAGCGCTGGGAGGTCGCCATGACTCTTCTTGGACTCTGCGCACGCCATTTTAGTGACCTTGCTCGAGAGTACCCACGGAGCATAGATATCCTTCAGCGCAGCTCGACCGGGTTTCCCGTGACTTACCTACTACGAAAAGACGTCGAAAAAGCTCTGGCGGCGAAGATCGCACAAGAGATCTGCGATAAAAAGACATCCCTGTTGCCGCTTGGGGACTGCAACGAGAAGGGCAAGGAGGCTATCCGGTTGTTCATCACAGAGGAGAAAGTCAACGAGTCTGTGACCAAACGTGTTGCAAAACTATTTCCTGATTCCCCCAAATCGCGCAAGGTCGTCTATCTGCTACGAGGGCTACTGGTGCACGGAATTCTCATATTGTGTCTCAAGAAACGCTGGAACGTCGAGTATGGCCTTCACCATGGTCGAGACCCGATTGCGGTGCCTTTCCACGCGAAGGGCGTCCCATCTGAGCAGGCTGAGTGGGGCCACCCCGATGTTGCAATCCTGTTTACTTGCCTCGCGTTCTACTACGAGGGCTTGAGTCAGCAGCAATTGAAAAGGAGTCTTGAGGCAGTCTTGAAGAGCGATCATCCGGCAACGGAATATGAGCGTTGGACACAAACCTCGGCCACACTACCGGAAGCACTACGGCATTGGGCCGCCATCTCAGTGGACGACGCTGGGCTAGTTGCGGAGATATGGAGACACTTGCGCTACACGCGCGAGGTGATCAATCATTTCCTGGGCAACTTTGTGTTCCCTCTTCACGCTAAACAGTTCGCCACAAAGTTGTCGGCCTCTGGATGGGATTTGATCTTGAGTCATGGATCACAGTATCGTTCAACGCAGTGGATTCATCCGGGTATAACGACAGGCTTCTCCGGCACGAATGACAATCGTCGGCTCCTTCCACTAACCATCGAACAGCGTGATTTACCTGGACTGTCTCACACGAATGCCGAGGTGTTGACCTACCTTCTTCAGCCCAGAAATAGGCGTTATCATGTGGCTATTGGAGTGCACGGAAGACGTATGTCTGAGTTTGCCCTGCTGGAAAACCTACATAGGTCAAATATACGAGTTCTCATCGACGCTGGAGCCTTCATCATGGAGATGAACAATGAGACGGTGGCCAGAGCATGGTTGCAAGCAGACTGGAAAGCCAAAGGGGCCGTATATTTTGGCGACGACAACAAACCGTGGATTATGTACCGGAACTACAAACGTGCTCCGCTTTTTGCCAGCCCATTTGCAGACGATCTCACCGAAACCCTCGTTTACCTAGATGAGGCTCACTGCAGAGGAGTTGATCTCAAATTCCCAGCCAACGCGACCGGGGCACTTACTCTAGGCCTTGGGCAGACCAAGGATCATACTGTTCAAGGTAAGCTATCTCGATTGTACATTGCTGGCAACTTCTCTAACCCATTCATAGCTGCGATGAGACTTCGCCAGCTTGGAACAACCCAGTCTGTGACCTTCATAGCGCCGCCAGAGGTCCACCAGAGTCTGTTGGATGTATGCCACAAGACCGCAAACGATACCCTGGATTCGTCGGACGTGGTCACCTGGCTGCTTGATCAGACATGCGCAGCCAACCGTGAACTTTCGCCGTTGTATTTTGCGCAAGGCAAAGACTTCACTGCCCGCATGCAAGCAGCCGCCACTCATAAGAAGTTCCTATCATCAGTCGAGCATAGAAAAGCGTACCTGGAGACATTGCAGCAGCCCGAACGGCAAACCTTGGAGCAGCTATACGAACCAACGTACCGCGATAGGACGACACCCGATCTACCCCCAACTACTCTGTCCGCTGGAGGAAAAGTGGCCGCATTGGTGCAGGCACTTGAATCCAAGCGGCGACGGGAGTCTGAGGCATTCGAGTCAGTCATTAGCTCAGCACTCGAAGAGGTAGAGCAAGAACGCGAGGTTGCCTACGAAATCGAAGAGGAACGGGAAATCCAACGCCCTACTCGCAAGAAGCCTTTGCGCTTTCCAGGTCTGCATGAGTCAATCCTGAACTTCGCCAAAGGGGATCTGCACGAAACATCGGACTTCTTGAAAGCATCGGAATGGCTAGAAAGTACGCATCTCGGAGAAAAGTACAACATAGAAGGCTCGTCGCTCGTCCCTCACCTTTACTTGTCCCCTGAGTTTCCCAGGACTGTCAAGCTCAAAAAGTCGGGCAATGACGATTCCTACATCCGACCCGTGAACTGGGTTCTCTATAACAGAGTCACGGAGACCGCTCTGGTAGTCATTCCTGAGGAGGCCGAGGAGTTGATACCCATAATGCGCGGCTTTGCGCCCGTCAACATGCACCTTATTCTGTACGCGGCGCCCTGGACAAAGGCAATGCTCCATTTCAACAACCTGAAATATTACGCCCTACCCGGTCTTCCCTGGGACTGGAGGCCCCCTGTCTGGCTGCCGTTCGAGCTAGGAATCCTCTCAGGCAGACTCTACTTCCCATTCTCCGAGTACGAAGACCTCTCCAACCCGCTCTACTCACTATCCGGCGACCCAGGCGAAGAAGACGAATCGCTGAACGCATTCACCAAGAATCGCTTGAATTTCATGCAGGAGTGGCTCGCGATCCGTCGGCAGGGGCAGGACATCACGGATACTCCGATGGGGTACATCTGCCAGAACTGGCCGCTGCGCAGTGACCACCCTTTCTTTACGGCGAGAGTGATCAATCTCGAGGACTCGCCTGGCCTCAAACCGCTTCGGTTCAGTGTGAAGGATGAAGAGGAGGAGTATTATAGCAGCGATGACGGGTTGCATGTGGATGATATGGATGATATGGATATCGATGTTGATGACGATCTAGCCGAGGCGCTTGATGATATGATGGATGTGGATTGAGTGATATGGGCCATGTGTGATAGGGTTCCATACTGTACGAGTACTAATTGCGTTGTGTGCTTCGATTTCGATTTTGTTTACGTTACTCTTTTATCGGCGGTGGTCTTGTGATAATGGAAAGAAAATTGGAGGAGCCTCGAGGAGGAGGCTGCATCCCTTCAAATTCCGTCTTACGCGTGCTAGTAGTCTCTTGGGATCTGTGTTGATGAAGCTGTCTCTCAAGATCCAACATGCTTGTAAAGTCCCGCAAGCCTCGTAAATAGCTGGGGCCCGGGCTTCTGGATATCCAGAATTGACTAAATGCTACGTGATATTCAGGCGACCATGTCCTGCCATAGGCGTCATCCGATTGAGGACGAGATTGGACGGAAGTTCGAAAACAGCAGGAAAGACAAGAAGAGCGTACTGGTGGTTGGATGGGCTGAGGTCATCTACGTGTCCTAGGATCTTTGCATTCCCAACCCCGAATACTGGAACTTTTATTATAATAATCGAGTGCCCTTGGATCCCTCGGGCTTAAGAACGACAGCCACCTGGTCCCATCATAGGCCGCAGCGTGGAATGTCACACAAATACCCGTCTCAGCCTCGTCCATTCTGTCCTTCGCCATCCACCCGTTTCCTACCTACCCTTTCAACCTTCGGATTGAACAGAACTGAGACATTTCTTATCGCCTCATGCAGTGCTACTCCAAGTTGGATACAGGGTGGGTAAGCCCAGCCTTGTCGCGGTAGGGCAGGAGCGAGCGCTCATTCACCTCATCAGGTTAGCTAGCGACAGCTATGGGATTCCACCTTCATCCTTCATGATTCATGGATCCTGTCCTCTGAATGTGAGAATATCATCAGTCCAGTGCTGCCAGAGATCCTGCCGGTGCTCAGGTTTGCCCCTCGCATTCATCAGGATACAGCGCTCGCTAAATGCTGACATTAGTTTCCCAACAGGCTTGTACGACGTGACAGGTTACCTATAGCATCGTCAGCGCCAGGGTTTGCAGGGGTCTCGACTCGCCAATGCCCCGCGAGAGTTGATTCAGCCTCGAAGACGTCAGGGCCCATAAATTGAGCTCTCCGACTCCTGAAAATGTGGTCGTCTCGATTACACAGTGCAGACTGCGGCGCTCAGATATTGACTTAACACCACTGGACCATACCGTGACATCCCAGCCTTTCATACGTGATGACCGCAGGCGACCCTAAATCTCGCGGTTATGAACCCGCTCACCTTCACGATGTGGATTCCGAACCACTGAGTCTGACTTCCTGGGAGTATAAGCGCCATCCGGTGTATTCGCGCAGCGAATGGCTCTACGAGACTATTACCCTTGTTATCAGCCTAGGTCTTCTCGGTGGCATCGTCTGTATCTTCTGGTATATGGATGGAAAACTTCTCTCTGACTGGCCCGGCCCTGTATCCCTCACCGCGACAATTTCCATCCTAACAACCTGCTGCACTGCGGCAATGATGCACAGCGTTAGCCAGTTTATCAGTCAACTCAAGTGGCTTTACTTCGGGAAAGGGAGGGCCCAGAAGCTGGCCCAATTCGAGACGTTTGACGAAGCGAGCCGTGGCCCTTGGGGTTCCATCATGCTGCTTACCACAGTCAAGTGGAATCTGGCCACTCTCGGCGCACTTATCACAATCTTTCGGCTGAGCTTTGCGCCGCTTGCCCAGCAAGTTCTTGCGTTCCCGGAGCGGGATAATCACACCGAGGATTACAGCGTTACTTTTGGCTACTCCCACAATTTTAGTTATCCCAGGCCTGGCACAGCACGGGGATTCGGTGTGTTTGGTAAGCAGTGTGCTCTTCGGGTTAAGTAACAAATGTTGCTAACACCAACTTCCTCTCTCCAGACGGCATCACACAAGACCCTGGTCTGCAGGCCGCCATAGTCCAGGGCCTGTATGGAATCAGAAGCCTTGCAGAGTTTAGCTGCCCTGGAATCTGTGACTGGAACGGCTCATATATATCTCTCGGCTTTAGTAGCGCATGTAGCAATGTCACGGAGGCAACTTTGCAGACAGAAAGCTGTGGTAGTGTGAATTACTGGAAAGTGTGCAACATGACAACGCCAGGAGGAGTGATGGTCTCGACTCGACTGCAGGAGACCGTTGCCGGTACCAGCTACTATATGAATGTTTCCTCCCTGGTCACCGATATTGCCAATCCGAACGACATGCTGCGGCACAGCCTACCGGTAGTTGTCAGGTTCGCAATATACAGATCAACCCCGAGCCTGAACATGTACGCTACTAACATCAACATAACGGACTGCTCTCTGTTCCTCACGGCATATCAATACACACATGCCAAGGCAAACGGCAGTGACTTTTCCTTCGAGCAGGTCCGGGAACTTGATTTTGGCGTCGAGAACCCATGGAACGTTGAGAGGACCACTGTCTTGGGCTCAAGAGTATATACCGATGTGACCGAGGCCAACAATATTAGTATTCCTGCCCTACAAATTGGCTGGGCTGACCTTGCGGCCTTGGGCAATTATCTCAAGTCACGGATGTTTGTTACAGAGTGGGTAGAAGGAAACTACGAGAACAGTGATATAGGGCTGACTGCTCTTTTCTACGGCGATGCGGACATCGACAAGCCATTCGAAAGAATGGCCAAAAGTATGACAGACTATCTACGGCGCTCTCCTGATGCCTTGGCCGCTTCTGGAGAGAGGGTCAATCGATTGACGTATGTTCAGATCCATTGGTGGTATCTCATCGGCCCTGCGGCCATTCAGCTGATGGCGGTATTGTTTGGCATCACGACAATCTTCATCAATCGCAAGAGTCGTCGCGTTCCGCTATGGAAGTCATCTGCGCTGGCGGTGCTGGCTTGTCAGCATGAACAGCAGCTCGGCATAATACACAGCAAGGTCAAGGATATCAAGCAGATTGAAAAGGCGGCTGAGAAGGCTAAGGTGCGGCTGGAATAGGAAGGGGGGCTGTTGTATCGCTCTCCAGAGTCGTCGCCATGAGCTTCAGCTTCTCAGTTTGGGTTATATAGTGTCGTGAACCAAGATTGATTACTATTCTCCTCCTTGACAGGTGCGATAGCCGAGCCTGGCAGAAGAAACGTAGTAACCTGGCTAGCGAGCCTTCTTTACCTACATGCAAGGATCGTCATGTAGGTACTTATCTATGCTACAGGCCGAATTTAGGGCTTTACCCTGGACCCTAGTCCCGCAGGATCCAGCATTAACTACATGTTACGTGAACTTCAAGTCCGGGTCGAGAATCGAGTCTGGCGCTTCCTGCGTCACTTGCAGAGAGTACGTGTACCGCTGCTCATACGTCGGAAGCAGCGACAATTGATATGCAGAGCCAGGCGGAAGAGGAGGGCCTTGCGCACGCGGTGGTGCGGTCTCAGCCCATTCCTTGTAATGCTCGCGGCATGTCGCGCCGCCTGCACCGTCGAAGAGGGCTGCGTTGTCGAAGGCCGTCAGAGCGAGGTTGTTAAGGAGGTCCGGCTTGGCGTCAAAGTGATCCTCGGTGTCCTTGGGCAGTTGGCGAAGGAACTCGCTTCATTGTGCTTATTCTCTAGAGGCGCTGCGGTAGATCACGAAGCCCCAGACGTGATGGCTGTCCTGGTGTAGCGCCTGCTCGGCGAGGTTCCCGGGTAGAAGGTTGTCGGTTGATATACAAGGGTAGCGCTTTGGTGGAGGGAGGGAATGTCTCTGGTGGGCGTTTTGCTTCAAGATTGTTCTGGTTGTCAGGCCTTTCCATGGTGAGGTATTGTCGGTTTCAGTCAAAAGCAGCATGTTTGCTATCGCGGTTGGAATCGGATGGGGCTATTGAATTCGCCATGACTTGGAATCCTGCGAGGTGTGGCTCGTGGCAGTACCCTCTGAAGAACATTCCTGTATTCGAGAGACGGCGTCCGCTGTTGATAAGAGGTGAAGGGGTGTGGGTGCGTCCGGAGCAAGTCAAGGTGTCCGGGTTGTTCAGGGAGAAGCTGGCCAGAGCCACTTCCTGAGACGCCTCTATTCGAACGAAGCAACACTCGGCGGGCGCTGGTAATATTGTTCCCACGCCAAATCATCACGCAAGTAAGCGTATCGCTCAACCATAACACTGTCAAACTCAATCTTCATCCACCCAACATCCCAGTCCATACGCCCCTCAGCCGGCTTCTCCCAATCATACAGTTCCCGTCCCTGATCAGACTCATCCACGTCACTAAGTTCGTCTTCATCTTCCTCCTCCTTTGCTTCAGGCTCCCAATCCTTAGCAACCAGCCGCACAAAGCTACTATCCAGGTCCTTCGTCACCGGGCTCACAACCGATTCCAGCTCTTCCTGCCCCACCTGTAGACAATAGCCGTACCGCTGGGACGAAAAACCACGCTTCGGGCAGAGCCCTGCTCCCGCCCCTTGCTCGCGGATGAGCGCACTCCCAAACCAAGTGCTCCCGGACAACCGCCGCCGTAACCCCATCAAAGCTACCAGGATCGTCGAAGAGAAGGAGCACCAGGTTCCGCAGCAAATCGGGTTCGCCTGCATTGCCGATTACGGCTTCTTCCGTGTTGCTGAGAAGTAAACTCAAGAATGCTGCCCAGTCGGCATCGCTGCTATATGTACACCGATAGATGGCGAACCCCCAGCCGCGGTGGCCGTCTACGTGCAGGGATGCTTTCGATTGGTGATTTTCCTGGTGGTAGGGCTCGTGAACGCGAGGTGGATATGTTGCGGATCTGAGAGGGTAAGCCACCCTGGAATCGGAGGGATTTGTTGATTTCGGGTTGCATGGGGAGGAACGGTGCTGCTTTGAGCGGGACAGTAACGCTTGGAGCTCGCGGGGGAATGGCTCGGGACAGGGCACTTTGTAGATCTCGGACTGCAAGGGTCATCTTTGATGTTTCCTTCCTCAATTCCGTGGAAGAACAAGAGAGGTGATGGAAGAAGTCAAGCAACAACACCAAACGGCGGAACGAAGCGAGTTCCACGCACGCTAAACCTAATTCATACACGCTGTTTACTATGTTTCTACTACGGTATGGCTATGGCCTGCGATCGCGGATTTGGCGCCACTCAGGTGGGATTTTGAGTTGATGGGCGCACCTTATATGCACCCTGCAACAACTCAATCGTAACGTCACTTTCACATTGGTCAGTATGTTAGGTTAGTGTAGTACTAGGGCCATATATCTGCCCGATATGCGCTACGCCACGTGATCAACTGAGCGGGGGAGGGACAGTTCAGCCTCGTGCCTGCACCTGCAGCCTCGTCTTCCTGCCTTTTCTCTTGAGGGCATATTCACCATGAGCAGCTACCACTTACGATATGAGGACTTCACCGTGGGCTGGGTGACTGCCTTGCCCATTGAACTCGCTGCTGCACGGAAGATGCTCGATGAAGAGTACGAATACCACGATGACTCTACCTATACGCTGGGCCGGATCGGAGAGCACAACGTCGCCATAGCCTGCTTCCCCTCGGGACAGCTCGGCATTGCAAATGGGGCCACCGTCGCAGCCAGTCTGAAAGCTAAATTCCCGGCTCTAGAATTCTGCTTGATGGTCGGCATTGGCGGCGGGGTTCCGAGCCCAGAGAACGACATTCGTCTTGGCGACGTGGTGGTCAGTCAACCCCAAGGAACATACGGCGGAGTGGTCCAGTATGATCTGGGAAAAACCGTTTCTGGTGGACGACAGATGCGCACCGGCTTCCTCAATGCACCTCCTGCGGCGATCCTCCGAACCGTTTCCCGGCTCCAATCCAATCATGCGCTTGGCAAAGAAAACATGTCCGATTATCTATCCCAATTCGACGGTACACAGTTCGATCGCCAGACTGCAGGTTCAGATGTACTTTTCCAAAGCTCGTACACCCACGAGGGGGGGCCCACTTGCGCGGATTGTCCCCAGGAGTTTGCTGTCTCACGCGCACCGCGGACTGGAACTGCGGTCAAAATCCACTACGGCACAATCGCCTCTGGAAATCAGGTCATCAAGGACGCGACAACCAGAGTTCGGCTAAGCTCTGAGCTGGGTGGCGTTCTCTGTTTCGAGATGGAAGCCGCCGGACTCATGAACAATCTACCCTGCCTTGTCATCCGTGGAATCTCGGACTACTCCGACTCGCACAAGAATGCAAGCTGGCAGCCATTTGCAGCAGCTGTGGCCGCGGCGTATGCAAGAGAGATCCTAGTTTTACACCCCGCAAGTTCTGGTCTCCAGCGGCGAAGAACTATCTTGGATTGGATAGCACCTCTAGAACAGGAGCAAAGACATGCGTTCGTGACTTCGCTTCGTGTTAAGGGCACTGGCGGTTGGCTACTAGAACATCCGGAGTATACTAAGTGGCGCGACAACCCGGCAAGTCCTCATGTTCTTTGGTGCCACGGCATGGGTGGTGCTGGAAAGACAGTCCTCTTGTTTGTTAGGATTTTGAAACCTGCTAGGTGTCTATACTGATTTTTGCAGTTCTAACCTAATCGATGTACTAAGACATCGGTCCGCTGGCCCAAGGAAACCCGTGATCTTCTATTACTTCGACTATGAGGATCAATCTCGCCAGACAATGAGTCTTTTCCTCAGGAGCCTTCTAAGGCAGCTTTTAGACCACATCCCGAACATACCAAGAAAGCTAGTCGACGCTTATACAGTTGGGAGCTTACTTTCGGTAACTGCTCTTGAGCAGATAATATCAGAGATCATACAGACTTTGCCCCGCTTGTACATTTTGATTGATGCCCTCGACGAGTGCGTCGACCCATGTTTACGAAAGACTATTGCTAGGTTTTTGGAAAATGCGGCACGTACGTCCAGTGTTCGACTCCTCCTCACAAGTCGTCCGCACGTCCAGGAGATTCCTGTGGTGTTCCCTTGCTGTTTGGAAATTCCAGTGCGCGGATCCGAGAAGGACATCAAAGCATATATATCCCACGAAATAAGCCAAGCTGGAAACATTGATGTGGTAGACGCAAGGTTCGCTGAAGAGATTACCAATACGATCCTACGCCAAGCAGACGGGATGTTAGTGACTGCATGTCAATAAGCTTGTATATTTTGCAGGCTGACTATGGTCTCAGGTTCTTCCTATCGGTCCTCCGTACTAAAGCGGTTCTGAGAGAGCCAACCACCGACCATTGCCTCGGATAGTACTGGAATGCTGCCTGGGACTTGTGACTATTGAACCCAGGACGGAAATAATCCGTCTGTCTCACTACGCCGTTAATGAATACCTAATCAAGAATGGCCCCGAGCTGTTCGGGGACGCAGAGGCCAGCATTTCCGCCCTATGCCTGACCTACCTACTCCTCGAACCCTTCGTTCAAGGGCCCCGCAAAAAGAGCGCCCGCATCAGAGCCCTTATATATTCCCAACCTTTCATATCGTATGCAGCTAAACACTGGGGGGATCATGTACGCATGTGTGAAAGTAATCCCATGGTCTGGAATCTGACTTTTCGGTTCCTTAATAATCAACAAGCAGCAGCCTGTGCACACCAGATCCTGCAGTTCAACCGGGGCTATAGAAAGATCTACTGGACTGCGGCCGAGTCCAACAGCGTGAATGCCCTCCACATAGCCACCAACTTCGGACTGGAAAGAGTTGTTGACCACCTCCTCTCTCGCAGAGCATTTAACATCAACGCCGCAACAACAATCGGCACAACCGCACTCATTATAGCAGCCTCTAATGGACATGGCCGCATCACTCGAGCTCTATTGCGAAAAGGCGCCAACCCGAGGCTTGAAAACTGGTACGGCAACGCCCTCCACTGCGCGGCCGAGGACGGCCACAGCAACACAATCCGCCTGCTAGTTCTGAGTGGAATGAGCCCCAACGTCCCCAAGGAGTCTGGCCGGTACCCTATTGAGTGCACGTTGGATGGCGACCATGCGGACGCCTTTGAGACTCTCCTCAACCTTGGCGCTAAGATTAAAGAGCGGACAGGCGACATGCCGCTGCTTATCAAGGCTATCACCGCAGAGTGCGTTGATATTGTTGATGTCATGCTCAAGCGAGGCCTGGTGGATGTTAATCAAGAACTCTATGACGGCACTACCTCGGTACATGTGGCGGCTGGTTTAGACAACACTGCTATTCTGGATAACTTGATCAAGCACGGCGCTCGTATTGATGTTTTGGATAACGAGTGGCTGTCTCCCCTTGACCATGCATTGGCGCGAGGGAGTGACAAGGCTGCGAAGTTACTTCGAAGTTACGGCGCGAAGAGAAATATAGATTGATTCCCACCTGGCAGCTGTTCAGCGCCTTCGCACCTTCTATCCCGCGCCGGCTCCTTGAGCATCTTGCGATACTTTCACGTCAGGATGCTAGGCACAGACGCATCGACACATTAATGTCGAAGAAAAAGTACTTTGGTTGCAGTAAGGTACCAAATGATGACCTTGCATAACTAACGGACAAACCGGAGACCTCGAGATGGTGAGAGAGTTAGTGAGCAGGTACGGCAGTGCACTGGAATGACAAAAGAAAATCTTTGACTACGACCATACAATCTCAGTCATTCAGAGACAAGACGGCTTAGTGGGGTCCAAATGCAGTCAGAAGCCTGCCAACCAGAAGTTGTCGGCTCAGCCTTCCTGATTCCTGCGCTCCATGCAGTGATTGCAAAAGCAAAATGAGCTGATGCTTCAGTGGATGGGAGCCACCTCTTTAAATATCTAGAGTTGCTGGCATCTAGTCGAGTGAACCTGTGCGCTCTCCAAAAATGCTCCGCGATATGATTCTGTACTTTTGCGCTGTCTTATTGCTGTTACCTCTATCGCACGCACTTCCTTCATTTGGCAGTGAACTGTGCCGATATCTACCAGGCGATACTTACTGGCCCACTGAGGCCGAGTGGTCCAAACTCAACACCACAGTGGGTGGCCGCTTGATCAAGACGATTCCTCTGGGCTCGCCATGTCACGGCTCGAGCTACCGCGCCGCCGAATGCGAATATCTTCAGGCGGAGTGGACGAATCCCGAGCTCCAGTACGCGCAGCTCCATCCTTATTGCTGCTATTCTTCTTGGTCCAAATTTGACCCTTTGCGCAGTGCCGATTCCCCGTCCTCTTTTGGCGCTCCGTTTTTCCAAGCTCAGGCATGCGATCCGTTTACCAACAAATCGAGTCCTTGTGAGCTTGGCAATTACTACGTATATGCTATCAATGTCACCGGCGCAGCAGATGTCGCTGTTGGGCTTGCTTTCGCCCAGGACCACAACATCCGACTGGTCATCAAGAACACCGGCCACGAGCAAGTATCTCTTTGCGTGGGAACATTGCGAGTCCGTGCTAATCCCCTTTTTGTATAGTCTCCTAGGGCGATCATCCGGCAAAGGCGCACTGGGCCTGTGGACTCATAATCTTCGCGCGATCTCGATACTCGATTACAAGAGCAGCTTATACACGGGAAAGGCCATGAAGGTGGGAAGTGGTGTGCAGGTGTTCCACGCCTATTCAGCTGCTCACAAGGCCGGTCTTCGCGTGGTGGGCGGTACCTGCTCGACCATCGGAATGGCAGGTGGGTATACCCAGGGAGGCGGACACTCGATGCTCTCGACAGCCTACGGCCTCGCCGCGGACCAGGTACTCGAGTGGGAGGCAGTACTGGCCGATGGAACCCATCTCACCGCGACGCCAACCGAGAATGCTGATCTGTACTGGGCGCTGTCCGGAGGCGGCGGAGGAACTTACGCCGTGGTGCTGTCGATGACGATCAAGGCGTACGCCGACAGCCCGGTGGCGGGAGCCATGTTGCAGATAAAGGAAACATCATCGTCCGATAACTTTTGGGAATCCGTTGAAGCCATCCACGCGGCAATGCCAACCTGGATTGATATGGGCGCCAGCACAGCTTACGTGCTCAGCAACGGGGTGCTATCCCTTCAAATGCTCTTCACGACCCGCTCCGCCGGAGAAGTGAAGTCCATCTTACAACCTCTAGTAGAAAAGCTAGACTCCTTGTCGGCGGAGTATATGCTCAACATAACCGCCTTTGGCGACTATCACACGGCCTTTAACAACTACTTCGGCGCATACCCGAACTCCCAGGTCCAGGGGAACCGGTTGATCCCACGCTCCGGGCTCACATCCAACACATCCATTGCGGCTCTAACCCTCGCGCTCCGCGAGATCGTATCCAACCCATCATTCTACATCCTCGGTGTCGGCATCGATGTCTCAACCGGGGCGTTTGTTCCCAACGCGGTCTTCCCCGGTTGGCGAAACGCAATTGCCTCGCTTGAAGTAATTGCCAACTGGGATTACAATGTCAGCTACGCGGAGAATGCAGAGCACCAGAGATTGATTACAGATGTGTATATCCCCTCTTTGACTGCCGTCACAGGACCAGAGAGCGGCGCGTACATGAACGAGGCCGATTTCCAGCAGCCAGATTTCCAGAGTCAATTCTTTGGCGAGAATTATGCGGCACTAAGGGCCATTAAGGGGAAGTATGATCCACAGGGTGTATTCTACGGCAATGCGCTGGTAGGCAGCGAGGAGTGGGTTGTTGGCGGCGACGGGCGGCTCTGCCTGGTGTAGGTATCTGGGCTGAGGCGGTAATGCAAATACAGGTTACTACCGTAAGCTGCTCTGTGTTTGTACAGAACAGCCGATATTTGCAAGTTAGCTGGAGGCCTTGCATGGGGTATTTGTACGACGATAAGCGCAGACTCGACTCGCGACATCGCAATAGGGCGTACGTGAATGGGGCCAAATGCAATGCTACCCTCTATCTTACTCGACGCTGAGCCTGATCAAGATCTGTTTGCCAGGCAGATGCCAAGTTGCCAACGAATTTCCACGCACAGCAGGCCAGGGCAGAAGAATGGTGCTGATAATGGCTTGCTGTTCTCTCCGCCCTTGGCGTCGGATCGCCCGCAGTGCGACTGATTGTTGCTGCATGTCAGAACGCTACGCTATTCCGTGGCCCCTCTCGTTGGCTTTGGATTCCGATTTGGAAGCAGCGAGACGGACGAAGCCGCCCCTAGGCTGCATGATTTGATTTGGAAGCATCCTCGAGCGGCTGTACAGGGTTGGTTACATCTCCACCCCTGTCCCAGCTCTCGATTCGTCCTCGGACTCGGTCAATTTCAAACACTTCATGTCACCTACAGAAGGCTGAGATTGGATGATGATCCTCGGATGCGATGCTAGCCCTCTCTCCTGGTCCATTGCAGATCGAGCGTTTCCCACTGAAGATCCTCTCCATAAGCTCTTGGAAATCTTACCACGCTTCGCACGGCCAGAATATAAGCTGATATCAAGCCTCTTGTTTCATTTTGATATGCGAATCCACCGCCGACGCCTATCGCCATGGCCTCTGCTTGGACAGCGCATCCCCGGGCCGTAGCGGCAGTCGCTGTTTCAGTGGTCTTTGAGACCCTGGCTGTAATCGCCATGATTCTGCGTTTCTACTCGCATCGTTTGCGGAAGCGGAGGGTTGCGGCGCATGATTGGGCTACGGTTGTTGCGTTGGTACGTACCTAGTCTCTGGGAGGAGGAGTCGATGTTGATCGGAGGATTGGCAGATCTTTTCCACTGGCTGCGTGGCTCTTGTGATTACCGGTATGTTGTTATCGCTCACTGTTCTCTTCTAGCTTGGTTTCTAAGGACTCAGTAGCGGTAGCCATTGGAGGGCTAGGGCAACACACCTGGGAGCTTTCCAACCCGACGGTCCAGTTACTACACTTTGCAAAGGTAAGTACTCTCTTGCAGCCATCTTACTCTGTAGCCCGCACAGACTGATCCGCCACAACTTCAGATCTATGTCGCCAATTCCCCCGTCTGGGCAGGCGCAATCAGCGCCGTCAAGGTGTCGATTGTCCTTTTGTACATTAGTCTCTTTGGCAACGACCCTGCTATCCGATACTGCTGCTATACATTGATCGGCGTGCAAGTGCTCTGGGGAATCGCCGTCATACTGTCCTCTTTGCTGCTATGCCAGCCCCTGCGGATAAACTGGGACCCCACTGTGGACGGCCACTGCGGCAGCACTAAGGCTACATATCTTGCTCTGCACATTATCAATCTAATCCTGGACGTGACAGTCGGCCTTCTCCCTGTGCCGGTACTATGGAAACTACAGATGAGGCGGCGGAAGAAGATCGAGCTGGCGCTGATGTTTTCGCTGGGAATAGCGTACGTCAACTGAGCTCCCCGTCCCAAATAGATAGTCCTCCGCTGTGAAGGTATGGTGCTGTGCTGACCAACCCCGTGCCGTACAGGATCTGCATAATCACCATCTTCCGCATCAACATGATCAACGACCTTGTCAGCACCGACCTCACATACACCACGGCGCCCCTGATGATCTTCACAATCCTCGAGCCCCTCCTCGGAATCATCCTCGCCTGCCTGCCGCTGCTCCGTCCGGTATTCGAGCGCGTCTCCGCCTTCCGGACCTTGCATAGCAGTCAAGCCAGCGGTGGCAGCGGCACACCGATACCGCAGTTGTCTGGGCAATCCCGCGAGTCCAAGGCCAGGACCGAGCACTACGTGAAGATGCGTCCCTCGACTTCAACTGCGGGATCTGCGCATGCCCTCAACAGCACCGCCGCTAATCAAGGGCGTGGGTATGAACTTGACGAGGTGAAGCGCTTGTCAGACCGGGATCAGCCGTCTATTGTTGTTACGAATACGTGGGACGTGGAGGCGGGGCCGTATAGTCCAAGGGGGTTGAAGCCGGGCAGCGCGGCTAGAGACCTTGATCGGCCGGATAATGGGACTTTTTAGGCTCATTCTGTTACTGCAATGAGATTCAGTTATATGCTCATGTATATCGCTTTATCTTGCCTTGATTACCAAGGGCTCGGCGATCATCCTCTCGCTCGAAATAGGAGAACCGGACCATCCCAGCACTGGCGCATTACGGCCGACCCAGAAACAGCTCATTGGCTAGGATCGATGTGATACGTGAGGGCCTGAGGTATGTACACAGTCAGACTTGCATATGGCGCAGCCTTCCCTGTCCTACCCTACCTTGCGAGGCGATCCCCTAGCAAACATCACTGCATGCATGGATGAGCTGACCTGGCTCAAGTTCAACAGGATGACAATACGAACCTTACTGATATACCCGCACATTACCGTGCCTTACTACGACAGGTACCATTCCATTCTATATTTCGTATAGACTGCCCAAGCCCAAAGAGAAGGAAGTGGCTGTTTCCCGGTCCATCACCATGATGAATCTTAATACGGACTTCTCCTCTACAGCCAAAAGCGTCGCCATTCCGCTGTTTATCGCACTGGGTATCTGCTACGCCACCAGCCTCGTCCTCTACCGCCTCTATCTAAGCCCGCTGTCGAAATTCCCTGGCCCGCGCGTCGCCGCCGCAACTGGCTGGTACGAGGCGTACTTCGAGCTTGTCCACAAGGGCGGCGGACGTTTCCTCTTTGAGATCCGACGGATGCATGAGGTCTACGGTGTGTACCTGCAATTATGGTACGTTCCTTGGCCCTTGTACTGAACAGCAGCTCGCATCCCAGGCCCCATCGTCCGCATCAACCCCTACGAACTACACATCGCCGACCCAGCCTACTACAGCACCCTCTACACCTCCACCCTGAACCTCGACAAAGCATCCCACATCCAGCACCGCTTCAACGCCCCAACCGCCGCCTTCTCAACGCCCCAACATGCACTGCACAAACGCCGCCGCGCCGCGATATCCCCGTTCTTCGCGAAGCGCCGCATAGACGAGCAAGCGCCCATGATCAATTCACATGTCGACGTAATCTGTCGGCGTTTGAACGAGGAATACGCAAGCACAGACAAAGTGCTCTGCGTCAACGAGCTGTACGGCAGCTACGTGACGGATGTGATCATGACGTATGCGTTCAACCGGTGTCCGCGGTTCCTGGAGGAGGAGGAATTCATCTCTGCGTTTGGGAAGAGCATCCAGGGCCTCAAGGAGTTCGTGCACTGGGCGCAGCAGTTCCCTTTCCTCCCGCGGATTTTGGGTATCGTGCCGCCAGCCCTTATGGGCGCGCTGTTCCCGGCTATGCGCGCGAGTCTGGTGTTTCAGGAGGTACATACCCCCCTCTTCACGCAACTATCCTATTAACAGCAATGCCAACCCGGACAGGAAATGCGCACGCAAGCCCAAACCGTCCTCTCCGGCCACGGCCAAAAGGGCACCATCTTCGCGGACCTACTAGCCTCCGACCTCCCAGAAGCAGAACTCACCCTCCCCCGCCTAAAAGACGAAGCAATGAGCATCGTCGGCGCGGGGATCGAAACAACGAAGACCGCAAGCGTCGTGACGACCTTCCACATCCTGCACACCCCGCGCATCCTACATAAACTGCAGGCCGAGCTGGACGCCGCGATCCCGGACCCCGCTGCCCCGCCGCCTCTAGGCGTCCTAGAAAAGTTGCCTTTCCTCGCCGCTTGTATCCAGGAGGGGATTCGACTGGGCTATGGCGCGACGGGGCGCTCGCCGAGGATCTCGCGGGGCGATCCGCTGACGTATGGAGGTGGGGGTGGGGCTTGGGTTATCCCCGCCGGTGTCATGGTTAGCATGGATAGCTACCACATGCATCATGACGAGAGTGTGTTCCATGATAGTCACGCGTTTGTGCCGGAGCGGTGGCTGGATGGGGCGCGCGGGCCAGGGCCGGATGGGAATGGGCGGGGCAGGCTGAATCGGTACCTGGCGTCGTTTGGTCGCGGGACGCGCATGTGTGTTGGGGTTAACCTGGCGTATGCGGAGATTACGATTGTGCTGGCGAGGCTGTTTCGCGGGTTCGAGATGGAGCTGTATCACACTAGCAGGAGGGATGTGGACTGTTATCGGGATTTGGTGGGGATGGAGGTTGTTAGGGGGAGTCGGGGGGTCAGAGTTAGGGTTTTGAAGACGAGGAAGTGAGGCCTTTGTTTCTTATGGCCGCTCGTGCTTGAATATGTATACGTCAAGATACATCCTCCGTCCCCTGCAAGACATCCCGCACAAACCGTATCTTCGCCTCCATCAACACCCCCAGATGCGCCCCCTGCACAACATCCATATGCCCAACCCCCTCAACCAAATACAATCTCCTCGGCGCACCCCCCAGCTTCGTATCAAAGTACTCCCTCTGCCTCTCCGCAGCACTAACTGAATCCATCTCCGGCACAACAAACATCACCGGCGTCGGCGCAACGCCCGCCCAAAGCTCAAACGGCGCCCACATGGCCATGTGGTAGTAACTCTGGACCGTCGTGCGATTGACATGGCCCCGCGCCAGCTCCTTCCCCTGTCCCACAATCCGCGCATACTCCTCGCGCTCCAAACCGAGCCCAAACCCCGCTGGGTTCTCGCCGTGCTCGTTTAGCAGCGGGACATAGAACGGCTCGTTCCCGGCTACTTGCGACGCGCGGTCCTGCATGCACCGCTGCAGCACTCTTGCTCGTTTGGACTCCGGTCTGGGGCGCAGGTCTGTGAGGGGTGCGATGGCGAGGACGCCGCGGATGCGTTTGTCGCTTGTTGCGGCGGTGAGGGCTACGACGGCGGAGAAGGACATGCCCCAGATGAAGAGCGCGGATGGGTCTACAGAGGCTTGGGTTGAGAGGAAGGTTAGGGCGTCGGAGTAGTCGGCTGCTTGGGTGACCGGGTTGATTTCGTTGCGTGGGGTGCCGGCTGAGGCGCCGGTTGAGCGCGGGTCGTAGAGGAGGACTGTTATGCCGCTGGATTGGAAGTGGAGGGCCACGTCGGGGAGGCCGAGCATTTCTTTGACGCAGGCGAACTGGTGGTGAAGGGTTAGTTGCGGATTTGGGTGTGCATTGTGGATGTGGAACTCAAGTTGGTGGGATGGCCTACTCCGGGGGTCATCACGATTCCGGGGCCGCGGGAAGTGGCTGGATACAGAGTCCCTCTGAGGGTAAGGCCATCGAGAGTTTTGAACTCGACGGTTTGTTCGGGTAGAGACATTGGTTTGCTTGAAGGGATGGCGGGTATACGGTAACTGATGTGTTGGTTGTAGACACACTCTGCTGGCAAGGCAGGTCAAATTGAAGTAGGCAGAGCAATTTAAAAATACTTGTTTCTGTAATCAATCAATCTGCTTGCATGGCGAGGCGAAATCTTGACGGGTTGATCATCTGCTAGGTATGATAGGTATGAACAGGAGGGTAGGACATGACTCTGCATGCATATACTCCGTACTCGGGCGCCTGATCGCCAGTCGAGTTTGAAACAGGTGCAGGCACAACTCAGCATGACTTCCCGTCCAGCGGCATAGCATAGCCACCTTCATGCGAGTTGTCGGAGTTGGACCCCGTTCTAGACAATTCATGACGCCCTCGACGGAGGCTTGTGATGTCCAGCCTGCATAGCTCTGTTGCAGCGATTCTCATTAGGTCCAAGAAATACAGAACGCGTCGTATCCGCTGGACGCCTAGCGTCTCTCTTGGAAATTGGTCTAGGCTCTCTGGTGCCTTGAGAGCATTGAAGGCAGGTGCTCATGAACGCCAATGTTACATCTGTGCGCTGGATTGCGGCTCTTGGTACGGAGTATCCGCCCAATCGCATCTATACCTGCTAAACACGCCAGTCGGATGGGCATGGTTAATTGCGTTTGTAATTGGAGAGAGTTGGTGTAGAGAGCTCGGACCTCACTACCGTCATCCCAGAAACATGGGACTTAGAGGATATCTCCTGATTTTCGAGCCTACCGTTGAATGCTTCCATCGTTAGCCACGAGAACTGTTCGTCAAATGTTCAAGATGAACGGAACAAGCTCAACCTCGCCCTCGCCTCTTTCCCACTTCGAGCCCGTTGCAGTGATTGGATTTGCCTGCCGACTCCCAGGGAACAACAACTCCCCAACAGCACTCTGGGACTTCCTCGAACGTGGCGGAGTGGCGAGTCGGGCTGTTCCAGCATCACGCTTCAACCTGGCAGGCCACGAGGACGGCAGCAAGCGACCGAGTACAATGCGCACGCCGGGAGGAATGTTCCTTGAGAATATCGATCTCGGGGATATCGATGCCCAATTCTTCGGTCTCTCCCGTGCGGAAGCCACAGCAATGGATCCGCAGCAGCGCCAGTTGTTGGAGGTCGTGTATGAGGGGTTGGAGAATGCCGGGATTACTCTGGAGCAGTTAAGAGGACAGGAAGTTGGATGCTTTGTCGGGAGTTATGCGTCAGGTCTGTTACGATGATCATACTGTGCGAGATATGCGATCAGCCATTGATCCTTCTCCTTCCTAGACTATGGTGATATCCAAGCCCGAGATCCGCAGGATCGCGCGCCTAATTCAACCGTGGGCATTGGACGCGCCATGCTCAGTAATCGTTTGAGTCATTTTCTGGACATCAAGGGGCCGAGGTTGGTATTTCCAGCTTCCTGGGTAGTCGCTTTCTAAAACATGTTAGTATGACCATCGACACAGCATGCTCCGGTAGCCTAGTCAGCCTGGACGTAGCCACGCGATACCTGCAAACGGGAGAGATCGGAGCCGCGATAGTAGCCGCGTGCAATCTATACATGAGCCCAGAGCACTGCATTGACATCAGCAGCAGTATCATTAACGCTGCATCCCTCACGGGCCTCTGCCATACGTTTGACGCCAAAGCCGACGGGTATGTCAAGGCCGAAGCGGTTAACATGGTGATCGTCAAACGACTGCAGGACGCTATCCGTGACCGGGACCCAGTCCGGGCTATCATCCGGGGATCGGCTTCTAACAGTGATGGCTGGACAGCTGGAATTGCAAGTCCGAGCTCGGAAGGACAGGCTGCTGTTACGCGACAGGCTTATCGCATCGCGGGAATTACTGACCTCAACGCCACCTCGTATGTCGAATGCCATGGGACGGGCACCCGAGCTGGAGATCCAATTGAAGTCAAAGGGGTGGCATCGGTGTTTTGTCCAGATAGACCTGCGGAAAGGCCGCTGCTGATCGGCTCGGTAGGTCGAGCTGTCCTCTTCCCTCGTGTAGAGCTCGCTTATCAAAAGCCAGATCAAAAGCAACATCGGCCACTCTGAGCCCGGGGCAGGCATCTCTGGCTTGCTAAAGACGATTCTTGCATTGGAGAAAGGCATCATTCCCGGAAACCCTACCTTTGAGACACCGCATCCCGAGAGCATGTCAAGTCCGTCAACCAAAGAGAATCATGGCTGATACCGCACAGTTGACTTCGAGGGCCTAAAGACGCGAGCCTTTAAACATGCCATCCCGTGGCCCAGCATGCCTTTCAGGCGGGCGAGCGTGAACTCGTTTGGATACGGCGGCTCCAACGCCCACGTCATCCTAGACGAGGCGAGAACGAGTGTATCTGACTCGACGATGTGTTTCAAGTCGTCCTATCTACCTGAGAACCACGATCCGTTCGAAGAAGGCGAAGGGACCGAGACAGGCTTCCCACAACTTCTCGTGTTTTCAGCTAACCACGAGGAATCACTCAAGCAGTACCTTCGTGCTCTGCGGAAACACCTCATCAACCCCCGCGTGAGGATCTTACTGCCGGACCTGGGGTATACGCTATCAGAACGGCGGACTCGGCATTTTAACCGTGCATTTCTGATTACACGGACCAGCTCAGATATCGATCTCCATGGTCTGGTCTTCGGGAAGCTGCGTCCGAGCCCCCCACGGGTAGGCTTTATTTTCACGGGACAAGGGTCTCAATGGCCTCAGATGGGGAAATCTCTGCTGGATATGTTTCCTTCGGCACAGAATCAGCTAGCTCGCCTAGATAAGGCACTGCAGTCACTTCCTGATCCTCCAGAATGGTCATTGTACGGTGCGTACACGTACCTATCTTGAAGAAATGGAGAAGCTGAGGATGTGGCTGACATTCCCAGACGAATTGACGTTCCCAAGGACACCAGACCATATCCGACAGCCAGAGTTCTCGCAGCCGTTAATCACAGCCCTGCAGCTGATCATGCTCGACATCTTGCGGAAGTGGCGAGTTCACCCGTGTGCTGTGGTCGGCCACTCTTCCGGCGAGATAGCAGCTGCCGCTGCAGCTGGTCTTTTGTCTCCCGAAGAAGCGATCCAGATTGCATACTACCGAGGAAAAGCGGTTGTTGAGCGACGCGATACGGCCTCGTCGCCAACGGGTATGCTTGCGGTAGGCTTAGGTGCAGGCCATAAGGCTCTTGAAGAACTTCTCGAGGCACATGGTGATTCAATGGCCGTTGCCTGCATCAACTCCCCCGGAAGCGTCACATTGTCAGGCACTTTGGATGTCCTCAGAAAGGCGAATGCGGTGACCCAGGAGAAGGGACACTTTGCCCGCCTTTTGCAGGTCGACATGGCTTATCATAATTCCATTTTTATGACAGATATCGCTGCACACTATAAGCAGATGTTGCTTCGCCTGGGGCTTTACTCCGCCTCGTCAACCTTGGCAAAAGCAAATGATGAACAGCGAACTGTAAAGATGTTTTCTTCCGTGACGGGGTTGAAGACTAACAATCCTTGCGATGCCGAGTACTGGTGTTCGAATATGCAATATCCCGTTCTGTACAGCCAGGCAGTTCAGACAATGCTAAATGACGAACAGCAATCGGTCAATTTTCTTATTGAACTTGGCCCGTCGGGTGCACTCGCTGGCCCTACCAAGCAGATCATAAAGTTTATGCAGGACAAGCAACCAGATCTTGCCATTGAATACCATGCCGCGTACAAGCGCGACGTGGTTACCGCAGCCATGGGACTTTTTGAGGTGGCGGGTTATCTTTATCTGTCAGGCGGCGACGTCGACATCCAACAGGTCAATTCACACAATGCTCATGGGGATCAAGAGCAGGATCCGCCGTCCGTAATCGTAGATCTCCCCAACTACGCCTGGAACCACTCGACAAAATACTGGTATGAAAGCCAGTCCAGCCGAGACTGGCGGTTCAGGCGCTATCCAAACCACGATCTACTAGGTAGCAAGATTCTAGGGACGTCGTGGTTAGCGCCTTCCTTCAGAAAGGTCCTGCGCCTTGCAGAACTGCCATGGCTGAGCGACCACCGGGTCGCTGGCCAGCCTCTGTTTCCGGCGGCTGGGTATATTGCCATGGCCGTTGAAGCTGCTTACCAGACTGGTCAGCAGAGCGGGGCAATCGACGCGGGCCTAGAAGTCTCGCAGCTCGCGTATAGGTTTCGCAACATCAAGTTCGTCAGGGCCCTGGTTTTGGACGAGGCTACACCATCAACTTTGATGCTTTCATTGAGTCCTGAGCGTGGCTGGTATAAGTTCTCGGTCTACACAGCGGATGGCGAGAATGTCTCAACTCTTCACTGTGAGGGGTTAGTCTCACTCCATGTTGATGTCGACGAAGGTACGCATCTGTTTTCAAGTTGGTAAGGTCTTACAGCGACGAAAGATTAAGCTTACCCTTATTTAGCTCCACTCTCAAATGCCGTAAAGCCGCTGCTCTATCCAACCCCCGCCAGGTTATGGTACAAGGCCATGGGCGAAGTCGGGTACAACTTCGGTCCAGCGTTCCAAGCACAGCTGCAAATAGAATCCGTAGCAGGGAGTCGACATAACAGAGCTCTAGTGTCGCTTGCAGGGCCTCAATCAGCGTACGCTCAATCACCCTACTCCATCCACCCGGCCGTCCTAGATGGCTGTTTGCAGTCCGGGGCTCCGGGGCTATGGAACGGGATTCGGAGTGCAGTACAAGAATGTCTTGTGCCAGCTATTGTAGAGGATCTTGTCATCAAGGTACGAAAGACTGCTGCTGAATTGGGAGCCGCGGACTGCTCTGCCGAGTATTCGGGCGTTGGGTCGCGAGAGGAACCATGCTCGTATAAGTCAAATATCATTGTTTCGGACTCAACCACGGGGAATATGCTAATCGGAGTCAGAGGTCTGACATATTCGGCGCTCAATCAAAGGGAAGCCTTCGACAACTGTACTCCTAATATGCGGTTGGAGTGGAAGCCGGATATCTCGTTCCTCTCCCACGGCCAACTGTATGAGGTGCTGGAATCTTGCGACACCAGAGTTGCGCATAATGGTGCTTTTAGTGGCTCTGCGGCACAGTCATTTATCAGCCTGCTCCTTCACAAGCAACCAGCGCTACGCGTCCTGGAAGTCAACATGGCACCATCGACGGACAGCAGCCTTTTTGCCATTCTTAACCATATCCCATCTACCGCGAAAGGTGCTGTAGATTATCACTTCGTAACCAGTAATGCCGCTAGTCTGGTGGCTTTTCAAGAAACGGCTGTCGGCTGTGGATTATCAAACGTTCAATTGAGCGCTCTGGACGTGTCTGGGCCTGATATAGATCCCCATCTGTTCGGGGACAAGGCGGACCTGGTTATCCTGACAGTAGGAGACCGGATTTATGGAGAAAAGCTGGATAACACCGTTGCGAATATTACTACGCTTCCTCGGAAGAGTGGTTTTATCCTCATTCTCGCGCATCGGTCGTCGACAAACCAAGCGAGCGCGCAACTTTGGGACCGGCACTCGACAAGCATCAATGATGCATTCAGCGAGCATGGCTTCAAGCAATCCGTGGCATTTGAGGAAGGTCCTGAAACACACGCTATCGTGGGTCAACTGTTGTTGCCTGTTCAGGAGCCATCTGCTGAACTTCAGGTCAGCCTGGTTCTTCTGTCGAGCCTGTCAGATTCAGCTTTGGCCAGCCAGATGCTTGCCGAGTCCGGAGTTACAGTGGTTGGGATCCATCATCTACCCCTTGGGAAAATCCAAAAAGGTTCAATCATACTCATAACCGATGAAATGTTCAGGCCGGTGCTCGCCGAGGTCAAGCAGGAGCAGTGGGAAGCCATACAGCGGATCCTCGCCTTTGGATGCAAGGTCGTCTGGGTGACATGCGGTGCTCAGAAGGATGTTGTTAGTCCACGCCAGGCTCTGGTCTCTGGTCTGTCCAGAGTCGTCCGGGCTGAAGATCCATCCATCAGCTTCACTCTCCTTGATGTGGAATCTCCCTATAGCAAAGAGTCCTTCCGGGCGATTGCTGACGTGCTCGAAAGAGTTCGCAATAGCGACAATTCAACTGACCTGGTCGATGAAGAGTATGAGTACGTGGAGCGCGGCGGCATCATCCACGTGAGTAGAATCTACCCTGATATTGCAAGCGGCGACGATGGCAAAGCCGTGATCCAAAACCTTCACAATCATCCCTCCTGTGTTCGTTTAACATGCCAGGCGCCTGGTTCCTTGGAGTCGCTGCAATTCACAGAGATTGGGCCCATGGAAGCTGCTGTGCCAGATGGCCTTGTCGAGGTTGAGATGCATGCAGCAGGTCTCAACTACAAGGACGTCGCAACAGTTCTCGGGATCGTCCCTGAAAATCAGTTCCTACTCGGACTGGAAGGAGCCGGGGTCATACGGCGCATTGGCAGCCACGCAGGAGACAGCGCCTTCTTCATTGGGCAGAGGGTGGTTATTTGTCGACGAGGCAGCTTTGCCAACAGGGTGCAATGTCCCATCGAGGGGGTCCACGCTATTCCGGACTGGATGAGTTTCGAAGAGGCAGCTACAATCCCCGTCGTATATCAAGCTGCACTGTATAGCCTCGCTGACCTTGCCGATGTCCAGCGCGGGCAGTCGGTGCTTATCCACTCAGCGGCTGGAGGACTCGGTATTGCTGCGATCCAGTTGTGTCAGTATATAGGCGCGGAGATCTATGCTACCGTGGGAAGTGACGAGAAGCGAGACTTTCTTATCCAAAACTTCAACTTGTCGCCTGACCGGCTCTTCTCGTCTCGAGATACGGTATTCGCATCCCGCATCGTCGAGCAGACTGACGGAAGGGGGGTGGACGTTATTCTCAACACCTTGACGGGCAGCTTGCTGGACGAGTCATGGCGCATCATAGCAGCCCACGGCACAATGGTCGAGCTGGGGAAGAAGGATATCCTCGATCGAAATAGTCTTTCCATGGAACCCTTTGACCGCAATGCCTCGTATCGCGCCTTTGACCTGTCGCATCCGAGTATCACGCGGCCGATGGTGGCAAGTCTTCTGAAGCGTATATTTGATCTGATAAACGGAGGCCATATCCGGCCGATTGCACCGCGGACTGTGTTCGGGTACAGCGACATCGCAGGGGCCATCCGTTACATGCGAGGCGGTGCTCATATTGGTAAAATCATCATCTCCCGAGAAGCGCCTCAGAACTGCCCAGATGTGCCAATAGTACCCGTGCAGAAAAGTCTCAAGCTGCGCGGTGATGTCTCGTACCTGATCGTCGGCGGCCTGAAGGGCCTCTGTGGGAGTCTGGCAACATATCTGGCGTGCCACGGAGCAAAGCATCTAACCGTAATGTCCCGCAGCGATTACGCGGACGACAAGTCGCAAGCCGTACTGAGAGACCTCACTTCACTAGGTGCCAACTGCAGTCTAGTTCGCGGGGATGTGTCGGTCAAGGAGGATGTGGAAAGAGCGTTCTGCCAAGGCTCGCGTGCAGTGGGAGGAGTCATCCACGGGGCCATGGTCCTCAGCGACGCCGTCTACACCTCCATGACCGCCGCCCAGTTCCACGACGCCCTGCGCTGCAAAGTCCAGGGAACCTACAACCTGCATGATGTTGCGCTCCAGCTCGGCCTCGACCTCGACTTCTTCACCCTCTTGTCCAGCCTCTCCGGTCTTGTCGGCCACAAGGGCCAAGTCAACTACGCTGCAGCCAGTGCTTTTCTAGACTCCTTCGCCCTCTACCGGCGGAAGAAAGGTCTCGCTGCTTGCTCAATCGACCTCGGGATCATCAATGACATCGGCTATATGGCCGAACACCAATCCATCACGGACCGACTGGACACCGAGACCTGGATACCCCTCAGCGAGGCCCAGCTGCACCGAATCCTCCGCGCATCCATTCTTCAACAGCGGGATCAGCGCAGCAGTGGCACTGGCACTGCTCAGCTGTTAACAGGCATTGCATATCCCGCGCCCGCCGTGTCCTCTGCACTCTACCAAGACGCGCGTTTCGCGGCCCTCCGCCAGAAGAGCGCAACCACCAACACCACCAGCATCTCCGCCAATAGCGGAACCCATGACGCGAAAGTGCAGGCTGTACTCACCCTCGTTTGTGCCAAAGCCGACGCAACCGCTCAGATAGCGGCCATGATTGACGCCGCAAATGACCATTTCATGCGCAGCCTGGCTCTGTCTGAACCCATGGAGGCGGCAAGGCCGCTTGTGCTTTACGGACTGGACTCGCTGGCCGCGGTGGAGTTCCGGAATTGGGCGCGCAGGGAGTTGGATGTTGTGGTCAGTACGTTGGATGTCGTTGGTGCGAAGACGCTGAGTGCGCTTTGCGAGATGATGGTGGGGAGGTTGGCTGGCTAGGTACTTGGGACTATTGGAACAGTGCAAGTTGATACTTGAGCATCCTGGATAACTTGTTGCATTATTAGTGGCGAGTGGACGGCAAATGAAGCCAAGTAAACATAAACACACAGATACCAACACTGCTGCACAAGAAGAACGCATCAACGAAACTCCCTCGTAACCTTCTCACACCACTCCTCAAAAGCTTTCGCATACCCCCTCCCCTCATTCTCCGCCTCATCCCCACCCTCCTCCTTATCCCTCATCGCCTCAAGCAAATCCCTCCTCGGAAACGGATGCCACCGCCCAAACGGAATCACATACCCACCCCCCCGTTCCACCGTAACACTCTCACTAAGCCCCGCCCACAATATCGTATTGACCCCCTGCCGCGGCGTATAATAAATCGGCCTGGAAAGCCACACCGCCAGCCGGGGCGCATTGTCGAAGATCGGCGTGTAGATGTTCCCCGGGTTCTGCGTGACGCTGACGACGCCCTGCTCGCCAAGCTGTTTCGCCAGCCGGTCCGCAAGGAACCAGTTCCCCGTCTTGCTGAGCGCGTAGTTGACATTCATGTTTGGATTCGGGGCGTCGGGGTCCAGGTCGGACTGCCGGATTCCGGAGCGGGGTGCGAGCGCGTCGACGAGCATGCTGCTGGTCCAGATGACGCGGACGCTGTTGCGTGGTGTGGAGGGGTTCTGGGCTGTGGATGTGAGGAGGGGCGAGAGGAGCTGGGTGAGGAGGTAGGGGGCCGCGCAGTTTGTGCCGAGGTGTGGTTCGAGGTTTTGGGCGGTGCGGGTGGATGGCGGGATGCTGGCGACGCCGGCGTTGTTGAAGAGGATGTCGAGGCGGGATGAGAGGGATAGGAAGGACTGGACGAATGGCGCGATTGTGCGGAGGTCGGCGAGGTCGAGGGGGAGGAAGTGGAGGGTCCCGGGGTTCGGGGTTGAGGTTGAGCCTGTGCTTGAGCTTGGGCTTGTGCTGGTGATGGTCTCGATTGTGGCTTTGGCTTTGGCCTCGTTGCGGGCGCCGATGTAGACTGTTGCGCCGGCGTTGTAGAGGACGCGGGCGAGCTCGAAGCCCAGGCCTGAGGTGGCGCCTGTGATGATGATGACTTTGCCGGTTTGCGGAGGGAGCGTGGCCGCTGTGAGGGTGGGTTTCGAGGGGAACGTCTGCACCCAGAGGCTCTTGATGGTTTGCATTGTCGTGGTAGGAGCTCAACTGACTGACCTAGAGTCTGGGCCAAGGGTAGCGAGATGGTCTCTTTTGCCAGTGACTCTTGGTGTTGTGATACCGTCTATATGGGTTGCGGCCCCGTGGTCATCGATTTCGTCGGTATTTTGCAAATTCTTTGAAGCCGTAAGAGGAGATTACTGTGTAACTTGGGGAGATTACTGTGTAACCTGGACTCGGTCATTGGGGCGCTTAGTAAGCTGACTGCATCTCGTCCATCAATCATCCGATTGACTCAGATATCCGAGTGGGCGTCAACAATCCTATAGATCGTCTCAACATAGGCCGCCGTCCGCTCACTGCCCAAGACCCCGCAGCCCATGTTATTCATGACATACGCAATCGACATCCGACGGTCCAGGTCCATAATCACCACCGATCCGCCCCATCCACACCAGAAACAAAGCCGGCCGTTGGACCGAAGCCAGGGCACGGTCTCCGGCACAGGCAACCCCACCCCAAGCCCCCATCGCAGTTTCACAAGCAGCACCTGGTCCAGACCGCTGCTTCGCTCCTGGAGCATCTGATCAATCGCTGCCGGGGAGAGGTACTGTTTCCCGTCGACCGTGCCTCCAAGCGCGACGACAGAAGCGATTCGAGCCAGGGCCCGCGCGTTGGTGAATGCGTTGCTGGCGCCCAGCTCGGCGTTGCGGAATGCTGCTGTCATTGCGGCTTCGGGTGGTATGGGGACGCCGGCGAGGGCCTTGGACGCTATGCTTTCCGGGTCTAACGCGGGGGTTGCTTCAGGTGGGGGTGGCGGAGGGATGATATCTGCTGTACGCGACCACTCGGGTTCCGGAACCCCGAGTCTGCAGTCGGCGTGTAGAGGCCCTGTTATTTGATCGGCAATGAACTCAGCAAGAGACTGGCCGGTCGTGCGGCGAACTAATTCCCCGACGAGACAGCCCTGGGTGACGATGTGGTAACCCAGCTGCTCGCCCGGCGTCCACCACGGTCGTTGCGTAGCGATCTTTTCCGTGGCCCTCTCAGCATTGTAGATGTCTTCCACGGTATTCGGGGACTCCCAAGAAGGCAGTCCGGAGGAATGGCTCAGGACATGCGATACCAGAATGTTCTCCTTGCCGTTTGCGGCGAACTCGGGCCAGTATGTAGATATTTTTTCTGTGGGATCTAAAATGCCACGGTCGATGAGCATGTTAGCCGCAAGGGCGGTAATGACCTTGGTAGTCGACCAGATGGTCGTGATGGTGTCTCGCTCCCAGGCCTTTGTGCGCTCCGCGTTGGCGTACCCTCCCCAGAGGTCCACGACGTTGCGTCCGTCAATGTTCACGCAGATCGATGCGCCAAGCTCGCTTCCATCGATCAGCAATCGATCGAACAGATCGCAGAGGGGTTGGAAGGCCGCATCGCAGTGGCCGTGTACGGGAGACATGTATTAATCGACCAGCGGGGCTTGACTAGGTATATTGGAAACGACCTCGGGACTGTGATGATCTGGCAAAAGCCCATCAGTTAGCATATACTACACAAGGGAGATCAACGTTCTTCAAGGTCCCTGGCCTACCTCTCCTCTTGTTCTTTAGAGAATGATGTGCTTTTTAAGATCCAAAGAAAAACCCCTCGGGCGGTCACATGAACACGTTGCAAGTGAGAGGGGGAAGTATAGCGCTGTCTTACTCATGCATTACACAGCGTGCTTGCTTGCTTTGAGACCATAATAGCCAAGTATTGTTGATTATATGTAATACTCAGTCAGCCCTTGCTGCCCCGTTTTGTTTCCAAAATTCAACTGTTTTCATTAAGTCTATATAGCTAAAGTCAATCACTTCGGTTTCGCGATCTCTGCCTAGACTCTGAGTTCCCGTCTACGCTACTTAAATCGTCCCTGACTCGTCAAAGAGTCCTTGTTCATCAGAGAGCACTCTCTACCCACCAGGTTGCAAGTTCTTGCGAACAGTGCCTAGCTCAGAGATTAGGGCTAATTCCGGACCCACCCTCCGCCAACAGAATTCACCAAGTAAACTCCAGCAGCGGATGCGGCATTCGCCATCATCCAGCCATCTCCATAATTTCCGCTCTGTTTGCCCTTGGTTGACAGGCGATAGTAATCAGGGAGAGCTCTTCACCCACCCAGTCAGCGGCATGGTGCAGACGAACAGCCGAAGTGTATATTCTGACGCCTCAGAAGCATCAGCATGCATCTCGCGTATGCAGGGGCGCAACAAGAAGTCCATCAACTTGGGGCAGAAATCCCCGCGAGCCTGGGTGTTGACCTTTCATGAGTTCTCCTAATTACCTTCCATTCTGAAATGCCACGAAGTACCCAGGGGAGAATCCAAGTAGGTTGGGTGGAGGAGGCCGCTTCAACCAAGTCGGATCTGAGGCGATATCGTCACTGTATCTTGATCATCTGATCCAATCGAACCGCCGCGGCAGCATTCTTCCTGTTGCCATCTTGAGCTTCCCGATGGAGTCTCCCGGGCATATGGTATATTAGAGGTCTTTGTATACTTCAGTTGGTTGTTGTTCGCGTGAAGTGAAGGAGTGCCGGCGAGAATACCTGAAAAAGTACCAAAGAACAGGTGAGGGAGGGCAAGGCAACACTGACCTCCCAATGTACGCTTTCCCATTCCAAAAGCTATTCACAGGATTTAAGTACGTTTTTGGTGAGCCAGAGGTAGGGTCCAGGGGAGCTGTGGGGTGCAGAAGTTTGAGAAGAACCGTCGCCTAACGCGGGCGTAAGGACCCCCATAGGACCAGACCATGGGCAAAGGGATGAAGTCATTTTTATCTATCAACAGCCGTCCGGGCTTGGGCTTGTAGTCGAGCTCACGATGCATTCGACGACATAAGCTGAATCCCCCGCTCCATGCCATTGATGGACGGCTCTTCAACATTTTGTAGCTGCATTCTCACGCGATAACAGCGGGCAAAAACATGCCTCCCATATTCCCGGCCTCGTTCTTTGTCGCGCCTTACGAAGATTCCCCTGCGGCCCGGGACCTTTGTCCCCTGGCCGGAAAGTCAAGGACTTCCCTCCTGTAGATCTCATGATGGATGTTTCCCTTGTCCAGCTCTTGGTAGAGGATGTTTGCTCCATGATTTGTCAGTCCTTTGTATGCTTTGTACTCGACCTGCTAGTAGGTTGAGAGCATATTTTCGACGCCATTATCGTCTGTTCGGTTTCTGGCTGGAGTCGAGTCGGAGTCAGATACGGATTCTGAACTCGTTATCGCCCCGGAGGCAAGACGAAGACACCTGGCCGATTTTCAGGCGGGGTAGAGCAGCTGATGCACGGGGTTATAAATCAGGCCGGACCCTCAAAGGCACGTCGTAGCTTTTGATCGTACGTCTCCTTTTCAGTCACCTTTTGAAGAACAAAGCGCGGTGCATTCTTTGCCCAAAGAAAAGGCAGGGCTCCGTCGGCAGGGTTGCCATCGCACGAGAACTGTGGGTAGATATGCTTTGCAAAGATTGTAAATAAAGCTGAAGGGCTTGATAGTGCCAAAGTAACCCAGAATGTCCCAGTCATCCACGTATTGTCAAGAACTTCGGACAAGCGCAGCATGTCCTTGTTGGCGATTGCTGCTTCTTCCGTCGCAAGTACCTCTAGAAATTCTGTTCGGGGAATATTGTATTCGTCTGCATCAATTTGGTCCACGGCTTTTCCAGTCAACCAATACGGCGGCTCGATCATTTCAATCGGTCGAGAACAACCCCACTCAAGGTCCACAAGGCAGGTAATGTTCCAATTCTGGTCAACAAAGATATTGCTCTGATGCAAGTCCGTCAGGGAAAAGACAAAGGGACCACGGCTAAATTCTCGGGAAAAGCATATAGGCAGCACAGCCCGCATGGCCGCTAAGGTCGCCATTTGGATGCTGCAGTCTGGTACATCATTTACCGCATTTGGTTGATTCTGGAGGCGGCTGTCATGGATGTGAAGCAGATCGGCTGTATAGGACTCCACAGTGGAGTAAGTAAGATCACGAGGAACATCAGTTGGCACCTCCTCGTTCTCCAGCATCTGGAGTTCCATTGAGAGTGGTCGGTTTTCAAGACGTAAATATCCATTCTTGTCGATGATGAAAGAGCCGATTCTTGGGAGTGGTATTCGGCTGACACTCAGCAATATTCTAGAAAGGCCCCGAAATAAGTTTGCACGTAACTCTGAGTTTGAGTGATTCTCCTGCCATGTCTGGGATAGCATCGCTCCCTGGGGTTCCTCGACGTGCTCTATCAATACATACCCGACACCAATACCACGACTGCTGGCTTGGTTGTTGGGTACGTAGTTTGACGGCATGCCAAAACCAAGTAGAGAAAACCACCACCGGCGCAACTTCTGGAAGTATCTGTTCCATATGGGGAGTTGGTCAATATGAGTAAACTGCTGCAATCAGTAACTGTCATTGGAATTGGTCAGGCGACATACCTTTCCGCCGGTCGACAATCCAAATCCATATAGGTAAGGAATCGGCACGTCGGGACACTGTCCTTGAAGCCATGCATAAGTACCTGCTTCGCAAAGAAGCTTCTCATCACCATTTCCGGGTCTAAACGCTTCGCCAACACGGTAGGGAAGCGGGAACCGCATCATGACTCGACTCCCCAATTGGTTCTGATGGTTCCAGCGGTCAATTGTGACTGGGATGCAAACATTAAAGCTGCCATGAATCCACTCTACTGAATCTGAGACATGGCATCTCTCAGGCGACCCCAAGCGGAGGTGGTGGGTGACGACTCTTCGGATCCAGTCAGTGTTTGCGTTTAAGTGAGAGAAGAACGAGGCTCGAGCATCATGGTATTGCAGCTGATGTAGTATGTTATCCTCCCGCTCTTTTGCGACTGAATATGTTATTGGGCCCTTGAGAAGACAGCGAGTTTGCATTGTGTGAAAGCTAAGACAACTATCACTGTGGTTATTTAGGAAGCGCCAGGGGCAAGCTGCCACATGCAGGGGAACATCGGCCAGTGCAAACAAGATAAACAGAGCAGACTTCTTACTAAGCCCGCGGCATCACGTGCGCGAGACTTCGCCCCAGTTTTCCAGGTCTACCAACAGGCTAATCAGTGCGGCCGATACTTTAAATCCTTTAAAAACTGCTTTTTTTCCAGCAGGTAGCAAGGAGTTCCTTTCTTAAGGGCGGCTGGTTCCATCCTTTTCCAATAAAAGCAACCCAATTCAAGCGGGCGAAACGCTTCTGAACGTGAATCCATCCACCATGATACGGATATCGCTCGATCGGGGTCTCCGTCGACTGTAGACTCTGTCTTCATCTTGATCATTTACAAGGCTCAAAGCTCTTGCTCAAGTCCGGCACTCCAAGGATCGCGGGATCTCGATGCCTGTATTATGAAGAGTCGACTCTGCTAAAAGCAGCAACCATCAAATGCCAAGGCACGATTGAGCTGCGGAGTATAAGCCATGCTTTGACCGCAAATAACTACTCCTCGGTCTGGCAAGGTTGATTAGGCACTGGGTCGTTAGGAGCTATATGAATACCTTATGCTTCCTCCGTCATATCGAAGCCTGGGCCCCAGTACGCGAGAAAAAGTGCGAGCCTGGCCATGGCCTGCCAAGCAGCTATGCAGCTGAACCCCAAGCCCACACCGTGGTCAGCCTTCTTATACTCGCTACTTTGAAGCCCAGTTTGCAGCTCTCACACACTATGGCTCGCTACGTGTCTAAGGTGCTCGGGGACTGCGCCTCGGTGGGGACCTTGCACGCGACCACATCCAATTCAGATCAAGACGAACCCGAGAATGGGTCGCCAATCGTTAGGTCCAATTCAATAAGCACCTGGGCGCGCATTGGCGGACTCAACTTATTTATCCCCATGCTGGGCTTGTTTTCTCTTGTTGTGCCTTTGACGATTCGGGGCCTGGTCTGGAAAGAGTCCATGACGGCTTTATTGGGCGGACAGCCTTCTTTGCTATGGTTCCGAATTATGCACGCTGAATTGATCTCCATAGTCATAACAGTTTGCACGGTAGTTCCAAGGGTGATCATTGGGCTGCAGGCTAGCTTGGTTACGGCGATGGTTGCTAGCATTATCCTGGAAAGAGTTGACACTCGCCGGGCATGTGCCTTTCTACTCGATTATCGGAGCTGTCAGCGTCAGCCCGTATGACCTATTGGCTACTTTCTTTTGGCCTAAAGGATCTCTGCCACTCTTCCCTGCTCTACTTGTTGTTATAGAGGTCCTGGTGACTGTAGCAACTCAATTCTTGTCAACTATTCTCATCAACGACCTTACGAACCGCAATTTTACCGATAGGGCGAACACCACAATCATTCCTGCTTTTGGCAATGGCTGGGGCGATGTTTACTACTGGTACAGGATGCCCGCCTCAACAAGCTGGACATTCGCCGAGCTTCCGGGAAACCCATTTTCAGAGGGACTAAACTTTCACGACACGGGGCATAAATACCGCGCCTCTCTTCCCTTTCCAGATGATGGGCCGCAGCGAAGAGCGTTACGAGACTTCCGGGGTCCACCTGACGTGATTGATCATCGAGTCGTCTGTGTCGCGCTGTCTCTGACCAAGATGAAGTTGAACCCTTTTGCATATGATCGGCTGACCCGCTAGTTGCTCATGAATCAATCTTACCCCATGCTGCAGTATACTAGCGGGTCCATGACCGATATGGTCACCTTCCATTGCAGGTTACCATCCCCCACGCTCAATAACACCCCATGGGAGGCCAGCTTATGCTATCCACCGGGAGCCTACTTTGGGGAGAACTGGACGGTCCGGTTAGAGGAACGAGATGGCAGCCTGGATACAGCGACTCTTTCGCAAATATCAATCGTGACTCGGCAACATTGCTCCTAGTTATCGACAGCCTTAACCAAGAAGGAAGAATGTCGAGGTCAGCGGACACTCGGGGGCGACCTGCTAGCGTTGGCCGCACTGACGGCCCTTGGGCTATATCACGGGCGACTCGGATATTGAAACGCTGCGGATATCTGCATGCCTTACCGACCCCACAGCCATGATCTTCTCAGTAGAAATGAACAGTTCCTGGACCGCCTTTGAGCCGAGGTCCCTGGCTACAATACCACAGCAAGCCGGCGACAACTCGGTGCGTCAAAGTTACCGGTTTCTTGCAAGACCGCAGTGTGCTTGCGTTAGCATTAAAGTCCCAGGGATAGTTCTTCAAACCAAAGCTTTAGAGGAAACTCGCTGGGCGGCGACAGGCATGCGAACCCTTTGGAAACGCTGCCAGCTCCGACTTTGGGCGATATTGATCCCGTTTTCCTTCATGCCAAAAGAGAACCGCTTCTTTCGACGCTCGGTACGCTGGGAAAATCCATCCCTGATCGCACCCATACGGATCTGTTCCACGATATACTGCGCAATACAGATAGCCTGGCCTTAGCGTTGCAGAGCCTCCTGACCAGGGCCACCCAAATAAGATACTACAATGCACTCGTCAAAGCACATGCAACTAAGCAAGCATTAACCACTTTTTTATCGACTGCGTTAATGCGCGTACCGTGGATTGGGTTTACGGTTGGAGTGTCACTGGTTGCAGCGCATCTTGTCATTTCCGTGATTAGCACGGCCCTGTTCCTACGTTTCACTAGGAGCTCTATCCTGGGTGCATACTGGCAGGCCGTTTTGTAGGATGTCTCAGAAGATACCCTGTCAATCCTAGAACAAGCTTGCGTAGTGAAGCATAGTGATGTCAATCGCTGGAAAAGGCGGCATATGCCTCGGCTAGGGCATCACAGCCTTATCAAACCGCAACTCAACGGGCGAATAGCTCTTGGAGTGCATGATAAGCTACACTGAGGTTTCCTACCTCCAAGTTTCCGCCGTAACAGCCCAAGGCCCAGGCGGCACCTTCTCCGTCCACTCGCCCCTTGGAGGCCTCCAAAGCAGCAAGATCGCCGGCGGCCGACACTCATAGACTAGCCTCGACCACTCCTCACTCGGATCCTTCTTGTCCAGATCGATATTCAAGCTAACAACCCGCCGGTACCCGCATTCCTCGTACAGCCAGCGCCCAATGGGACTTCCTTCGATGAAGCTTTCGTATCCCAGCGGGTCGATCCGGTCATGGCCCCACTGCATGAGGAGCCGGCCGACGCCGCGGCGGCGGTAGTCCGGGTGGACGCCCATGGCGTTTACACCTACATTCGTCCATCCTGTCAGTTTCGTTCCCAAAATAGTCGACAGTAGAATGCATAACACGCACCAGCATGCGCCCTTTGAAACCAACACTGCCGCGGGAAGAACGCCTGGCTGAGGAATCGACTCGTGTACTCAGCCCGCTCGGAGCCTTTAGGATACCAGGTACATGGAATCGGCTGCGGCCCGTTCGGAAACGGGTTCTCGCGGAAGATAAGCCACTCGCAGCCTCCGGCTACGCGGCCGTTCTGTTTATCGATCACGTAGATTAGGTGGGAGGCGGGGTTCTTCTCGTGCGCGGCCCAGCGGATCTCGGTGTCGAGGGCTTTGTCGCGGATGCGGTCTTCTGGCGTGTGTCCGGTGACGGGGTGGACGGCTGTAAACACAGGACTAGGGAAGTTTAGCGCAATATCATGGTTGGGAGGGTAAAGGAGGAGACTGACTTGTAAGGCTGGAAGTTGGCGGTCCAGAGGACGTCGACTAGGCGGGCGTACTCGTCCTTTGTGTGGATTTCCTGCACTTCGAACTGAGATTGTGCCATTGCGAGGTCGGGGTGCGAAGGGTGGAAAGTTGCACATTCAGGGGAGATGGAAATAGGTCTTAAAGACAAGGAACTAATGGTGGGTCAAAGTAGCAGGGCGTAGCTAAGCTTTTAGTGCTGACGGTAGGTACTGGTTAGGTCCCCCAGTTAGAGCGTCAATCTTGCGGCCCTCGGTGTCCACCACAGGCGGCCTCATAGGTTGTCCCGTCAAAGCCAGATCGCATGATTCTTGATTTCCTCCATAAAGAAATACACACTCGGAGGTTCCCTAAGGAAACTATGGCCAGTGCGAAGATGATCGCCAGGAGATCATTCGCGGCCCCAAGCCACCCTTCAGCCTACAGGGGTCCCAAACGAAGAACTCCGCCTCAGCGACGGACTTGCGCCCGGGCTCCGACTCAGAGACATGACCAGCGGCTCGTCAATAAAGAAGCGAGGACAGGGAGATAAGGTACGATGTGAAAAATAGCTTTGGAAGCCAAGGGAAGAATGATACCCAGCGCCACGGCTGATTTGACACTTATCAGGCTTATAATCATAAGGCCACCGGCAGCAAAGACGGCGGTGCGGTGGAAGGGCATCATGACCCGCGGCTTTGCCTTCCAGACGTTGCCAGAAGCGTTTAACCTGACATTGACGGGCCTTACCTGGGTTATTCATCGCCAACGGGAATTGTTCGCTCCCGAGAGAACAACCAGAGCCCACGGCTGCCTGCCTGACACCGTTGCTGCAATGCGAGAACACGCTTTGAGTACCGCCGCCGTACTACGCAAGGCTACTGCGGCTGCCTTGTTCTGCGTTGAGGTTGCGAGGATATTCAGAAAAACGGATCCGCGGCGTTGGATTGAAGGGATCTCCTCTAGGTAGGTCTTCGCTTGTGAATGGGAAGACAATCGTAGTACAGAAACCAGACTACTGTTTACCAGCAACGCAAATAGCATTGAATGGAGCTACCCTGATGCTATTCGTTACCCCACGGCTATCTATCCAGGGAATCGGCTACGAAGGACGACAAGAGAAAGACCGCTTACGTTGGGTACGTTCAGGGTACCGTCTATACCTAGTGAGTCGAACGTTGTTTGCCCTAACCTAAGCTGATATCTCTGCAGGCGTGAAACCCTTGTCAGGCATGAGTTTGCAAAAGAAAAACATGATAACTACCTCCCACGTTAGAGGTAGACTACACGCGTAGCTGAATGTGCTTGTCGAGGCAACCCTTCAAGGTCTCCTTTCTGCCGATCCGGGCAAGTGAGAGAGTATCCTATGGTGCCTGGGCCATGCAGCCACATAACGCAGGGCAAGACACTCTGTGCACAGTTGCATTTCCCTGAGCAGGATAACCCGAGGCCCTGAGATGCATGATGACGCTACTGCTTAGCCATGGCCTTCTTGGCCCTGGGGCGGAGTTCCCCGCGCAAGGCTAAGTGGCAGCCTCTCGCGCCGATACTTATAGTAAGTCTTGGGGGCTAAATCCCATAAAAATCACGGATTGACTGGTGGCTGCTCCCACTGCCATATTTGGCAAATGCACGGGTCCGACTCATCGACGAGGATATTGTAGAGAGGTGGTTGGCTCGTTGCAGTCCTTGTCAAGTCCTCGCGTTGGCGCAGCGGTGCCTATAAAGCTGCCCTTCTTTTCCTGTTCTCTCGACTGATCTCTTCTTCATGGTGCATACCAACTCATACAGTGTTTCGTTGAGTCTTCTCTAGCTCTTGTAGCCGAATCTCTTCAATCGGAACCATGAAGATCAGCTCGTTGCTCCCAGCCTTTGCGCTCCTCGGCACCGTCCTCGCCACGCCGCTGTCACGTCCACAGGCCAGATCTGATTGCGGAGAGCTGAATAAGGACTTGCGAGAAATTGCACAGATGCTCGTGGGCGAGCAATCCCCGGATGCCGGCAACCAGAATGGGGCAGCACCCTATGTAAATGCCCACTCTACCTGACTCGATCGCTTTCCAAATCAATGCAGTGCGGGCTGACAAGTGTGTTACTTCAAAGCTAGCGTTAGCCGCCGCAATGGCTCGTTTAGCGGCGCAGCTGAAAGTCCAGTGTGGCGTTGAAGTTGATCTTGAGGAAGTCTTGGAGGATGCGAAGGATGGGAAATGAAGCAGCGGGTGATTGACGTTGGTACCATCATTGACTGGACTGCTTGGCTGGGCCTGTGAGTCCTTGCCCAAGGTCCAGGACAGCAACTGGGAGATGGTGGAGAGTACAAATGACGGGGTTTGACGTTGAGGTCTTATTGTTGCTCGTGCCGTTCATATCGGATTCCTGAAAATCCCTATCGCCATGAACTGTCTTGCTTTTCAGATTATGTAGCGAACATAGTCCCTACCGCACCTGACTTACCATGATTATAGTAGGTAAGGACTGCTCAAGTGTAGAACTTCATCGAGGATGCCTGAGTGTCTTGGATAGCCGCTGGTGACGCGCTCTCTTTCCCTCTGTTTATTTTCGGCAGGACGGGGATTCTAGGTACTCCACCCTCAAAAAACAACCTACCTGCCCCATACCTTCATCGTGACAATGGCCTCGTCAGAATGGTACAATCAGTGGCTGATTCAGTCGAACAATGGATAATTCAGTGACCCCCTCTCCTTGTTGTGATGTCGGAGCCTTTCCGCCGCATCGGATGCATCCGACCGAGCCGCCAACCTCCAACGAGAGACCGAAATTAAAGGCCATGCTCCCCGTTGACAAGTGAGGACAATTCAATTACCAAGATGCTTTTGTCACACTCGTTAAGGTGCCCGCGGCATTACGCCCCGAGAGCCCGTCGAGGTGTGGCTACAGCTGCGCTCAGCAGATTTGAACCAGACACGCGGGTTGACTTTACCAAGTTCACCAGCAGGATCGGGTCACTGCGCGAACGGTAGGCGTATTGATTTTGCCAAACAAGGCTCAAGACTGACTACGCGGTTCGTAGGCTGAAGCGACCATTGACGTACGCGGAGAAAGTCCTGTACAGCCACCTCGACGATGAATTCGACGCCCACATCGTCCGCGGCCAGACGCAGCTACGCCTCCGACCGGTCCGCATCGCCTGTCAAGACGCGACTGCCCAGATGGCCCTCATCCAATTCATGTCCGCCGGTCTGGACACGGCCGCAGTTCCTACCACCGTCCATTGCGATCATCTAATTGTCAGCCGGGATGGGGAAGCGTCTGATCTCCCGCGGGCGCTAGAGGCCCATCGAGAAGTCTACGACTTCATGGAAAGCGCGTGTCAAAAATATAAAATGGGGTTTTGGAAACCGGGGGCAGGCATCATTCACCAGATTGTGTTGGAGAACTACGCATACCCGGCCGGGATGATGGTGGGCACGGACTCGCATACACCCAATGCCGGCGGGATGGGCATGATCGCTATAGGAGTTGGAGGAGCAGATGCCGTGGATGTTATGGCGGGTCTGCCGCTCGAATTGACTGCGCCGAGAATACTAGGTGTTCGACTCCATGGAGCTTTATCGGGCTGGGCGTCGCCGAAAGACGTGATAAACAAGCTTGCGGGAATGATTTCGGTCAAGGGAGGCACTGGATCGATCATTGAGTACTTTGGGCCGGGAACAAAGGCTCTTTCCGCTACCGGGATGGCCACAATCTGCAATATGGGAGCTGAAACCGGCGCAACCACGTCCATCTTTCCCTACAACGCGTCGATGACCGAGTATCTACGAGCAAATCGACGACCGGATATGGCGGCTGCGGTTGGACGAATTGCGCACGAGCTCAAGGCTGATGAAGGTGCTGAGTATGATCAGGTCATTGATATTGATCTCTCCTCGCTCGAGCCGCTTATCAACGGGCCATTCACGCCTGATCTGTCCACGCCAATGTCCGAGTTCGGGTCGGCAGTCAAGGAGAATAAGTGGCCAGCAAACCTGACCGCGGGTCTGATTGGATCTTGCACCAACTCTTCTTTCCAGGATCTCAGTCGTGCGGCGAGCCTCGCTGAGCAGGCATTGGATGCCGGCATTAAGCCTCAAATGCCGTTGTTGCTGTCGCCTGGCAGCTTGCAGACCCGCGATACGTTGGAAAAGGCCGGCATAATGCAGGTGTTCGAGAGGGCTGGGGCCACTATGTTGCCGAACGCGTGTGGACCTTGCTGCGGCTCGTGGGATCGTACCGATATGCAGAAGGTGAGTTTGTTCATGTACCATAAACACATCGCTGCGACTAACAGAAGCAGGGAACCAAGAACTCCATCATCACCTCCTACAATCGTAACTTCTCCGGACGCCTGGACTCAAACCCGGCCACGAACATCTTCCTTGCCTCCCCTGAAGTGGTCATGGCCAAAGTGTTCTCCCCAGACCTAAGCTTCAACCCTACCCAGGACACCCTTACAACGCCATCCGGCGAGGAATTCCAGTTCCAGCCACCAAAGGGCGACGCCCTTCCCAGCCAAGGCTATGAGGATTCAGACCGAGCATACGTCCGCCCTCCAGCGGAAGCCATCGATCGCTCCAAGCTCGAAGTCAACATCAGCCCCCAGTCTCAGCGCCTGCAGAGGCTCTCCCCTTTCGAACCCTGGAACGGCCAAGACTTCAGGGACTGCTTGGTCCTAATCAAAACAACAGGAAAATGCACAACCGACCACATCACGCCAGCCGGCCCGTGGTTCCGCTACCGCGGCCACCTGGAGAACATCTCCAATAATACACTCATAGGCGCGGTGAATGCGGAAACCGGCAACGTCAATCAAGTCCGTAATCAGCTTACTGAAAAAGACGGCGACGTTCCGGGCACCGCACGCTACTACCAGTCGCAGGGCCGGCCGTGGGTCGTGGTCGCAGACCACAACTACGGCGAGGGATCCTCGCGCGAGCATGCAGCGCTGCAACCGCGGTACCTAGGCGGCGTAGCAATCATCGCGAAGAGCTTTGCGCGTATCCACGAGGCGAACCTCAAGAAGCAGGGGATGTTGGCTCTAACCTTTGCAGACGAGGCCGATTACGATCGCGTTAGGGCTTCGGATCGGATTAGCATTATCGGATTAACGGCTTTCGCGCCGGGGAGGCCGTTGGCTATGAGGGTGCAGACAGATGCAGGGCCAGTTTGGGAGGCGTCGTTGAAGCATTCGTTTACGCAGGAGCAGATTGGGTACTTCAAGGCGGGCAGTGCGTTGAATCTGATGGCCAGGGAGGGTGGTAGTAGTTAGCCTGCACTTGATATTCACAAAATCACATTGCATAGTGCAGATTCCTCTATTCCAACTATGCAAACTGTAGATATTCAACTGTACAGTGAGAGACACGCTCTGGAAGGCGCGGGGGAGCCGGTCTCGAGCTTCGGAACCTCGCCCGCGTCCCAACCAGCCATCCCCATCCCCATCCCCATCTCTATCCCCATCTCTATCCAACGTCACAGCATCGGAGCATTCGCCAATCGAGTCAAGTCGATTTGTCACTCGAGTGGCCACTCGATCGGATGCATCCGACCCCGCTGCCGTCAAGGAGAATGGCCGGGGCACTCTGAGAATGCGGAGAGATGACCAGACGATCCGGGGCCGGGACAAGTGTATAAAGGCGTCGGTCCTCTTACGGCTTCTTTAGCATTGATCAAGACTTGAGGACTGACTCCAAGATGGCTAAGCAACAGGCGTCTCTACTCAAGTACATCACTGCCATCAAGCAGTCCCCTCGCGAGATCTACAACCGCCGCCTCTTCTTGTCTGTCATTGCATTTGCTCTCGGTGGCTGTGCGAAGGGTACCTGCCTCCCTCTCCTCCTCTACGATTCAACGCTAATAGATTGGGGTGACATGGACAGGCTGGGATGAGGGCTCTGCGGCTTCAATAACACAGCTTCCATCGTTCGGGCAGACCTACAACCTCGACGACAGCACAATCTCCAACCTCGTCTCGTTCGTGAACCTCGGAGCCGGAATAGGTGCCCTGTTATCCTTCCTCGTCAACGACCGTCTAGGACGTATCTGGAGTCTGCGCCTCTACCAGGCACTGTACATCGCCGGCTCGCTCATCTCGTGCTTCGCATACGGCCATGTTGGCGCCCTCTACGTCGGCCGGATCGTTGCTGGCCTGGGGATCGGCGCTCTAACAGTCGTCGGACCCATGACCATCTCGGAAATCGCCCCCAAGGCAACCCGCGGCCTGATGACGCTTTGGTTTAATGTTTGCATGCTCTCCAGCCAGATGATCGGTGTCTTCACCGTGTACGGCTGCTCGCGTCACGTCTCGGCAGCCAGCCATCTCCAGAACCAGATCCCCTGGTTCGTGCAGACTTTCGTCCCGGCCATCAGCATTGCCCTGTCCTTCTTCGTTGTTGAGTCTCCGCGGTGGCTTCTCCTGCAGAATCGTCAGCAGGAGGCTCTCGAGAACCTTGAGCGTCTCCGCGGCCTACCACTGGCCCACGGCTACGTCGCAGAGGAGTACAGCGGGATGTCAACGCAGGTCGAACAGACCGACAGCAGCTACCTCAGCATCGTCAAAGACACGTTCTTCGTCCGCTCGAACCTCCGCCGGGTTCAGCTCACCATCATCGCGTACATCCTAGCCCAGATGTCCGGCGCCAATTCAATCACCAACTACCTTCCCACAATCTACGGCCTGATCGGCATCACCGGGTCCGGCGTAAAAGTCTACTCAACAGGCCTCTACGCCCTGGCCAAGGTAGTCTGCTGCATCGCAGCCTCCCTCGTCCTCGTCGACGTCATCGGCCGCCGCAAGTCAATGATGATCGGCGTGACCATCCAAGCAATCTGCCACGCCTATCTAGCCGGCTACCTCAAGTCGTATCTGGAATCGCCCAACAGCGTAAGCGAGGGTGCATCCGACGCCGCAATCGCCGCGATCTTCATCCACGCCCTCGGCTGGGCAATCGGGCTCTACAGCCTGCCCTACCTCTTCGGCGCCGAGCTGTGGCCAAACCGCATCCGGTCCTTCGGCGGCGCGCTCTCCCAGTGCTTCCACTGGCTGTTTTACTTCGCGATCACAAAGGCGACGCCGTCGTTGCTGGAGGGGACAGACCAGTGGGGCGCGTTTGTGCTCTTCGCTGCGTTCTGCGCCGTGGCGTTTGTGTATGCGTTTTTCTTCGTGCCGGAGACGAGCGGGCTTAGTTTGGAGGAGATTGATGCGGTCTTTGAGAGACCGATTTATCTTCTTGCGCGGCCGGTGGGGAGGGCTGAGGATGGGGTTGATAAGTAGGTTTTCTTTCTCTTGGGCTAGTACACGGTGGACACGGCTAATGGGATACAGGGGGGACGGGATCGAAGGTCAGAGTGGTAGGGAGCCCAAGACGGACTCTGCATGGGTTGAACGCGTAGCTTAGGTCCATGCGGAATAGCTTGGTAAGTCCTGGATGGCGGATATTGCTTTGGAACATGTACCGGTTGACTAGGGTTGTGATAGAATGATGCTCGAAGGGACGGAAATCGTTCGCTCTCAATATGTTCTCCAGGTTAGAGTTAGAGTACACTGAACACGGTCGAATCCATTATATTCTCAAGCCCCTACTAGCCTTACCTACTTCCGCAACCTCTGAATAGTAGGTCCCATAAGCTCCCCCCTCCCCAACGCCTCAAAAGTACGCGCATCAATCTCCGCCCTCTCCGCACAGAGCCCAACAACGTCCTCCACCAAACGAGGCGGCACAACAACAACCCCATCCTCATCACCCACAAGCACATCCCCCGGATGAACCCATAAATCCTCCCGAAACTGAACCGGCACATCAATCTCCGACGCGCGCGTGAACCCGCCCGATCCCAAGATCGACGTGTCCGCTGAGAATACGGGGAATCCTATATCCCTGTGCTCGGAGATATCCCGAATCCGTCCATCAACAACCACGCCGAGTGCCCCGGTCGCCTTGGCGCGCGTGGACATGAGTCCGCCCCAGCAGGCCGAGTATAAGCCTTTCGGCTGCTGGATGTACATGATTGCGCCGGGGCGGTTTGCGTCGGCGAAGTGGAGGGGGGGTGTTGGGCCGGGGGTATTCGTTTCGATCATTTTAACGGTTACGGCGGGGCCGTGGATGCGTAGGTTGCTGGAGTTGGAGCCGGAGGGTGAGGGTGAGGCTGGGGAGCGCATGCGTAGCCCGTCGAGGAAGCCGCCGTAGGGGTAGCGGAGTTTGACGAGTGCGTCGCCGATCTGGGATGTAAAGATGGTTAGCTTGGTTTGGGGCATTGGGGGAGATAAGGGGGAAGGCTGGGAAGGGGCGGACGGACATCGCAGCTGGAGAACTGCTTGAGGGCTTGGAAGGCCTTCGAGGTGTAGGTTTTTGACATTCTGGTGGTTTGATCGAGTAGGGCTGAGAAGAAAAACAAGATTAGGCAAGCCGAACTGGTGCAGATTCGTGTGGTGTGTGAATATCAGGTCGTGACTTACTGCATGGTTGGATGTTGGCTGCTTGATCGGATGGATCCGAACAGGTGGGCCAGGGACATGGTGCAGATGGACTTAGGCCGGAGTCTGCGACGGTAACCCAAGGGCCGCACTCATCGAGGCTGATTTGGGTCCGAAATTCGTAGGCATGGAACATACTTCTGCTTGCTGTGGGTATGCGTTAAGAATGTTTCAAGGATAATCCCGTCTACTCGGATGGTATTTTACGGAAGGAAGCTCCATGCATCAGTCGAGCCCAGCGCAACGCCTTCAACGAAGAGGTCCTCCCACGGTCCATCGAATCTCACATCCGGGATATGATTGGGTAATTCTCCCACGGGGTCATCTGGCTTCGGCGTCGAGAATGTATGTGTGTGCAAGCCAAACCAAGATTGGAATTCCGTGTCCAAATCGACGCCTGGTGGCTCCGCCTCGTCAAACAGAGTGAGAATAGACTTGCCTAGCCGCTCTATGATCATCGAGCACTTCTCGCCCACCGCACGGCCATTTGATATACCGCGGAAAAGTGTCAGAAAAGTCGAGATGTTTGTCTGCACCACGGGTTTGCTCAGCTCGTGTCGGAGGGGAGGTGACGCCCGTAGGGCATAAAGCATTGTGACGGCGGCCATAAACAGGGAGTTGATAGCAACGAATGTATACTTGATCCGGTTCCGCGCATACAGCGAGCTGTATGAGTTGATTAGGCCGATGGCTGACTCCATGCAGAGCCGAATATCCTCGGATGAGGGCATGGGCACCGCTCGGGATGGGCGATAAAGCGACAGCACAGCATGGTGGAACGCAATCTGAAACCACTCCTGGGATTGGAAGGTGGAGGAGGTGCGGACGTATCTCGGAGCCATGATCAGCCAGTTTTCAAGTTCCGAAAACAGGGAGCTTCTCGTTGCCTCCAGCTCGTTTAGGGCAGAGGGGGTCCGGCCGACGGAATGAAATGATGTGTAGACCCTGGCATTGACCTTTCGAAGCTGAATGATATGGATAAAAGTAGACGTATCTTTGATTTGGGGCAGCAATGGTGCTTCCGGTGCAATGAAAGATTCATCAAGTTGCTCATCTGTTAATGGGGATGGGGGTGGTATGGTGATGTCGTTCTCGTGGATACCCAAAGGCCGGCCCATGTTGATGGCCATGCTGCAGCTCATTACATACGCGCACCAAAACACACGCTTGAACATCTCTGACCGTAGAAGACTCTGGCCGGCTAAGCATTCCTTGCGATGAAGGTCAATACCCAGGGCTAACTGAAGCGCGAGGCCAGTAATGTACCACATATTGACCGACTGCGGTTCATTGTGGCCATACATGCAGAGCAGTAAAAGACACTGCACACACTCAAAATCATCTACCTGTATGACGACGTGCATATCTTGTATAGCACGGTTGAAAAACACTCGATGCAGCTGATTGTTCTCTTGCCGAGTCGGAGACCTCTCTGTCGTTGCAATAGCGCAGACCACGTTCACTAAGAAGTTCGAGATCGGACTGCTTACTGAATTGGCGAGGAAAGGTTTGAGGTGGCCACTGACAAAGCTAGGTTGGTGTAGGACAGGTAAGTACGGCCACCGCCGCTCAAAGAATACGTCCACTAGGTTCTCATAAGCCGCGTTGTCAAAGCCAGAGGGAAGCGCGTTGCTGTGACAGGCGGGTACATCAGTATTGAGTACATCGTCGCCCCATAAATCCCAGGCACTACTCAAAGCACTCCGATATGCCTCTCCAAATTTTGACTGTGGTGTAAACGTCGGCCGCAAAATCCGGCCGGTGTACGACCGGTCGAAGTTCAGGACAAGGGGGTCGCTGGGTGGCGGTAGACCATGCCCAGCTCCAGATATGTGATGGCGATCGGGCGCGGGAGAAGCGCCGGGACAAGGTATATGTTCTACCGCAGCATCGAACCGGTCATGCTCAAGGGGCTTTTGTGATCTCAATTGCTCAACCACCTGCAGTAGCGCATCATACTCCTTCTGAAGGGACTGCAGTTGAATCCGTAGTATTTCACAGTCGCAGTCGGAGTGCGCCTGCACCACAAGTCTACTCGAAGGAACGCATGGCGCTCCGACAGCTTCACAAGTGCCACATGTTGGGGTCTTCCCGTCACACTGAAGATAGTGGTTAGAAGACCAGTTCAGTATGTCGTACGTATTGAGCCGTACCTTTTGCTTTCGGCGTCTGCACCTTTCACAGGCAGCAACACTACGACTCAGGCCTGGGCGATGTCGGCGCACTGCAGGAGAGGATGGATCTGCAGTCGCCCTCTTCATGTCACTAGGAAAGGCGCGGAGAGAGCTCTTATAGGTTCCACTGCATCAAGGGGGATAGCCGAGTCACTGTCACGTCGCCATGTGCCTAGCTATTGATCAATATCAATGAAACGAGCCATGACGAGGATAAGAAGGTATGGGAGGCAAGTGGAGAGATGAGGACTCAGGAGGTTGTGCAAATCCGGGGAAGTTGGGGAGGAAAGAGTCTTGGCTTGGCTCCGGCTCGGCAAATGGAAACCGCCGTTGGTGGCGATGACTAATCCTAATACCTTAGGCACCAATCCCCCCCATACAGTGTCCCCAGCCTCTTCAACTTCTATTTTTGCTACACTGCGTGAACCATGTCTTTCGTTATCTATCTTTGAGTCCAACATGGATTGTCTACATAGCAACATAGGTTACCGAAACAGCCTAGCAGGGTTGTCCCTTACAATTTTCCCCCACACCTCGCCTCCAACCCATTGCCTCACATTTCTTAACAAGGCCTGGTTATCAATGACTCGGAACGACTCTTTGCGAGCCAAGTCATGACTCTTCACCCTAGCCTTACCCTCTCCAGTATGCGGCCAGTCGCTTCCCCAAATACACCGCTCCGGTATCTCCTTCGCAAAAGCTTCGATGATAGGTCGGGTATCATCGAAATGAGACGCTGTTCGATTGGACGCTCGATACAAACCTGAGATCTTGACAATCACCTTGGCCCCCTTCGCGAGTGTGATGAGAGACGAGAATCCCGGCTGTGAAAGCGGGTGCTCTGCCAGATGGCACTGGAGCTTCGATGCACCCTGCATTCCTCCAAGGTGGTCGGCGATGATAGGTACGGGGAGCGTGGATATACAATCAAACAGCGCTGCAGAAGCCATTCAGCAAGTTGTGTAAAGGCAAAAATGGTCGGTATCTTACCATCCCATGCGTGCCCGGGGACAAACAACTGAATCATCCACCCCGGTAAATGACGGATCCGCGCTGCTGCTTTCTGCAAGGTAATTTGCGAGTGGGATATGTCCATCTCTTTTCCATCAGCCTGGAAGTTCAGCCGGATTCCTCGTACGCCAAGGTCGTGCATCTGCTTCAGGTCATGATCGGTTATCGTCTCCAGGTCTATAACCGCGATGCCGTACGCTGCCGTTCGTTGAGCGCGCAGGTCTTGGAGGCTTTTCATCAACACCGTGCAGTCGGTCTTGTAGGGTGATGGCTGGACAAGGACAATCCCACTCCCTTGTCGCCTTGAGAGATGCTTTTGTTAAACCGAATCAACCTCGCCAGTGGCGCATCCTCCGGTGTGTACGCGCGACCTGGGGCGTACGGCCCTATCGTTGGATCAAATACGTGGACGTGTGTATCGAAGGATCCGCATGGTAAGAGGGACCTATAGCGAATTAGGTATGGAGGAGCTAAAGTCTCTGAACTTGGCTTACTCTTCCTCGTTGCTCCCAGATTTTGTGATATGGGCCTCCAGTTTCATGAGTCGCGTACTTGCGGCCATTTCAAAATACCCTCGTGTTGGTCGTTGGGTAATCTTGAACGCTCGAGATACGGATGATAAAACCATGCTAAGCTTCGATGCCGCTTGGGATCGCCTTGGCTATGAACTCATAGATTCCGAGCATTGTTGTGTGCCGTGGGGAATCTCCATCGGATGCTGCCGATAAACTACGGGGCTGATGCGGATGCATCCGACGACGCCCCCCGGGCCGCGGTCGAATTCCGAACATAACAATCGCTAAAATGACTTCCCGATTTTGCAACTGGATCAGAAGCTCGACAGAGCAAGGAAAATGGCGATGCAGAGCATACAATCACAACCGCTGCCCCCTGGGCCTAGCAATCACGAGGAGAGGAGGCCGATCCCATACCGCAATATAGCCGTTGGCGCGGTAATGAATGTCTTTCAAGGTATGTCAATCCCTTTCCATAGCCTATTTTTATCCTAGATGCTGATTAGTCTCCAGTAACGACATTGGGTCAACCTATGGAAGTGCTCAAGACACATGTATGCGTCCATACATCCTGCTCAAATTTGCCGCTAGGCCCAACTAATGGCCTACAAAGCTAGCCGCAAATAGGCACGACTCGCTAAAGGACGCGGTACAAAAGACTTGGGCGCGCGGGCGATGGACAGCCTTCTACCAAGGCCTGATACCATGGGTACGCCAGCGGCAACCGCTTTACCGGGCCACGTCCGAAATTGCTAATCACCTTAGGCATAGGCATGGCTTGAAGCCTGCACAAAAGGAGCCATCCTTGTCCTCACCTCAAGTGAGATTGAGTACCACGTTCGCACCAAGATACCCAATGCGTCACCAACGCTGGGTGGAGTGCTGGGTGGTATTGGCGGAGGATTTGCACAAGCTTATCTCACCATGGGCATGACGACGTGCATGAAGACAGTCGAAGTCACGCGGTCGAAAGTGTCTGGGCAAGGAATCAAACCCCCGGGTCCAGTTGAGGTATTCTTTCAGATCCTTAAGGAGAAGGGGATCCGCGGAGTCAATAAAGGCGTAAACGCCGTTGCATTAAGGCAAGTAACGGGGTGGTCATCCCGAATCGGCATCTCGAGGTTCGCGGAGGAGAGTATTCGATCTGTGACAGGCAAGGGGAAGGATGACAGACTGCGCTTTGGTGAGAAGATCCTAGCTTCTACTATTGGTGGCGCATTGAGCTGTTGGAACCAGCCATTCGAGGTCAGTTTAAAAAGCATGAGCAACAAGTTGACACGCAAACTAACTTCCAAGTAGGTTTTGCGAGTGGAGATGCAGTCTATGAAGAGCGACCCGACGCGTCCCGAGAAACCGACCATCGTCTCTACATTCAAGCACATCCTCAAGACTTCTGGGTTCAAGGGGCTCTTCCGTGGAGTGATTCCGCGGATCGGTGTCGCCAGCTGGGCAACGGTCTGCATGGTGGGATTCGGCGACACTGTCAAGGCGTTGGTTGCGCCAAAAAGATGAGAGATGGGCAATTTGGGGGCCAGGATGAACTGCATGTCGCAGCGCAACATTCCCTACAGTATACCATGATCTAGGGCAAGAGTCTAGGCAATGAAGAGGACAAGGCGAATGAGTGCCCTGCTTCCACCCTAGATCGTACTTTGATCTCAGTTGCAGGACCTCTTATTATTCCTTTTCACTGGCCCTGCGGCAACCAGATCAACCTCGTCAGCTTTCGTAAACGGTATCCTGCCTGCAGGCTGCGTGGAGAACCCACCAAGGCAGGTGTCCAAGACGCCCGGGCGGCGATTCGTTTCGTATAGTGTCTGGGTCGGGGCTGTAGTCTTGGGCAGGACTGATGGTCTCGAATGTGGAGAAACTCATCTTGGCCGCATATCGGTTGCTCGGATACTCCGGTGACAGCAGCTAAGCCGCAATCGAACCATTGCCCATCAGACGATCCGCAGTGTGATTAAGCGAAACTCGTAAGCGATCCGGGGGATGTCTCCAACTGCAAGCTGGACTGGACTGAAGAACGCGATGGACTGCCGCGTTTGGAGAGCGACTACGAGAATCGGCGCTAGTCCCGATCGGGAGAAGGAATCCGGGCTCTTATCTTATCGCTCGGATTCACTGCGTCTTATCGGTTGTCTCGATCCTGCGCTCTCACAAAGATGCGATGCTGCAGAGGAGGGTTTATAAACCTCTTGACCCCTCTCCGGAGTTCTCGTTTCTTCCAAGTCCATCAAGTTCTATCCCTCTTTAACTCTCTTCGAAGTTGAGGTGTCGGCCGTTGTCGACTTCTTGCCATCTAGCTCCTCTTATCACCCCGCATCCGCCCCGATATACATCAGACACAATGGTCCTCGACAGACTAAAGCAATTGACCCTGCAGGTCAGCGCTTCTTCACCTCCTCCTCACCCCTTCGACCCTCTCTCAACCACCGAGATCGACACGGCTGTTGCGCTCATCCGCAAGGAGCATGGCAATGTCAACTTCAATGCCGTCACACTCTACGAGCCACGCAAGGAGCAGATGTTGGCATGGTTGGCAAACCCTGAGTCTCCCCGTCCTACTCGTGCTGCCGATATTGTTGCTATTGCTCCAGGCGGCAAGATCTACGATGGTGTCGTCGACCTTGATGCGAAGAAGATTGTTGAGTGGAAGCACACCCCCGGCGTGCAGCCGCTGATCACCATGGAGGATTTGCAAGAGGTCGAGTTCGTTGTGCGCAAGGACCCCAAGGTCATCGAGCAGTGTGGAATTCTTGGTATTCCCCCGCAGGATATGGACAAGGTTTACTGTGACCGTAAGTCAACCAAACCTACCTTCTTGGCTTATTTCCATAACTAACCGCTTGAAGCATGGACTATCGGATACGACGAGCGCTTTGGCACGGACGTTCGTCTGCAGCAAGCTCTGATGTACTACCGGCCCCACGTTGACGACTCGCAATACACATTCCCGCTGGACTTCTGCCCGATTTACAACGCCGAGACGAAGCAGATCATTCACATTGATGTCCCACCTGTACGGCGACCTCTGAGCAAGGCTGCGCCCAACAACTACCACGTCGCCTCAGTCGAGCAAGAAGGTGGCTACAGGACAGACCTGAAGCCAATTCACATCACCCAGCCCGAAGGTGTCTCTTTCAACATCGATGGACGTAGCATCAAGTGGCAAAATTGGAGCATCCACGTCGGCTTCAACTACCGCGAAGGTATCGTCCTGAACAACATCACCTACAACGACAAGGGCAACATCCGTGACGTCTTCTACCGACTCTCCCTCGCCGAGATGGTTGTCCCATACGGCAACCCCGAGCACCCCCACCAGCGCAAGCACGCCTTTGACCTGGGCGAGTACGGCGCCGGCTACATGACCAACTCCCTCTCCCTCGGCTGCGACTGCAAGGGCGCAATCCACTACATGGACGCGGCCTTCGTCAACCGCGCCGGCGCCAGCACAATCGTCAAGAACGCCATCTGCATCCACGAAGAAGACGCCGGCATCCTCTTCAAGCACACCGACTTCCGCGACGAGTCCACCATCGTTACCCGAGGCCGCAAGCTCATCATCTCCCAGATCTTCACCGCCGCCAACTACGAGTACTGCGTCTACTGGATCTTCCACCAGGACGGCACCGTCCAGCTCGACATCAAGCTGACCGGCATCCTAAACACCTACTCCATGAACCCCGGCGAGGACACCCACGGCTGGGGAACCGAAGTCTACCCCGGCGTCAACGCCCACAACCACCAGCACCTCTTCTGCCTCCGCGTTGACGCAAACGTCGACGGTCCAAACAACACCGTCTTCCAGGTCGACGCCGTCCGCGGAGCCGGCGAGGTCGGCAGCGCAGAGAACAAATACGGCAACGCCTTCTACGCAAAGAAGACCAAGTTCAGCACCCCCACAGAGGCAATGTCCGACTACAACGGCGCCACCAGCCGCACCTGGGAAATCCAAAACACAAACAAGATCAACCCCTACAGCAAGAAGCCCGTCTCCTACAAGCTCGTCAGCCGCGAAGTCCCTCCCCTCCTACCCAAAGAGGGCGGTCTCGTCTGGAAGCGCGCCGGTTTCGCTAGACACGCCGTGCACGTTACAAAATGTAAGCCACCTCCCCCAACCCCCTACAAACAAGTCCAGGCTAACAAACCCAAGACTCGGACGACCAAGTCCACCCCGCCGGCCGCCACGTCCCACAGACCTCAGGCGAGCCCTCGCAGGGTCTCCCCATGTGGATCGAAGAAGCAGGCCCCAACTGCTCGATCGACAACACCGACGTCGTCCTCTGGCACACCTTCGGCCTCACGCACTTCCCCACGCCGGAGGATTACCCCGTCATGCCGGCGGAGCCCATGACTGTGCTTCTCCGCCCGCGCAACTTCTTTACCCGCAACCCGGTCCTCGATGTCCCGCCGAGCTTTGCGCGCACGCCGTCGCAGGTTGCGGCGGCGTCTGGGGCTTGTGGGTGTACCGGGAGTAAGAAGAGCTCGCCGGATGGGTCGAGTGTTTATGTTTAGTGGGGATGGCCGGTAGTTTATGACTTTTCTGGGGTGTTTGGCTGTTGTTATTCTTCTTGTATATAGGTGCTTTGGGTTTTCTTTAAACTTGATTCCATTCCTCTCCCTCTCCCTCCGATGCCATTATAGATGATGAAGCAAGACGATTGCGGGGGGCGTTATGTGAGATTTTGACCAGGGCCTTGGGATTCAGCCTGCTAAGACCTCCCACCATACAAAGCCCCAGAGCCTCCATGACTGCCGGAATTCGGCGACTCGGCAAGATCCTCGAATCTACTCCGGTGACTTCAACCTGGAGAAGACAGAGGCACATGCTGATCAAGCGGGATGTAGCAGATTCTGGTGACGCTATAAATCCTCTGGGAACGTTGTATGCTGTGCCCCTACGGCGGAGCCTTAGGGCATGGGTAGAAGCTCACGCTGGGCTCGCTGTTGTAGCGCACAGCATAACGGGCGTGCATATACGTCTGGACTGCGGAGTAAGGCTGCAGACAGGCGTTCTGCGTGCGTTGAAGGGGCGGCAAAAGTCTGTCTGCTTTGAGTATCATCGCCCTCATGCATATACGCTTACCTTCACGGTAGCTGGGTTTGGGGATGAGGGTGATCCCGGGTAGGCAAATATCCTATCCATCCCATAAAAACGTACACTTCGTGCCTACCTGCTTTACCGACCAGTAGACAAGGGTCCTGTATTTGAGATACTCTAAATCGTGAGATTGGATGATCGTGCGGAAGGAGTGTGACGATCCTGATCCTGATCTTGCAGGCCTACCTTATTGAGTTCAGCGAGTCCTGCATCATAGTCAGCATACCTGCTGGAGAAAATAGCACAGTGCTGGGCTATTATCAGGCCCTCACACCACACCTGGCGATGTCTCCTGTACAGCAGCAAGCACATGAGGCCGGGGGAATGTAGGCACAGTCGCAGCTGCCGCCGCATGTGCCTGCCCTGTGATAAAGTTACACCGCACGGGATCGACGACCGGCGATCAAGGCGATCGTGCGGTGAAGAAAAGCATAAATGCAGCGGACCGTCTCCTGAAGAATGATCTCTTTTGCGCCTCTGAGCTGCAGAGTCTCGGTTGTTCCATCATGATCATGTTGCCAGTGTTCCTTCTATTTCTGAGCGCAATTGCAGCGCTCGCGCATCGAGGGCGAGACTCCCACTGGGGCCCAGAGAAATGGAAGACGTTGATCACGTTCGGCAACAGCTATACTGACGACAGCCGGTTACGGTACTTTGCGGCTCACCACGGGAATCCGCCGCCGGTGGGGTGGGAGGAACCGGATGTAAGGCCCATCAACGCGGACTCGGCACTTGATGGCATACTAACGCTCTGCAGAGCAATGACACATTTAGTGGCGGGTATAACTGGGGCCATTTTGCATCGGAGATAGCGAACGTGACGCGGTTCAACTATGCTGTCTCAGGAGCGCCGTGTTCGAACAAGATAACTCCACGGACGTACAGACCGATCAATGCTCCGTATCCGTCTGTCCTCGAGTACGAGATTCCCGCTTACCTCGCCGATACCAAGTACGTCGATCCAGATGGGAATAAGCTCATGGACATCAACGCGAACGAAACGGTTTATGCCATATGGATCGGAACGAATGACGTGGGAAATGATGCCTTCCTCACGGACTCGCAGGTCAATGGGACCACTATCCCGGATTATGTCGAGTGCGTTTATAAAGCATTGGATGGCATGTACGCGGATGGGGCCCGGTACTTTGTGATCATGAATCTTGTACCTTTGCAGCTGGCACCGCTGTATGCGACGCCTGAGAATGGCGGGCAGGACTCAGCAAATGGGGCCAATGTTACGGAGAAGAGCTATCGCCTGTGGGAGACTGTGGTCACGGTCAATGATGTGTTCCGGTATAAGACGCCGTATGAAGCGGTCATAGCACGGAGATATCCGGGGGCGCAGCTGGCCGTAATGGACATGTATGGCTTGGTATGTGTCCCTTTCGCACCTGCTTGCCTTCCCAGCGTTCTACTCCACTTCACATAGCATTGGTCTGTTTCAGGTGTATACTGACTGTTTAGGTCTGGGAGGTCTACCATAATCCGAACCAGTACTTTGACCCTCCGGCCAATGTGACGGGATATGTGAAGCATTGTAATAAGACGACAGGGCACTGCGAACGTCTGCCAAACGAGCATTCTTTTCTCTGGTTCGACGAACTGCATCCTTCCGAGCGTACTGATCAGATTGTGGGTCAAGAGTTCGTCAACGTTGTAGCGGGGAACAGTAGCTTCGCAAATTACTGGTAACCGAGGTCATACCAGTTCCAGACATGTAAATAGCTCATGTTCGGAGATGAAGAAACGGGTCATCCCGCAGCAGCAGTCATAATAACCTGGAGATTTGACCAGTTTGAGTAGGAGTCTCTTCGCGACCGTTTTGGGGGCGAAGAGCCAGCGATCCAATCACGAAGCTGCCCGAACCAACACAACAGACCGAGTATAAGGCAGACTGCGAGGCAGACCATGGCCGGGAATTCGGTACTACTTCGCCATCTTCAATGAAACCCTAAGCACCAGGGGTCATGGTCAAACGAAGCAGATAAGTAATAACTCACCCCCAATTCTACTGTGCAGCCAACGTCGAGCTCGATAAATCATGTATGGCTTTCTCACAGCTACCTCCAGCGAGACCACAGTGGCCGATTGCGATTCGATCCGAGACTATAGCCACAGAAGAGCCGGAGACGATAATCACAGTCCGCAATAGGCCCGAGCCATGGCACTCACTCGACTACGTCGTTAGTCATCACACCGGAGAAGTTCTCTTCACGGTTCATGGACACCCATGGGGTCTCTCACAACGCCGAGACTTTCGCGACGCATCAGGGCTCCCGCTGTTCGAGCTGAAATGTCGTTGGTATGACTCGTCTGTGCTGGAGGTGACGCTGCCCGGCGCCACAGCACTCAGCAAACCTCTACTTACAGCGAAGTGTCGTGTGGCTGTTCAGGCACCCAGGGCCGTGCTACGTTTCTGTAATGCTTCCCGGCCGACAGATGGGAGGCCCGAAAGGCGCCATCTCAAGTACTCATCGTCGCATACAAGAACGGAGTCGTCCAATGTCGGTGCTGAGACCACTATGGAAATCCTTGCGTTAGATGTGGATAATCTTACTCAGGTCGCTGTTGTTGAGGACCAGAGAGTTGCGTTCATCGATCGAATCAAAGATCCTGGCGTGTTAGCGCAAGGCCAAAAGCCACCATTTCGATTTCGGCCAATGTGGACAGTCAGGGTTGCAAAGGGAGTGGACTTGGCCCTGGTGGGTAGATCATTCATAGTTGAGCGTCCGATCCGAAAGTTGACTGTTTTCAGATTGCTGTTGCGGTGGTGATCGTTGGACAGCAAGTCGCTGGTTCATCGTTGTAGATCTGTGGCCCTCAAGCCCATATTATGTCCAGATCGCTCGTTATGTGGCCATCCAATTCCGACCTGCCTCTGGCAGTGCAGAATTCTTCCGTCCATAGCGCGCCCGGTTCGAAATATAGTACTGTCGCAGATCTGACCCACGGCGCGGCCATTGTCGAGAACTCTGACCTCAGAATGAAGGATCATTTATGTTTTGCCCTCTTACCTTTGCTCCTGGTTCTCATAGGCGATGTCTGCATTGCCAAATGCACCATGTGAGCCACCATCTCCGGTAATAATAGAGTCGCCCTCAGGACCAAAATGCCGTAGTCCGTCAAGCAGAGACAAGAAAGGGAGGCCGTAGGGCTGACGGGCGGAGATTAGATGTGAACTAGCGTCCTCTGTGCCCCATCGTACAGTCTGCCCTACGCGATGGAGGTTGTCCGACAAAAGGCTGTAATGTGCTGCATTCGCAATAGAAACATGGCTGGAAAACGATCCAGACTTCGATTCGGACGCCAGACCATACGAACAGTGGAAATTGAACCATCTTGGTGGCTGGAAATCGTAAATGTAGCTGTGCTGTTCCGGCTGGTCGGCAAAGTCCTGAGTTAGCCAATATGTCCCAAACTCGAGGCTAGAACTGACTTTGATTCACTCTCCACTCTCCTGACGGTTAGGCAACAGAATTCCTCACACAGGCCAAGTTCTTATTGAAGCTTGTCCCTCTCGGCCGCCTGCCTTTGGTTCTTTTCAAAACTTGCCAAGGCCTTTCTGTCGGAGAAACGAGAATGCGGGCTGTACCCTGAGTGTCGCTGGTCCCTGGCCTTGCGCACACCTGGGCGCTTGCTGGAAATCAGCCAAAGTGGTTTTATCGTTGATTGGTATGTCTTGCGAGTATTGACTCTTCATCATCTATTCCGTCATATGTCTGCGCATAGACTGATTGATAAAAAGGCATCAGCAGAGAATAGAAGGGATGGAAGTTGCCATGAGGATGGTTGATGAGGAAGAGAAGAGAGGCTGCCAAGCGAGGCTGCCGTTTGCTCCTTCAGCCGTCTTCCCTTGCCTCACCAGGGCCACCATCAACTTAATCAACACAGCATCGCACTCGATCGAGCACTCGCGGTACGATATACGATAATTAATGAGGCTACACCTCTCTATTCGGAACGAGCAAGACCCAATGCCCAGAAGATTGGTCAGCAGTACATCAATAACCTCGCCATCCCAGGGGCACTTCTCGGCTCATCCACCGGCTCCCAGCTATCCATATACCGGCACCTCAGATATTAATCGACTCTCGGCTGCCACGGTCAAGAACTCGAGAACACAGATGGACCATGATCTCCTTGGATTCTTCCTCCCTGAGCAGAAGCAGGCACTTTACAGTGGGGACACTGAGGCTTGGCAGCAGGGTGAAGAATGAACCGGTCGAGACCTGAGACGACCGCGACTCCATAGTTGCTCTTGGCTCTGGCAACCGTCAGCCTCCTGGAGCCACAAACGGTCGCACGCGGCAGTTCACTTGCTTGCAACCGTGGCGAGTGCGACCACCTACAGAGCCGACATACGAGATACAATGCGACGCGGTGACGCCATTCTAGGTGCAAGAACAACGACGACTGATACCATTACATCAATCCGCCATTGGAGCAATATCTAAATTAGAAGGGGTAGAGTGAAGCTGTGGGTTGCCGCCGGGCTCGATATCCATGCCCAAAGTGTGGACTGGCCTCCTGAACTGGATACTCTCTGACTCCTGAGACTTGCAGTCTCCAGTGTGACTGAGTCGCAGGTGAGACAATATCACACCATGATTCTGACATCTTCCAAGAGTGCTGACCGCAAAAATCACAAATGCAGCCCCTATTATCCATCAGCTCCGCAGGGTCCTATCCGGACAAACCGACTAGTCCCATGAATCAGGCACGCAGGCGACGAGAAATAGATTAAATCCCAACTATTTTCAGGCGAGGGTCGCATCATTTCTGGCGCAAACAAGCCTGGCTTTGCGGGTTGTTCTTCGCTGTCAACCCTGTGATGCAGTCCTCTCAGAATGCTATAAGGCTGAGGACGATCAACTCCCCGTGCTTTGTTGCAAGATCAGGGACGATCGCGGAAGCTTCCATCCCATGCAAAACGAACACCGAAGCTTTCCCGAACAGCCATCGATGGCGCAATGCCCAGCCCGGCCGTTCCTGACGGCGTGTGGAATCTCCGCTTCACCCTGGTGGCTTGGCAGGGCCTCCTGAAACAAACTACCATCCTTTGTGGAAGTTCTCCGGTCTCACGTTAATCGCTTTCACAGCGAGAACCCAAGGTCCTCCACACTCGTCACCTCGATTCCTGGTCTTGCGCTGTTCAGGCATTCTTGGCGTTGGAGCGACCAAGCGGCAAAGCAGAGGAACCACTATCTACCTGCGACGCAATGCCGAATCTGTCAAAGTCCTAGCTTCGCTACGGGACTGTCACTGGATTCTCTGTCCAAATTCAGGAGGCAGAGGGGTTGATCGTTTCAGTCCTTCCACCTATGGTGCTTTTCCTAGGGGAGCCAAGCAGCTGGAGAGGACTATATAAGGAACCGTTCGCACGTCGATTGTTTCCTTCCTCAACAGCGAGCCTGTCAATCATTTTGCATACACTCTCTTTCTTGTGCTTTTTCAACTTCTTACCTTCTTTTCACTCTTTTCGCGATGTACAACCTCAAGTTCCTCATCGCCGCCGTCAGCTGTCTCGGGCAGGCCCTTGCAGCTCCCACTCCCACCACCAACTCCATCAACCGCAGCTTCAACAAGCGTGCTTCCCTTGAGGACGTATGTCAATCCCCCAGATCGCTACATGCATAACATTCTGACCATGCCCAGTCTGCCTTCGGCTATGCTAGCTTGAACGGCGGTACTACCGGCGGTGCCGGCGGTGCCACCACCACCGTCTCCTCCTACGCCGAATTCACCGCCGCTGTCGAGGGTGACGACCCCAAGATCGTCATTGTCAGCGGTCCCATCGAGAAGACCGCCGACCAGGTCGACGTCGGTTCCAACACCTCCATCATCGGAAAGGACGCCACCGCCGTCCTGACCGGCTTCGGTCTCCGCCTCAAGAGGGTCGAGAACGTCATCATCCGTAACCTGGGTATTTCCAAGGTTCTCGCCGACAGCGGTGATGCCATCGGTGCTGGTACGTATTATGCAAAAACACAGCCGTTTCGGACCTGGGAATAGCCTCATCTGGGACCACCAAGCAGCGAAACACAAGCTAACCACTGAACAGAGTACTCCAACAACATCTGGATCGACCACGTCGACGTCTCCAGCGACCGCGACCACGACAAGGACTACTACGACGGTCTCCTCGACTTCAAGCGCGGCTCCGACTACATCACCGTCTCCAACACCTTCATCCACGACCACTGGAAGGCCTCTCTCGTCGGCCACAGCAACAGCAACGAGGATGAGGACAAGGGCCACCTGCACGTCACCTACGCCAACAACTACTGGTTCAACATCAACTCCCGCGGCCCCTCCGTCCGCTTCGGTACCGCCCACATCTACAACAACTACTTCCTGAGCGTCAGCGACGGCATCAACACCCGCATTGGCGCCCAGGTCCTCGTCGAGGGCAACACCTGGGTTGATGGCAAGAAGGCCCTCTACTCCACCGATGAGGGCTACGCCGTCGAGCGCAACAACGACTTCGGTGGCGCCAAGAACGAGGCTGAGGAGGGTACCCTGACTTCCGTTGACTACGACTACGACCTCATTGAGGCCTCCGCTGTTGAGGGCGCCGTTGTTGGAACTGCTGGGCAGACTCTTGTTTTCTAAACTTTACACCCTTTAACTTGACCGGCTCGCTCGACCCGCTCCCTGAACCTTTCTTTGCAGTCGAGATGGTGCAGAAGCGCTTAGCCTAGATAGACTAGACTATCGCTCAATCAAGATCTGTACTATTATTATACTATTACTATCAGCATCACTAATAGACTAATAGTAGGCCATGGCTATAGAATAGGAATACAGCCGGCAATTGCGTTAAGCTTTTAAGGTTTCGGCTTAGGGCTTCCCACAGCGCCGGACTGCGGTTCTACCCTCCTACCCGCCCCCGCATGTACCAAACTCTCTCATCCCTATCTGTTCCTACCCTAACGCTGGGAGCTTTAGCGCTACTACGCGGGCTCAGAGCATAGGTATCGGTACCCCCTCTACCTTTGCGAGAGCCTTTTGCGTTAGCTCCCAATCCACTCTGCAGAACTACAGCTCGTCTGGACGACAAATGGTGGCCGCGTCTAGGGATGGCCAACCGGCGCCGCTATGCACAAGCTCATTCTGTTCGGCTGGTTTTACTTCTAACGTGAGCGGGTTAGTCCTCGTTGATGTTTGAGGGTGGAGTGGTTGGGCCGCGGGCGATCTTGACGCTGGAAGTCGGATGCGGGTTAAGGGTGGTCCCTGGGGGATGTATTGGACGTCTTTTGGATGGCTTCCTGGGCGTACGCTTCACCGTGGAGATAGGGGTGGTTAAGTAGGTAAGTAGGTAAGTGGGAGCCATAAGTTCTTCCGTCGACATCTGCTACCGGTATGTATACCTACGTCGGTTTTCGGTGGTTAGCCCAACTGAGTCATGGAAATAGGCCCCCTGGGAGGGCATACTTGGTCCTACCTGGGTATCATATGATGCAACTTGAACAGCAGGAAAGTGTGCGTGGCAATCAAGCCAGTGGTATGATACTATCTAGTGGTATTCTCGTGTGCTGTATAACCAGTATAACGCGAGCGAGCAAATTCAAGAATGTCAAATGCAGGCAATAATATCAAACGCAGACAACAAACAAAGATCTCAAGTACAAGCAACCGAAACCGAAATCCGCTCCATCCGTGCAATGCAAATGCAATGATGATTGCAAACATCCGTCCAATACAGCCCAGTCCAGTTCAGTCCAGTCCTTCTAAAACGTACAAAAAGCAAGCAGCCCCAACTATACCCTTGACCTTGACCAGACCCAAACAAACCCAAAAGTTAAGCAATGCCAAGCTACATATATGTAGAGTTTCAAATCAAGACTCATAAGCGTCAAACCTCCATGCCGCGTTTCTCGCAGCCCGGTTCTTCCAGAGTACGTACGGCATGGTCCACTCCTTCCACCGCCCCTCGAGGAAGCCCATGTCGCGATGGGTCTCCCACATCCGGCCGGCGGCGGAAAAGGCCTCCTCGACTGGTCCGCGGCGGAGGGCCTCGTACTTGGTAAATATTGTGGAGAGGGGCTCGTCGCGGTTGTGGGCTAGGGTGCGGCAGAACATAATGGAGTCGTCGAGGGCGTAGGCGGCGGATTCGTCGCGAGGGGGCATCTAAAGGAGGCATGTTAGTGCATTTCGTAGTCTGTCTTGGAGGAAAACTTACTGCGTGCGCTGCATCTCCTAGGAGGATGACTCGTCCTTTCCACCATCTGCCTCCTGGGCGGACCTGGTATACGGGGTAGAGCATCCAATTCGTCTTTAGGTTCGCAACATCTCGAATCCAGGGGATTCCAGATCCTGCAAAACGAGAGTGGATTTCCTTTTGGAGAGCAGTGTGTATAGCAACGCGGTGGCGGGGATCGGATATGTGGTGTCCGTCCAGACGATAACCCGGGAGGAGGGTCTCCTTGATCTGGACAATGGCTGCGAGGAAGAGGGTGGCGTGGTTGCGGTCGCAGTAGCTTCCTAGAAGGTCACCATGACGGGAAAGAGCGAGGCCGGATGTGGCGAAGGGAGGGGTGTGCATTGTGGGTGGTGTCTGAGTCTGGCCGGCAGAGGATAGGGTATCTGAGGAGGTCAAGGAGTTTGTGCTAACGCTTCGAGTCGTCCTGCTGCTCTTTGTGGAGTTGTGTGTGCTTCCGCTGGCGCTGGTGCTGCTGCTAGGACGGCTTAAACTGGTTCGGTTTGAGGCGGGAGGAGGTGGAGGGGGGGTATCGATGGTGGTTTGAATAAATGCGAGTCCAGTGTATTCGGATGGTCGGCCGGGTTCGACGTAGTGTGTGCGAAGGGCAGAGTGGACGCCATCGCAGCCAAGAACAAGGTCACCGGCTGCAGAGGTCTGGTCTTCGAAGTGTAGGATTGTCTGATCGTTCAGTTCCGAGACTCCCTTGACCTTCTTGCCGTACACGATCTTGATGTTGGGCTGGCGTTCGAGGACAGCCAGCATGGCCAGAGAGAGGACAATTCGCATGACTCGCCGTCCCTTGTAGCCATTCACTCCGTTTCCGTGGCCATCTGTAAAGTCGATTGAGCCGAGCGATCGCCCGGAACGGCTGGAGAAGAGTTCGATCGCATCGACATCGGCACCCCCATCGGGACCCTGGCGATCTAGTTCCTGGAGAACGCCGAGTCGGTCCAAGTGCCGCTGAGCCACGGGAGTGAGATTGATGGCACCACCAGAAGTCGACAAAATGTCGTGCCTCTCATAAAGGATTACTTGGAAGTTGGGTTCGTGGGGGCCGAGTTCCTTTGCCAGAGCCAGAGCGCTGGCGACGCCGGCAATGCCAGCGCCCACGATCAGGACCTTGCGCTGCCGGGGCGAAGGATCGGGCACGGACAGAGGCATGGTGTAGCCGGTCCAGGGCTCGCTATCGTTCTTGGGGAGATGCATGGTTATTTACCAACATACTGGGAACTCCTGAAGACTTTTTCGCCAGGATCATAATAGCGTGCAGAAATAAATTGCGATGAAAAGAGCTAGAGCTAGCGTCGGCTGCGGTGGAGAATTCTCGGTGTCAACGACTAGCGGCCGCCAACGTTTCCCAAAAGTTCGCCTTCGCCGTTTCAAAAAGACACATCACACGTCAACTTCATATACATCATGAATATCAATTTGCCCAAACTCAAACTATAGCAGCGTCTCCTGGTGCGAAATCACCCGCCACTCGCCGTCCGAGCCCTGGCCCCAAGTCGTCGACCCCGTGGCGTGGTAGTCGGGCTGCCCTTCCCTGCTCGCGTGGATCCGATAGGTGATGGTGCCCGCCATCAGATCGATCACAATCACCCGCACGTCCTGCAGGTCGTATTCGTCGAACTTGTGGAATCCTTTCGTAAACGTCTCGCTTAGGTTGTCCACGGTCGTGATGTCTTTCTTGGGGAAGAGGAGCACGGCCTTTTCGTGGCACAGCCGTTGCAATTCATCCGTGGGCGAGGCACTCGTTAGTGCGCTCCAGAGGGTGCGTTCCTGGACGATCATGTCGTTCTCGATGCGCTCGTAGATGGCTGGCATGTCGCTGGTTTGGCTTGAATGAACTCGCTGACTGCTGAGGAATAGAGGATGTCAGGATGTCAGGTAGCGATAGTGTTTGGTCTTGATCTGGTTCTTGATCTTGCGCCCGCTGTCATGCCCGGTCGTGATATTTAAGCAGCAGCGCCAATGACATCACAAACGCCGCTGATCAACAACCAACGATTCTGCCAGCCAGTCTGACGTCTTCCATGCTATAATTATCGTCGGAGAATTGGTCCGCATGGTTGAACCCAATAAAATGGATTATTCCATAGGCAGCTTACCCTCTCTGCGTCTGTCGGTGCCGGTGATCTCATCGCCAAGCACGTGTCGCATCGCATCCATGGTCTGCATACGGGGTACATACGGAACATATCCACCGCTGATGTATGAAACCAGTATCTAATCACTTGCATTGCAGCACGAGTACTTTGCGGGGAATTAATTGCCGGAGACTACAAAATCAAAACCTCTACGATCTATACATCTCGGCCGAAGTTTGTCCCTAAGCCGACGACACACGATGGTGCTAATCGCATTCCAGTTGTGACACGAGACAAGTGATCTGTCTAAGAAGTAGAGTATCATCGCCGGATCGCTAGCCCAGCAAGGCTCTCGGCCGTTGTGCGGAGGATGTCACCGCGGTCGAGGATGCATCCCGTTGGTTTGGCGTCCAAGATGGCTTGCTTCTAAACGGCGAAGCCAAACTCTAACTAACAAGCGACGTGACCAGTCCTTGATACCTCGCTCTAGCAGAGGCCAGAAGCCTTGTCAGTTGTACTTGTCACTTCCAGCCCTGGCGGTAATTGCTGAGTATCCGCGTTGGCGCTCGAAGATACGTTTCAAGATTCTTTATCTGTTAACGCTCAAGCCTCGAGGCGTCTTTTGCGGTTCCCAAATTTGAGTCAAATCCTTCGGACGAGTATATCCAGCAACGCTTTTTGATCTATCAAAAGGTTCAATTTACTCTTTGTCTGGAATCAAACCTTGATCCTTGAAGATTGTCTAAGCGTCGAAGCGATCCTGTCGTCCTGGACCTGGCCCGGAAGGCATCCCTGCTCCTCGCTGCTCTGCATTTCCGGATTCTCGACGACAGTCGGCTCTTGAATCTGCATCTGCATACTCCGTACTTTGATTTAGTTTCATACCTCGCTTTCCTCCATCGAAAGAATCGTATTGCTTATTGAGTCCGCGTCGGAAACTGAGTACTCGGGAGGCTGAAATATATATCTCGCCGCCAAGAGCAGCAACCCTACTTCGCAGCCACATACAGTCTTAACGATCCAAGCTTCTACGCGCCACGTTCTTTAGTACTGCTTACATACGTGTTTTTTATCTGCTTTGCCAGTCAGGGGGGATATAATGCTCAACCTTGGAAACCACGGAATCCTCAAGTCGGCAGATGATATGAGTGGAGCCGTGCAACCGTCACCATATTCGGATCCCTCCCAGGCAAATCTTAGATTCCAAGGAAGCAAACTAGTTGCATCTCTCAATCAATATCACAAAGTCAAAAACCGTATACATTTACTGTAGCTTCTCCTGTCAATCTTGAGAAGATGCTTGGTACTGCTGCTCCTGTCTCCTTTTCCTGCGGGATACGGGACGTGATGGGCCCGCCAGCGGGCCGGCGTTTACGCACCGGCGGCCGCCGTCATCTCGATTTTATCCGTGGATCGCGTGATGCTCCGCTTTGGGTAGATGCCCCGATCTCGTGGAGCTGGCTTCTATCTTTGCGACTGTACGGACTTTCAGGGGCAGACAGAGATGTAGTCAATGTCACGGTGATGAAGGAGAAACACGGTCAGAAAGAACAGTGGGCCAGTAGTTTTGGATTGAGGTCTGGTGGTTTTTTACTTCGTTTGGCGGATTAGTCATTTCTGAGTCAGCGTTACCTACCGCTATGGGGTCCACATCCCGAGGTCATTCTCCGCGTCTACCTAGGGTAGCTTAGCTGTCTAGGTAGTCTGCGATAGCCTCCCTCGACAATTACCTGAGAAACTGTGTTTCTCCATGGTTGAAGAACTGGTGCAGACGGAGATGGTGGCCACTCACCAGCACCTACATCTTCTAATGAAGTCGCGACTCCAGGATGCGTGAGCCTTGCCATACTTTGGCCTGGCCCTGGGCTAATGAGCCTTTGCTCTGAAGTAGGGATGTTAAAATGTTGTCAGACTGTAACTGACACTTACTATTTCAGTACCATATTTTCTTCTAATGGACAGCCAATGTAGGCACGTGACTGAGGGTGGGCTGAAGAGGGCCTTCATTCTAGGACTAATTCTCACGTGCTTGGGAGTCACTAAGCCATTTATGGTATGCCAAGAGCTCCTCCGTCTGAAAATTATGTTTCGCTGTGACCGTCCACCGGTATTTTGGTGGTCACAGACAGTCAGACATAAGTTAGACATCATCCCTGCTCTTGAAGAGCATAAGGGATTGGTACCTACCGGTACACGGACCCGGAGTATACTGGATGATCCCAATTCACTTACTTCATCAGCTACTTACTTTCTCCTCCAATCCCTCAGCTATTGCTGACCTATTTACATCTACAGGCACTTACTCCCTAAACTTCTTACTTTCTCATTTACTTCCCCATCTACTCATCTTTCCATTTCGTGATCAGCTCACTTTAGGAACTACTGCATGATGGGTGACGCAGGATCCGCTGCTCCGACCGCTGGGAGTGCAAGTACTCAAAGAAAGTCCATCGGGAGTCCAGTCTATGAACTGGATCCTGATGGCGACGTTACCCTGGTAGTGCATGATGTTCCGCAAGACCTTCCCAGCGACCTGAAGGACCTAACACCGGAACTCCTTGCGGGAAACTCAAAATCTCCAAAGCAGACAACATCCGGACAAACGGCGGAACAGCGGCCACTAAGCCTGCGAGCTTCATCCAAGCACTTGGGGCTAGCATCTCGGTACTTCTCACGGATGTTCAAGAGCGGGTTCCGCGAGGGCAACGAGCTCCGCAATAACGGCCATATTGAACTTGTCATCAAACATGAAAAAGCCAATGGCATCGCATTTTTAGTGCTCATGCTTATCATTCACTGCCGGAACTCTCAGGTCCCACGCGTGGTATCAAGAGAAATGTTAACAGCATTTGCCGTCCTTGTTGATTATTACGACTGTTGTGATGCAGTCGAAGTATTCTCGGACATGTGGATTGCAGCTATCGAGCAGGGTCGTATCGGTTACGTCCACCAGGCATTGGACTGGCTACTGATCTCATGGGTTTTCTCTAAAGACGCTCGCTTCAGGGAATCATCGGGAGTGATAATTACCGCCTGTAACACTACGATCACCGCTAACGGACTGCCCATTCCTGGGGCAATAATAGGTGAGTTGCTGTTTTGATTATGATCCATGTCCGCGCTTTGTTCACTAACTCGATTTGCGCGATTTAATAGACATGATGGATAACAAACGAACCAGCTTCCTACAGATCTTGATTGATGACTTGCATAAGCAACTCATTGGATCTGCTTTAGACTGCCTAAAGCATTCTAAAGGAGGAAATAGAGAAATATGCACAGCTTCAGTTTTCGGGACATTTACAAAGCGGATGGTAGACCTTGATATTCTGACACCAAAGCCCCAGAGCCCCTTTCCCGGAATTCAGATATGGAAACTCCTGAGTGAATGCAGTGCTACAAAAATGCAGTCCCCGTGCATCACCGATTCCCACTCCCCTCATGATCGTTGCCGTCTGTCGGCTCGGATGAGCCAAGTTTTGCAATCTCACCCAAAGCCAGCCGGGCTCGAGTTGAATATGTTTAGGGAGGGCAAACCCCCTTCCAAGAAAGTACGCCCAGAGGCATAGACTTTCTGTTATGCAACCTGGCCGGAAACGAAAACCTGTTACCCCTTCGGTGCGGCATGGGTCACGCCAGGACGAGCAAACGATTAGGCATTGAGGTTGCCGCTCTCTGGGATGACGCTAGCCACGGTCAAAGGAGGATGGATTGGACGTGGCCTGTTCGGCCAAAGCTTATGTTACTTTTTGGAATCTGAGGCACAGAGATGAACCTTGGGCTTGGGACGCACCTTGATTTCAGGAGATGATCGTTTGGTTGGTTTTCCGTTCCCCGTCAGTCGTACGCTGTGAAACTAATACTGCAGCCACAGCCCATTCAAGGGGTCTATTTCCATACCGTTGGGCCCTGAATATGGCCATCAGAATAGGTTAGCTTTAGTCAAACATCGTGTGAAATAGTCAAGCCCGGCGCTGCAGCATATGTACTACCTTGATGCCCATAAGAGCGTGCAAGGGAATACATATAACTACCTGAACACGTCACTGAATACAATTGGTTGACCATCATCCTATGGCCATGACATCGAAGGAGATCCTGCGTGTTCGAAGGTATCAGGGCTGTATAGATGCCTGGAGTCACGTGCAGTACCGGTAACCGTAGGCATCTCAGGAGCGGATCGAGGGCACTTCCGTTACAGTGTTGTCAACAATCCACCGACCTGCGGTACCTAGTACATTTATCTACCTGGGCACCCTGACGATCCTCAGCTACTACTTTATCTCCGCGGATCTTAGTACCACCGTTGACATCTTTATCTGACGCCAACAGCCTGTGCCATGGCAACTAATCCGGATCCAGCACTTCCCCGCATTGGCACCCTCGCATCGGCCGTTGATAAGCTGCACCAGCCAATGTAACATGGCGAGTCTTGTCGCTCTTGACTCTGCCACGGTGAGGTGGGGGCTAGATACTGATGACACCGGAGATAGAGGTCTTGGTATGGTCGATGATACGATAAGCTATCTTGCTTCTGTCAAGATATCCTCCGCCATGACGAACAGTTATCTATCCCTTGCATCGGCCCTTTCCTGGTTGCCAAAACTCGCCGATTTCCTTTCATTCAGGTCCGGTCTGAGCGACACCAATAGCTCCGGATAAAGGGGACATATATCAAGCTATGGACTCCAAGTCGCCTTCTTCTGCGGTCGACGCGCCTGTGTCTGCCGGACGAGACTCCTTCCCGGATGAGGATCCCAGCAGCAAGAATGGTTATGCTCCTGGGGTTGTTGAGAATGTTGCCCGTGTTGTTGATCATAAGGCTGAACGGGCGCTTTGCCGTCGGTTTGATCTGCGGTTGATGCCAGTGTTGGCGATTATGTGTGAGCATCTTGTACAACCCACGAAGAATGGCCAGTCGCTGACTTGGCGGATAGACCTTTTCAATGCTTTGGACAAGGGAAATCTTGGTAACGCTGAAACAGATGGGATGAGCGATGGTATGTACTTTAGACATTTATTGCTCTGCCGCTGCTGACAGATTAGACCTCAATTTCAAACCCGGACAATACAACCTGCTACTGTCTATCTTCTTCGTCCCCTATGTCATCTTTGCGCCGCCTATTGCCATGCTAGGCAAGCGATTCAGCCCGGCAAGGGTGCTGCCAATCCTGATGTTCAGCTTCGGCTCCTTCACGCTCATTGCCTCGTCCGCGAAAAACTTCGGCGGCATGTTTGCGCTGCGTTGGTTCCTGGGCATGGCAGAGGCTGCCTTCTTTCCGCTGGTCATTTACTATCTGACCACCTTCTACCGCCGTGCCGAGTTGGCGCGCCGTCTAGCTCTCTTCTACGCAGCCTCCAACATCGCCAACGCCTTCGCCGGGCTGATCGCGTTTGGAGTCTTCCAGATCGAGAACACGCCCATGTCCCAATGGCGATATCTGTTCATCATCGAAGGTAGCGCCACTGTCGCTTTCTCCATATTCGCTTTCTGGTACCTCCCGCGCAGCGCCTCCGAGGCCAAGTTCCTCTCCGCAGACGAGAAAGCCCTCGCATTTCACCGTATCCAGGTCGATTCTAGCGCAGTCGTCAATGAGAAGTTCAACTTCCGCGAAGCCCTTGCCATCTTCCGCCATCCAACAACCTACGGCTTCCTCGCCATTGAGATCTGTCTCGGAGTCCCACTGCAGGGCGTATCCCTCTTCATGCCGCAAATCATCCAGCGACTCGGCTACTCAACCGTCAAGACCAACCTCTACACCGTCGCTCCGAACGTGACAGGCGCTGTCATGCTTTTGATTCTTGCATTTAGCTCCGACGCCGTCAAGCTCCGTTCTCCCTTCATCGTGCTAGGCTTCCTCTTCACCTTCACGGGCTTCATGATCTACGCCTCCATCTCGGATGTTCAGGCCAAAATCCAGCTCGCGTATTTTGCCACCTTCATGATGACGTGGGGTACCTCCGCGCCATCAGTCCTGCTCAGTACCTGGTACAACAATAACATCGCGCACGAGGGCCGGCGTGTCCTGCTGACGTCCATCGGTGTCCCTCTTGCAAACCTTATGGGCCTGGTCGCGAGCAACGTGTTCCGCGAGCAAGATAAGCCGAAATACATGCCTGCACTCATCACAGTGGGTGCGTTTGGGGCAACTGGTGCGGTTCTTGCTGGCTTGTTAGGTCTGTATATGGTTTTTGACAATAAGAGGAGAGACCGCAGGGATGGGATTACGGTGAACGCAACCGATGTTCCCACTGAGAGATTGCGCGATGGACCTGCTTCGAGTGAGTTTCGGTGGTTCCTGTAATTGTCTTATAGCATGTGGCAAGCAAGCAGCACACCACCTAGCCATTAGCATCACGCAATTGAGAGATCACCACTTGAATTACCTTAATGAATCCATACCATTGCATTGTATCATGCACCTCGGAGGTTAACAACGCCAGTTAACAGCGCCACAAGCCACAACCAAGTCCAACAACCTCACCCCGCATTTCCTCCGACCCCTCCACAACACTGGTCACCGGTATTCAGGCATCAGCTGCCCATCCTGCATATCCAATTCCTGCCTAACCCTGGCACCGGGCCCCAGAGCTCGAATCAAACATGCCCTTAAGCCTCTCCCTCTCACGCCCCAAAAACAAGCCCCGCATCAGCATAACCCTCCACCCGCGCGGCAAGAACTCCATAGGCGAGAACCGCGCGCGTCTAAAATATTCCGCGTTCCACTGGGGCGTTCTTATCTCGCCAAAACACGCTTCACAGCCAAGCGGGGTGGGAGAGCATGTGTCCGCACACGTGCATTTCGACGTCACGGACTCAATATACGTTGACCCCGTCACGGGCGAGAGCAGCGATGCTTGGCGGTTTCGGGTGAGGAGGTCGACGGACCCTGTGGGCGAGTTTAGGATTTTGGGGCGGGTTGAAGTGGGGAAGGTACCTCTGCTGTCTTCTGGATCTGGATCTGGATCTCGATCTGGATCTGGGGTCGGGTTCGAGGAGCTGGTGGAGAGGGTTCGAGAACGACTCGGTGCGATCCCGTTGCCTAGGAAGGAGTTCAGGCAGGAGGAGAACTGTGTTAGTTGGACGAGGGCGGCGATTGGGGGGCTGGGGGAGATGGGGGTGCTTGGGTTAGGTTTAGGGGAGGGCTTTGAGATTGAGGAGTTCATGGATGTTGCGCTGGGGTTTGCCGATGAGTGTTTGGCTAGCCTGGGGGAGAAGGGGATGGGGCGTGTGCTGGATTATAGGCCGGGGGTTGGTAAGAGAGTGAAATAGAAGCTGATTGGGGTTATGCTGAGGGGGATATGTTCTACAGTTAGGTACCTTCAGAGACGCGATTTGACTGACGTGCTCGCGCTGGCGATGAACTTGCGTTGCGATGATGATGTGCAGTGCAAGACTGTCCGTAGGAGAGATTCGCAGACTGAGCTTCTCTTGTTCTCAACAAGAACTTCGGCCTTCAAGAAAGCATTTCTGGAGCTAGGAATGACGAGATATTCAATGAATAGTGAACAAATTTGAATCAGATGATCAAGCAAACGCTCGCATATGGGCCATCCATGGGGCTCAAAACGCCGTCGCCTCACGAAAAGCAAAACGAGTTGCAATAACTGAAAGCCCATGTAAACTGCCTGGTGTAGGTCGATCGGCTCGCTCCAATTCGAAACGTTTGAGCATGACCCACGACCGGAGAAAGCACCCCTGTAGAAAGGCCGGGAAAGATGACTGCTGGTATGGTCGCCATAACTTTAGACCAGCTGTTGCTCAGTCGGAGGTCCAGTTCTCGCTCAGAAAGCAACGATGGAATCCACGCGTGTTCGAACGTAAGAAGGATTTTCGGCTCGACAAGTCCGTCCTGGAATTGAGGTCAATAGATCACGTAGCTGCTAGTAGGCGTCCCATCTCCAGGTACTCCGGTAGGACGTCCGATCGAAACCATTTCAGCCGAACAAAGGCGAGAGTATCATTGAAGTCTAGTATACACGGAAACTGCCGAGGGAAAGCAACTAAAAACCAAGGGGACGAAGTCGTTTACCGTCCGGGCAGCTGGCCGCTCTGCATCATGGCGGCGTTCTGTTCCTGGAAGCGCTCGTTCATTCGCCCGGATGACTTCATGATTTTGTCCACACAGCGCATGACACAGCCTTCCTCGCGGGCGATGAGCGATTTGGTGGTGAAGTCGTTGACGCAGTCGTCGAAGCACCGTTGGACAAGCTTGGAGTACATCTAGATAGGAATGCGTTAGTAGTGAGCGGCAGGAAAATGTTGACTTGCATCGATGATGCTAGAGTAAAGAGGGTAGATTCATACGGTCATGAATTCCTTCATCTGCTTCCGCTCCATGCGGTTAGCCAGCTCGCGCTGCTCAGAGGCCGTAAGTCTGGGCAAGTTAGCGGAATTCTGATGATGCAACTGGGCTGATTTGGTTGCGTGGTTGCGTGGTTGAAAGCGCGAGGTTAAGCAAGTACTGACCCGTCCATTGTGATATAGGGTATGAAAAGAGAAGATGGGGATGCAAATGTGGAGGAGTAGTTGCGGACAATAATTGTTCTGACACTATCCCGACCAAGCTCCGGAGCTCAGAGTCCGCAAGCTCTTCAGTCACGTGCTGCCAGCTTACTAAGAGCCATAATGACTAAGCACTGACCATATCACGTGCCCCCTAAATCCGGTCAGGCGCACTATTGCCGAAAAGGGAAGACGCGAGCAGGGTTTCAGGGCTGATTACTCAGGGTTTAAAAAAAGAACTGGCCCTATCCCTGAGTCAGTCGGTCCCAATTGCAAAGCCTAGGCCTTCTCCATTCGCATCATCGTATCCATGGTTGTGATGCCTATGATGCGCACGCCGCACTGGGGAAGTTCGCTGAGACTGAGAGTGAGGTGGCCTTGAACCTCCAAGTTTTGGGATGGAGCGCCAGTCCAATTATAGTCAAGGGGAGGGAATCCTTTGCCAGCCACCCACTGGGGTAATTTCAAATATCAAATGATACGAGCTGCACCGTGCAGGGGCTGCTGTTCATTTGTTTCTGCCATTATTATTTCCTGGAGTCCTTCAACCACGCTAGCGGTGGATGCCGCGGTAACTGCAGTCTAAGTCTGTCCTCTGTAAGGTGCTGTGCGGTTTAAAAGGTCAAGGTTGCATCCAATTCAACGGTGTCGGCCCCTGGTCCTGGACTGGATGATTCTCCAGCCTGGCTGTCTGCCAATTTTTTCGATGGACACAGCGAGCCTCTGGCGTTGCGCGGAAGTCAAAAGTCGGGAGCCTGGGAGGCAAATGCTCCATGAAGATCATCCAGACCACGCACGCTCCAGTCGCCATATCGAGAAATAGATTAACTCTACGTGGGCTACGGACAAGCCAGCCGGCGAACAATTCTCTGCAACGGGCAGCGGCACATTTCAAGACCAAGTAGTTTACGGTTCTGCTCTTGGATATGACCGTATCACGGTACCTGTCTCAGACTGCAGTGTCTGGATCCCCGTTCCAGAACGACCGCCAGGCCGCAGACTCGAACTAGGGCAGGTCCCTTGCCCATTTTCGGCTCAGTAGGGTCTAGGGACTCCAAAGGGCCTACGTAGGCGTAATAAAACTCGAACATGCAATCGAGATGAAGTAGCAACGATAATAATCTCGGAATAATAAGACTCGGCGAGTGTGGATGCAGTCGTGTGTGCTGCCAGTCCGTTGGTCCTCCACCCACCGCTCCATCCACTTCTGAATGTCATTCTTTCCCATCTTCAGTTCTTCATCTGCTGTGGACACTCCTCTTGGACTCTGATCATCTTCCGCTGAACCCTGCTTTGTTCCAAACAAACTCGAGGGGGCTAAAGTTCCCTGTCAGCTTGTGGTTGACCACTCGGTTTGACTGGCTGCCTCTGTTTCTGCCTCTGCCTCGTGCTTCGACCTTTCACCCTTTCTTACACCTCCCTTCCCCCTTCTCATCGACCGCCACCATTTCGACTTCTCCCTGGACTCCTCTCCTTCTACCTTCCGAGCGTTAACTCTGCACCGTACGAGTGATTCCCCGAACCTGTCCTGTATCCGCTTCGTCGACGCTACTCCTACCTTTGCCACGCTGGGCTGCCGCGGCCTGCGCGCTACTCGACCCCGGGCTCCTGTGCTATTTTGGGATCATCGTCATCCCAGCCCCAGGTTTCTCTGCGCGTCGACGCCAGTGACGAAATAGTTGTCGGTCAGCCATCCGCTATAACCTTGAATCCTCGATCATACTCCGCCGCACATTCTCAGTCCTGCTGTATCCAAAATGGTGACTGGAAAACCGGCTGAGCCGTTTCAATCGCTTCCGCCAACGGCGTCCCAGCGCGAAGCGTCACCTGCCTCCCCTCCGTCGAGACGAGACCTTACAACTTGGTGGAGGCAGTTCAAGAGGAACACTAGAAAGGAGGAACCGAAAGGTACGTGCGGAGGCAATGTCCGATCAAATCCCTCTTAGATGCGACGATTTGGGCGTGCCGGCACTGCGATGAGCTGGGTAGTTTCGGTTGGAGCTCAGTTGTCGTTAATCTATTGCCTTTTCTATCGTCCTACATCCTGGATCGCCGTCTTCTACAAAATTCACTGCACTTGAGTTTGCTCTCTCAGCGATCCTACCGTGCTAACAATTGTGCCCAGAAAAAGTACAGCAGGGTATTTTCGGTGTCCCTCTCAAGGTCAGCATCAAGTATGCGAACGTCGCCATCTCCCTCACAAACGACAATGGGGAAAGTTTCATCTACGGCTACGTGCCCATTGTGGTCGCAAAATGTGGAGTGTTCTTGAAAGAGAAAGGTACAGATTCGTGATCTCTTTGTTTACGGTCGGCGCTAACCTGTGTGTCTTGTTAGCGACCGACGTCGAGGGAATCTTTCGTCTCAACGGATCTGCGAAGCGCATCAAGGATCTACAGGAGATCTTCGACTCCCCAGAACGTTATGGCAAAGGCTTGGATTGGACCGGGTATACCGTGCACGATGCTGCGAATGTTCTCCGACGATACCTCAATCAGCTGCCGGAACCCATTGTTCCCTTGGAATTCTACGAGCGATTCAGAGAACCTCTGCGCAAATTCCAATCTCAGGCCCAGGAAAAAGGGCCTTCTCAAGAATCGGAGGCCGCAGAGCATTCTAAAGCTGTCGCCGCTTACCAGCAGCTCATCAGGGAGCTGCCCCCGCTCAACAAGCAGCTACTGCTTTACATCCTCGATCTCCTGGCGGTCTTTGCGTCCAAATCCGACCAGAATCGAATGAACTCTGCCAACCTGTCCGCCATCTTCCAACCCGGATTGCTCTCTCATCCGCAGCACGACATGTCGCCGGACGAATATAAACTGAGCCAGGATGTGCTGATTTTCCTCATCGAAAACCAGGACCATTTCCTTGTGGGTATGAACGGCACAGCCGCTGATGAACAAACTGTCAAGGAAGTCGAATCTGGCAATGCTCGCCCACCGACGTCCCAATCGAACATACGACGCTCCGTATCTAGTGCCAGCGCGGGAGCTGACAGCTTCAAGAAGTACGAGTCGTTACGGAGAAATGTTTCCGTATCTTCGAGGAACTCACGCACATCCAACAATGTTTCCAACCCCGCGACTCCCACCACCTTGGGTGCAGTGGGAGTGCACAGGAGCAACACATTACCGTCCAAGATGTCACCTGCGATGCGCCACAGTCGCGTCGCCGAGTCCACGAACTCTCCCGGAACGCCGGCACACCTATCTCGATCGTCAAGTCGCACGCCCCCATCTACCGGGACGGCTTTGCAATCCCCACCGCCGCCCACTACCGTTCAGGTAACACCTGGGATCGCATACATACACTCAGCCACCCATGGACCAATGCCAAAATCTGAAGCTGAGAAATTGCATGAGAAGCCTCAGCACGTCAACTTGCCGCCCCCTACAGCGTCACTCGCTCCCGCTGTTGTTACACCGACAAGGGAGCGTAAGCTCTCAAGTTTCTTCACAAAGTCTCCACCGCCGAGTGGGGAACCGAAGGACCCGCGGCAACCAAATAGGTTAAAGAAGAAGCGGATTCCGGGAAGTGCAAACGAAAGCGCGCAAAGCTCTGCCATCTCACTTCAAGCCGCGACCTCTGAATCGGCGCTGCTTGCATCTCAAGTGCCGCCACGATCGGAATCCTCGCAGGACGACGGAGGCGCAACCCCAAAGCCATCCAACAATGCAAGCGTCGAGGATGGGGATTCTCAGCGGGTGGGAAGACCTGAGAAGAGGATAAGCCAGACAGAAAGTGGACACCCTATCGGGGATGCCCTACGACCCCACGGCTCACGGACGCCATCTATGAACTCGCGGTCATCGTTCACGGATTATTCCGATGTTGACCACACCGATGAAGCGACGCGTAAAGAGCATCGCCGAAGTTGGCGATTCCCCCGAACGGCCAAGCGAAGCAATGAACAGATTGGCCTTGGCTTGGGGTCGCCCCCTCTTACCGCTTCAAGCCCTGGAGCAGACCGCAGTACGAGCTCGATCAGTAGCTGGCATCAGTCGAGCAAGAGCTCCCCGTCCGACCTTCAGCAGTTTGCGAACGATCCTTCTTATCAGCCGCTGAGCTTGGATGCGGAAGTTCACAACAATGGTGCTCCCAAGGAGATTCCTGCTGCAGAGCCTGAGAAGCGAAGTCTCTTTGGGAAGTTCAAGGCCAAGGTTGCCCAGGTTCGAGACGGTGTTCGAGAGTCATCTGAGAGGGATCGGACACGAAGCCCTGTTTACTCTGACGACGCTGCGTCGAGCCAGAACCTATCGCTTCCTGGCAGGGACAACCACAGTCCTCGGCCGGCTCCGATTGACGTCACTCGGGAACCGAGAGAAGCACAGGTGGTCACTCCAGTCTCTCCTCTGCCCAGCTCCGGACTACCCCCGGCTATCCCTGAAGAGCCTCCCACTCCCGACAGTCCTGTCTCGCCGATTAACCCTGTCGAACAAGCAGCTGCTCAGTTAGATGGAGTGGTTGAGCACAAAGCTGAAGAAAAGGCCGCTGAAAAGGCAGCCACTGAAGAACTGACCCCTCCCGCCTCCGAGGCGCAGGCACCTGTAACAGATGTCAAAAAAGAGGCTGAGACGCCCGAGGCGACCCCTACCACGCAGTAAAGATGTGAGCTCGACCTATCCTCACCGTGAGGATTTTGGATAGACTACATTGATTGAGAAACTCGTACTTCACGATAGATGGCTTGATTTGCGATCTCTTTCTTCTTTGCCGTTATCTATGGATTTGGTTTTCGGGAGCCGGTTTCCTTTGTATTTCGTTGGACGAGGCGTGGGATGTATGCTTAGCTTTGGCTTCATGTTCTCGCTGACTGTTCTCATACCCCACCCCTGATGCTCGTTACGGCTCACGATTGATGTATTGTTGCTTCCGAAAACTGTTCTCTAGCTTGCTGCTAAAATCATGATTCTCAACTTTCTTCAAGTACAACTGCTGTAAGGCGTAGCCCAACCTCGGCAAGAAAGATGGCAGTGACACCTCAGCCCTCAGGCACCAGAATCCCCACGGAACAAACCAATCAAACAGCAACAATTATTTGCAGCTCCCCCGTCGCATCTCCGGCACTTCCATCCGCAAACAATCACCGCAGCACGAAAAGTTGACTCAACAACCTCATCGAACCGGCGCCCGGCGCCTCAATCACTCCCTCTCACCATCAATCCCTCCTCAAAGCTCGCTCGAAGCCCAATCCCCCACAATGGCCTCCACCACACCCCCAACCCCCGCTCCAAACACAGCACCCCCGAAACCAAAGCCCTCGCAACCCCCCGTCTCAATCCTCCCCACGCAATTCGCCCGCGCCTACGCCCTCGCCCATCCAGCCCTCCTCCTCTCCCTCGTCGTCTACCGCTTCACCTCCGTCGTCGAGAACCCCATCGCCGAGCTGCTGGGCGATATACCCTACCTCGTTGGCCTGCAGGCCGTCTATGTCATGGGGTGCCTGCCCCCCGCAGGCAGCGAGAAGGATCCCTCGGGTTCAGGCCCCGATGCAAGCGAGCACAAAACGATCAAGAAGAGCGCTAGTATAAGCGCGCTCCGGCGTCGCGGGAAGGCTACTGGTAGCGCTTCGTGGTCGACGGGGTTGGTGCTGGTTGCGTGGAAATTAACCGTATGCTAACGTCCCCAACCATTTTCTTTCCCTCTGCTACAAAGTCAGATCGAGATAGCTAACGTGTCTTCGTGATGTGACGTGTAGCCCGCCCTCCTCTCCCTAACGCTCACAGCCCTCCTCGCAACACCCGTCCTCGCAATCCTCCTCATCCTCTTCGGCGCCCCCTTCACAACACACCACGCCCTGACCTTCCTGTGCGCCGCGCACATGGCGCTCCTTTCGTCTTTCCCGCTTATCTATACGCACGGTGTAGACGGAACTGTATGGAGGGAGGTCTGGGGCGCGGCTCGGCCACTCGATGCCGTTTGGGGCGGTGCGCTGGGGACGTGTATTGGTGCTTGGCTGGGCGCGGTGCCGATTCCGTTGGATTGGTAGGTTCACAAAACATTCTTTTTCTGTTTCTTGTTGTTGGTGCTTGCTTTGAGGGCCGCTGGACTGACTTGTTTTGGTTGTGCTGTAGGGACCGCCCGTGGCAGGCGTATCCGATTACGATTCTGACCGGGGCTTATATTGGGTATGCGGCTGGGATGCTGTTGGGCAGGGCTAGGGGGTTGTATGGGAAGAAGGTTCAGTTTGCTCCCGGGCCGGAGGAGCTGGCGGTGATGCGGGGGGATGTGAAGAAGCTCGAGTAAGCGAGTCAGGGCCTATACCGGGTATATTGCATTTATGGAGCATCATTGAGGCGAGAATGCTTTACATTAATCTTCTTATGTTAGATTCAGCTGTATCATTACTACTTCTTGCTCTGTTTTGTATTTATTTAAACTTATATTTTTTTCCATATTTGACCAATGATATGATATCAAATCGGGACTATTCTAGAATAGCAACCAGGCTATGCCAACGAAGTAGAAATGCTATATGTACAAGAACGCTGGGGAATCAACAGAAGATGCGGATATCAACTTAGTAGACCACCAAACAAAACGCTCACAAGGATGTACAACAGAAAGAAGAAATGGGTATGTAAGGATATGTGGTATCTCAAATCATCATCCAAATTGAAAAAAAAAAAAAAAAAAAAAAAAAAAAAAAGAAAGAAAGAAAGAAAGAAAGAAAAAGTCTAGATTGTCTCCAAGAGTGCGTTCGTCATGAAGGAGAATGATAAAGTAGCGGGCGATTAGATCATATTAGCGATTTGTATCCGGCGAGCCGGTTGCCAGGGACGAAAAGGTTTTGGATCAGCTGTGTCTCGCGAGTACATGGACTCGGAATCGCTCTTGATGTGGATCGGGGAGGGAAGATTGGCTGGTATTCGGCGCGGTGAGCTGACCGGCGACGAGTCGTCTGGACGTACGCGCATGTACTCTTCGGACTCGACACTGCGGATCGGGTACATTGTCCCGACACCCATAGAGTCTTGCGCCATTCGAGTCAGTCTCTCGATGTCTTCCCGAAGACCGGAGACTTGTTGCTCGAGGTTTCGACGCGCAGTCTGTTCGCGGCGGAGAAGCATGACCAGCGCGCTGTACTGCTGTACGGAGATGGCGCCTGAGTCACTGCTGTGCAAGGAGACCATTGACGGTGCTTGCAAGGCCCGGGCACGGTGAATGTCGCTTGGGCTTGGCCGGATGGTACTCGTGCTGAGGGGCCGCTCTGCCGACGGGAGATTTTCCGTGTCAGGAGAATCGTCGCGACTCGATGGTGGAGATTGGCCGGACGATTTGGATTTTGCAGAAGACTTTTGACGTTTATGGCGTGGTGATTGCGAGCTTTTCTGGTTCTGCGACTCTGCTGGTGTCTCTGCACGCCCGCTTTGCATCCGAGCAATCGCAAACTCTAGGTCGATGAGTTTTACCTCCAGTGTGGTCATCCGTTGGTCCAGCGAAGCGTTGTCGTCGTTCTGCATAGAGCTGATGAGTTCTCCGACATTAGGAGATAAAATTGGAGGCACGGGCTCGTCTTCAGGTTCGTCCTCTACTTCGTCCTCCACCTCAGAAGCCGACATTTGCGCGGATGGTTTAGATGTAGAAGCGGTGCCTACGGTGGACGGAGTAGGTGGGCGCGACGAATCACTATCAGAGCCAACACCACACGTGGTTGACTCAAGGAAAGTTGACTCGACGCTCCGCCGTCTCTTCCACTGTATCGGAGACATACGATGATGTTCTTTTGCCAGGACACGAAGAGCGCCTGCACTCCGAGAGCGTCGCTTTACGTTTTGCATCCGACGCCGTCGGACTTCATCCGGGTCGCTATGCGCATGAGGACTGAGCTTTCTGTTGCTGGGTCTTCTCCCCGGGTGGACAACCGCTTCAAGCGCTTGTCGAGATTCATCGTCCGAGAATATTAGGCTGGGCAGAGTTGCTCGTCGCTGACGGGGTTCAGTGTCCAGCTGTTTTAACACGACGTCCAGCGTCGTCAATGTTGCGGTAGGCTGTTGAACTTGGGCACCTTGGTGTGAGCTCCCTGAGCTTGGAGATTTTGGAGACTTCTGTCGTTGAGTCGTCGGGAATGAACTATTATTAAAGCTGAAGTCCGAAACGGGGTCATCCATCTCGTCTGTCCGACTCCGCCGATTTCGGGTGAAGATCTTCTTCATCACGGTCTTCAGTGTGCTTCCCGTCCGGCGGTGGCCACCCAGCCCTCCTTGAATAGACGTGAGATTCTGTGGGTATGGTAATCTTGGAAGTCCACCCTGTTGTCGGCGTGTTGACACCACCAGCTCTTTGGAGCTCATCGGAGGCAGCGCGGTGTCGAATGATTCGGCATCGTTTGTGATAGCCGGAGCGGAATAGTCTGTCTGACTGACAGGGCTCCGGACGGAACTACTCCGCCCGATGGGTCTAGACATTTTTCTTTCGAGAGGCATATATAGATCAGTGAAATCGATGTGGTCTCAGTGGAGTAAATGCGCGCACTCAGGTCGAGGGGTATCGAGTGAGATAAAGAACGTGTCTCTGGGAGAATCGAGGGCCGACAGCGGTATCTTTTGGGCATTAACAAAGAAATTACTATTGCATCAACGAGGTGTAAGCGAGCGTCGGCGAAGAGAGTTGGTGTATATGAAACTTTCGGCTGATTGAAGTGGTTACAGCGAAGAATATCTCGGATTGGTGGGCTAAAAGTAGGACCAAACAAGGGTCAGACAAACGAACGGAGCGCTGTGAGAGGGGTATAGTTACCTTGGCAGAAGGAATTCCAGGCATAATCGGGCGTCAAGGGTAGATATGATGAAGATCCAGCTGATGAGTTGTCTGGGGTACTCGAAGGCCGAGTATATGTAGTGGCGCGCGTGGCGGCTGACCAGCAAGGTTTAACGAAAGACGGTAGAAGGAACGTGGAAGCAGCAGCTAAAAGACGATCATAGGCCTAAATAAAATCACAGAGCTGCAGAGCTTGCTCGTCCGACAGGCTGAAGCAAGGCAGGCCAGGATCCAAGACAAGGAGGGCGAATAATGCAGCTACGCCCGGTAAAGATCAAAGCGGTAGCTCCGGCTCTCCGGGTGCAAAAAGAAAAGAGAGACGGGGCCGGTGGAGCTTATCAGACGGGGCGAGGCGCAGAAGAACTCATGTCAAGCAGAGAGTGGTGGATGCTGAGTCGTGGTGCATAGCCGGAGAGGCGGGCGTTTGAGATATGTGGAGGTGGGCCAATAGAGGGGAGAGCTCAGGCACAGCTCGGACGCGATGACGAAGGAATAATTGGACAAAAGAGTTGTTGGGAATGATCAGAAGACGATAGCTGAGAAGATTGACTACCAAAAAACGAGAGAACAGCGCGAGAACTAGAAAGGAGAGCGGATGGAGGGGAAATTGCAGAAGATGGAGGGCGGAGTGTCTGTGCTTGTTTCAGATCGCGTGTTTGAGGATTCCCGTGCCTGAGCCAAGTTAGTCAGTACGGACGACGGAGACACACAGCGGTGGCCAGACCGCCAGTCCTGCGCTTTATACACATTATGAACAATATGAAGAAGCAAATCATCTGATTCACGGATTTACACAGGGGTATTTTGTGGTCTTGCAATGATTTGCACATGCATCGTCAAACTAACCTCAGGAGTGGCTAGGGGTGTTTCCGTGGTTCAACTGCTCGTATACCTGTGGAACCTTAATGCCTCATAGGACACAATATTTAGACGCTATGGATTGTCCTTTTCGTTCACCTGGACACAACAAGGAATCCAAACACCGAATAAAAGAGGCAGCTTTGCAATGGATGCTCAGCCCGAGACCTCAAGTGCGTACTGCGTACCTGAGCTGCTGAGCCCACCAGCGAAGAGGATGCACGTGCCTGCTCCACCAGCGTGCTGTCACGGTGTTCTGGAACGACTCCATTGCAGTAGTGTCGATGACGGCATGTCGCGCGCTCCACAGTCTGTTTCGTCAACGGACTCGTTGCTATCTATGCTCTGGGTTCCGACGACAACCATCTAGACTCCGTACCCATGACGAGGTCAGTCAGTCCACAGTTGCTGCCTGATAGTAAGACTTGTCTTACTCCGAGTCGCTGCCCTTCTTGACATCATGAGTTCCAAGGCTGCTCTCGTCAGCAAGCACGTATCGAAACACGGATTGGGCTGCGTTTCAGGAATCAGCGCGATCTTCTCTTCCTTCTCCGCCACCATCGCACGCCGCATGAGGGTGTGTAGCGGTCAGACAAAGCCAGTCAGATGGGGCGCTTGAAGCCACAGTCGGCTCTTACCGTATTCCGTATATTGGTTTCTTGGTTTCGAGGTCCGTGAACCCGGAATTTGGAGACCTGAAACAGCTAGAGGATCTGCCCTACCGATCTAACCCCAGCATCCCGGGGGTTGTCCGTGACTGCAGCTCTGGAGTATACAGTACATTATACAATTCAGGGTGTTGTCCGTGAGTGTCTCCATAGAGTGTCACTTCGAAACAGCCCCAAAATCGGGCCGTAGCTGATCCCAGCTTTCAGTGTTGTTTTGACAGGCAAGTTCGCACAAAGCACGGTCAAGAGCCAGCTTCCCGGTGTGCCAAATCGTTTCAAGGGCACCCGAGCATGTCCGGTCCCTTTGAAGATCATGGCTCAAGAGTCGTAACTGTATCCGGATAAAGGTCATCGGGGCGATCATCCAGGATCTCAAATCTTCAAACAAAGAGGTCGGTGGGCGTACTACCTTGCCATATCCAGCCTCCGGGTCCTCATGCATGCAAGTGGAGAGTCGGGCAAGGACCGAAAGTTAGAGAGTCAGGGACTGTACGGACTTCACAGCAGTTCTCCCGCGTCGGGATAGCGCAAATCTGAATGCTCTTCTAGATACGCCATCCATCGTTTGAGAAATCCACTTCCTCTGTTACGGAAACGGAAAAGGTCAGTGCTCTATCTCATGCAGAAAGCCAGCTGTTGATCGCAGCAAACTCAAAGGGCAACTCACTTGCTTATGGTCTCCGAGTCTCCACAGACACAGAGATGTCTTTTGGGCCGAGTCATAGCCACTGAATCTCGTCAGAGCTTCTTAGAACAGTAAGAGTCATGCATGGAGGACATACCGTTCAATCGCCGCTTCTCTCCCAAAAAGCCAACTTCGTTTTCGCTGTTACTGCGGACGAGACTGACCACAACGGCCTCCTTCTCGCGGCCTTGGAATCCATCGACACTGCCCAGTTCCAAATCGGGGTATTTCTCCCGTAGCAACTGGGACAACGCAGCCAGCTGACCATTGTATGGAGTGATGACAGCTATGTCTTCAGGCCGCACACCAGCTTGCACCAAATTATCCACATGCCTTGCGACAACCAGAGCTTCCATCTCATTACTCTTACTCTCACTAAGGAGACCTTCCTTTTTCGCAACGTCCTCATCTTCAACCTTCTCTGTGAAGTCTCCTCCTTGCGTATCCCAAAATACCACAGGCTCTTTGGTATCATCAGTTTCCTGGACCTCGTAGGGTAGATCCTTCAATAGCCGGGACTTGACATTGTCGGCAGCGACGAGCTTGGACTCGTACAACTCATCTGACGGAAACCGCATAATCTTCTCATGCATCCGGTACTGCGTAGTCAGCATGCGTTTGATCCCTGGTCCATGCATTGATAAGAGCCGATCAAACAGCGTCTTCTCAAGAGAGAAGCCACCGACTGCATCCTTATCGCCGTTCTCGTCCGCTTCCTTTGTTTTCTGCGGAGCGGACTTGACGGTAGGCGGAAGCTGCAGATGATCACCAGCAAGAACGACCTTTGGCGCAGAGAGCAATGAGATCCAGCACTGAGCTTCCAATGCCTGGCTAGCTTCATCGATGATGACTACATCGAATTTCTGATTCTTCAGCTGGTGGCCTCCCGCGCCGTGTAGAGTGGCGAGTACAACACTGCTCTCACGGACTAGGTTTTCCACGCACTTCGACTCCCGTTCTCGAAATTCTTTGCGTAGTTCCTTGATGTCCTGATAAATCGCACGTTTTTCCCTGCCAAACCTTGTCTTCCGGATACTAGCGTGCTTTTCATCGATTTCCTTCCGCACGTCCCTCACGATAGCAGCAGCATCAGATGTTTGAGTCAACACCTCCAGCGAGTGGTCAAGGACTGAGGGCAGCAAGCGGGCCGGGTGGCCAATTCGCACAACAGGGACCTTGTTCGGAGCCAGCCTTTCAACAATATTGTCCACCGAGATATTCGACGGCCCGCATACAAGCACTCGGAGGTTCCTTTTGACCATTTGAGTAATCAGCTCAATCAGGGTGTGCGTCTTCCCCGTTCCCGGAGGTCCGTGGATGAGGGCAATATCTCGAGAAGCAAGGGCGAATTTGATTGCCTCTTTCTGAGAGACATTCAATGTCGGGTCGATAAACTCAATCGGTCCGGAGGCCTCGTAGTCTGGCTGGATAGGGGTTGTATGCCCAAAGGCAACTCGCAGGAAATGCGTATGTTCAGACTCGGTCATCTTTCCCATCTTCTCCATGGTTTGTTTCATCCTGTAGGATATCTAGATCAGCTCCAGCTCCCCACATATCCGAATTCATAGGCTTCCCGAGAACGTACCGTCTGTAGGTAACATCGTTTGCAAGCTTAATACTGCAATCCTCCAGTCAGCAATTGCACAGATATCCGCACGGAGCTGCAGTATAAAATCCCAAGGCCTGCAAAATAGGGAACATACAACCAAAGTTTCTTCCCATACAATTCCTCAATAACCTCCTCGTCTTCCTCCTTCGAACGCCCACCTCCCCCGCGCTGCCCAAAAGCAACCCAGATGCTACTCTCGCCAACCCTCGTTACAACACCCTCCGGTCCCTTCGCTGAGTCCCCATCCTTCTTCTTATCCTTCCCAGAAGCCACAACCTTCTTCCCCGTACCCCCAGCCTCATTAACTCTGACAATATCCCCGACTCGAATCCCATGCGTACCAAGCTTGAGCTTCCCATTCGCAGCAAGATTCGACTTCGCATCAGCATCGTCCTTCCCCTTGCCCTTTGTACCCCCAGCCGATATAGCCGCATCGGCCGTGAATTCGCCGACGAGACGGCCTCCCATGCCGGTGCGGCATTGCGAAAGGATTATCCCCGTTAGCGCATGGCCGGTGGCTTGAAGGGTGCGGCGGGTCGATGGCGACGCGGAGGCTGTGTCTGCGAGTTTGGAGGAGGAGACTTCGGCTTCGTGCTCTTTTAGGAGGAGCTGTTGTTGGGCTTCGGCGAAGATGGGTACAGAGATTGGTGTTGGAGCCATTAAGGCTGGGTGGGGGACAAGGGCGGCGTTTGGTTTGGAGGCACGAGCTTTTCTGGTTCTAGATCCTGATAATGAGTGCGCGAGGGTCAGGCTTGTCAGTTTCTAGCTCAATTGGAGACTTGGGAGATTGGAGCTCGTGCGGGGAGAGAAAACAGTTGACTGTGACCTCATTTTGTGCGTACATATTGCTTAGTCATGTCTACATATCTCCGAATTATGCGACCATGATTCTTCATCATTGACTGTTAATGAACTGTTTTCAAGCGCAGGTCGCACACGCCGTGATCACTGCTTATCATATGACCAAGTGATATTAGGGTGCGCCTTACTCTGCTGTGTCAGTGTAAGGAATGTTGGAGTTGTACCTTTACTCTAACTTGGTGGGAAATATATAGTTTCATCACGATGAGTACAATGACCTTAAAAATGGTAAACAATGGCATTTCATTCCACTGGGATGGATTAAATATCTCTCAGAGTTCATCTTTATTTTTAAAACAAGAAAGCTCGAAGCCGATATTGGGTATAAGTATGCACGTTAAGACATGAGATGTGACATGGTCATGAAACTGACGATATATGATGATTGATGCAGGCAACAAATCAGGGGGAATGCATCATGCGAGGGAAATCAAGAGTAAGCAATGAAACAAACGCCGACACATAGAAGGGGAAAACTGGAAGTCTAGGGGATTCGCCAGCAAAGAGGAAAATGTTCTGAATCATGGAAAGTTCTCCTGAGTGATCCGAGCAGACATGGGGTATGGACGATATCGTCCAACGCCTGTTCTGCCGACGACAGCCCGCTCCAGCTCCTTCTCAAACGAAGGGTCGTCAGCTAGATACACACGAAAGTCGCGCAAACCCTTCAACTCTGCAAAATCCTTCAGCATGCGACGCATATAAGTATTCCGACCAGCAGTGACGCCCTTGGTTCCAAGGTCGACAATACTCAGTGACAGGCGTGAAAGGTCAAAATGTTCGCGGATGAAGCGACGCAAAACGGACCAAGAGAGTAATGAAGTTCCTTCGTATCGATGGGATTTGTGTGGAAATCTATAGACCAGAGGAAACTTGAAGGATAGATGGCGAATGTTCATGAAAGATGAAGTAGGTATTGAGCTGAAGAAACGCATAACACATTCAGGTTCGTCTTCCACAACTGTAAACCGGTTCTTCGAGAAGAACAGACGACGACAGTCCTCATAGAACGCGCGACTGACAAGGAAGTAGGGTAACGGCGAGGAGAAGCAGGTGCAGCTCGTAGAAAATGCGGTTTGACGAGCCTCACAGAAGCACCTGGCACCGAGAGGCGAGCAAGTGCCACAGCAAACAAGAGGCGAGTTTGACGTGGGCCGAAGCTTTCGATCCAAGAATCCCACCATCGCTAGATCGCGCTCCGTGGAGGGCAAGTACGGATCAGTACGCTCGACTATGAGATGTTCGAGAATGATGAGCTGTACTTCCTTTGGCAGTTTCATAAAGGGAAAAGGAGGCCCCTCCCTGAGATTGCCGGTCAATCTCCAAGCAGCCCGCTTCAATACACGCTGAATATCATCATCTTGGTGATCAGCAAAATGAAAGGCGCAGTGTAACAGGACTGGGGCAGGGTCCAGTATGCACATTAGCCGGCTGGCGACGTCTAGTTCTTTGACCTTGCACTTCAAGCTAAAGTACCTGAGGGCGGGCATTTTTTCCGGCAGTTTATCACAGAAATCAGTCCATATTTTTAGCATTGTGCGATGATATGAGCCGGTTAATTTGAGGTTCCGGGTTGCTGGATAACCCAGGTTCAGATGCAGATGTCTGATGTGCTTCAGACCCCATCTCGTGGCCGCCTTGAAGACGTTAAAATCTTGCCGACCGAGGAGGGTCATGCTAAAGAGGTTTCGTGCGAAGAAGAGAGTTGCAATCTCCTCGCGGGCCGCTCGCGAAGCTCGGAATATCGCGACAGGCAGTGGAGGATGGCCGCAGATTTCATGATAAGGAGACAGCCATTTTTCCGTGTAAGTCGATCGAGACATACGTACGCCGTTGGTGTTGGTGCATGACCGAATGCTATTGGGATAGTTGAACCGATAACCTTCAGTACCAAATTCGACGGGGCAGGGCCTTAGCAGCGAAGCATACTCCAGTATCTTGATCTTGACGTTCTCCGGCAAGTCAAAGAATGTAATGCCGCTCTGTGAAACTCGCATAGGGTCTCCAAGTTCCATGGAGGCCTCTCTTAGGTCTCCGAGCTCTACAGATGGTTCTCTTTGTACATGGTCCGTATCCGGTCGAGGATCATCGATGTCTATGGCCATCAAATGAAGAACATTGTGTTCATCCTCCAGCCACTCGAAGTCCATGAGGCCCTAAAAAAGACAAGCGACTGCATGAGTTAGCCTTGATTTCTCTCAATAGAGAATGCGTTGCGAAGGATGCAAGCTCAAGAACGTACGCGTGTTGGCAGTGGAGTTTAGATCCGAAGACGACGGGAAGGAAGCGCTGACGGAGGAGAAATGCAGTTAAGGGTGGCTGCAGAATTGAACCAGAGAGATCGCTTGAAAGCACCACAAGGAATGTCTAAAAGACTAAACTGGCTAAGACAGCTCTTTTGAGTAGAAAGGGTGGCTGAAGACAAGTGTGGATGGAATTGTGGAGTGAGAAAGGACGCAGTCAATGCTTGAGGATGTGGTTGAAGAAAATCAAAACAATCCCATGGACCACTCCAAAATGTGCTCATCCACATGTCTGGAACCTGCAGGAACCTACTCCGCCTCGATTTTGATTTTCGGCTCTCCAGTTAATGAGAAGGTTTCAGTGTGAATTTCCTCCTTCTTAGGCAGGCCTCGACTGCTGTTTTTGGGGACCATGCCTTTGATTTCACTCTTGCAGAGCTTTGTCCCTGCGAGGTCACAGTCACCACATCTCCGGCCCACTGGTAAGCAGACCGTCTGACCCAATCCTACAAGCAGTTTATTAATCTCGTGCCATCTGTCTTTGGGTAGCCACGATTCCAACGCCATGCGAGTCTCTTCCGGTGTTTTGGTTTTATGCCAACCCCAAAGATTAGTTATTCGATGAACGTGCACATCAACACCGATTCCCTCATGTTTTCCCCAAGCAGCGCTCATACACAGAAACGCCATTTTCGGACCGACACCGGGTAGCTTCATCAGCTCCGCGGGGGTCGAAGGGATGTCGGAGTTGTACTGGTCACGGATAATCTCGGCGGTTTTCTTGATATACTTGGTCTTGTTATTGTGGAAACCGACGGCGCCAATAATCGAGTTGAGCCGTTCTGGAGAGACAGCAAGAATATTCTCCAAGTTCAATGTGCTATCGTGAAGAGGCTGGGCTGGTGGTACACCATTTGCCACTTCCTGCTTGATAGCTGGCTCACCATCTCCTACTTCTTGCTTGACAGCTAATTCGCCGAATTCCGCTTCGACCTTGATAGCGGGAGCACCAGCTTCGCCCAGCTCAGTATGCAAACGCTGCATCGCCACGGCGGTGACTGTGTCTTTGGTCTGGGAGGACAACATCAACGCAATCAGAGTCTGGAAGCGTTTATCCCGTTGAGAAGAAGCCCGCCAGTAGAGCTCTGCACAGCCCATCGTATCTACAGGCGCCGTCGGATTGGCTTCGCGCATCTTCTTCACAATTGAGTAGATGGTGTCCCAGTTTGACGGAGCTTCCACGGTGACAGTCCCATCTTCACTTTTGATCTTTCTTGCAGGGACCCGACGAGCTTTAGGAAGAGCGCTCTCCTTCTTGATGAGCTTTTCGACCTTCCTTTCGGATTCTCTCACTGAGGTACTCGCGGTTGCCTCGGCAGCAGCACTTGCTTTTGTCTTGCGTCGTTTTGCTGACCGTTCATCCAAAATATCTTCAATGTCGACGGTGTCAATCGAAGAAAGGGAAGAACTGTCATCATCTTTTTTGAGGAGCTCATTGGCTCCATTTAAACTCCCATCATACGCGAAACCCTGGAGCAAGGCGGAATGAGACGTGCTGCGCGTTTGACGACGGGCAGGGGGCGACAAAGCCTGTAGAACTTTGGCCGTCTCCTTAGCCGTGCGAGAGGTGCGCATCGCTTGAGTTTCGATTGACTGTAGGATAAACGAAGCAAATGTACTGGATGCACATGAACTGAAGTAGAAGAATGGATATATTAAAGATCGACGAAAAATTCCAGGGGCGAATGAAGAATCAGGCCTTACACATGGCTCGGGCCCGACCGCGGGAGCTTTCTGGAGAGACGGGACCTGGCTGACCCACCCGATTCAAGCCTCGGCCAGGCGTTCCATCAGCCATCTGCCGCACCGCTCTTCATCTCGTCCGCAAGTCCGCAGCTCAAGGCACTCAACTCCCATCCACTAACTCACCTCGCGCTCACTTCTCCCCAAAATCGATCCCATCCATCAACCTCTTTACACCCTTCCCGTTCCGCCGACCGCGACCTCGACCCGATCAACCACACAATGCCCCCCTCATCAACAACGCAACGCCTCCTCCGCGAACTAAAAGAATACACCACCTCCCCCAACGAAGCCCTCCTCCACCTCGGCCCAACAAGCGACGACGACCTCTTCCACTGGGAAGCCGTGCTAAAAGGCGTAAAAGGCACGCCGTACGAAGGTCCGCCTACACCCCCAAACACAACCGCCCATCCAACCCAGCCTCCACTGCCTCACTAACATCCGGAGCCTCCGCGCATACAGACGGCCTCTGGTCCCTCAGCATCGCAATCCCACCCACATACCCCCTATCCCCACCGACAATCCACTTCGTGACGAAAATCAGCCACCCGAACATCTCCTTCACGACGGGCGAAATCTGCCTTACGCTGTTGACGAGCGAGCACTGGAGCCCCGTTTACACGTTGTCGAGCACGCTCACGGCGATCCACCAGCTGCTTACGGATCCGCAACCGGATTCGCCTTTGAATGTGGATGTTGCGGCGTTGTTGAGGGATGGGGATACGCCGGCTTGGGAGAGTGTGGTGAGGTATTATACGAGGGAGGAGAGGTGGAGGGGGAGGGTTTGAGGTCTGTTGATATCGCTGAGAGGTGGATGGGATAAGGGATTGGGAAGTCGTTTGATTGGTCTAGAGTGAATAGGCGGATGGGGAGATGGGGAGACCCTGTTTAAGCTTCGAGGGAAGAAGGTGATGAGCACTGGGTTGCACAGCTGTATACATTTTTGGCTGGCGCTTGGTGGCAGGTATATATCATGCAGTGATGACTCTTGTTGTTGCTTGCTCTGCGAGCTCTTCTGCGAGCTATTTGTTGATATCAGTCGCCATATATTTCTTTTCGTACTTACATACCCTAACACGAAAAGATATCACACTTTCTAAGCTTACGCATTTACTATTCTACACCGGAAAGATCTTGCTTGGTCATAAACCATGGATTGACTATTTAATAAGTAACCCACTCCACAGATCCCGTCTAAATATGCGCACGCTAGAAGTAAATCAGATAGATAGATGGACAGACATGTCCAGGTTTTCGAACCGCGAACAGTGATCCGTATGAGCAGGACAAACGCCAAGTCCAAGCCTGGACCGAGGGCTAAGTGAGTAACAAAAGCAGGTCACCGCGGAGTCTATTTATGCAAGGAAGGTATCGGGTGAGCGTAACGGCGTGATTAGGATAAAACATAACGGATGCGATGTGAACAAAACGCCGGCAATGCAAGGCTTGGCTGATATATGAAAAGAGCGAATTTGGTTGGGTATAGTCGTAGCGAGCGTCGTTGGTGTAGGTCCGGGTGACCGAGATTAAGATTAATTATGTATGACTTTTGATGTTCAGAGGACGGCAACAGCGATAGCGGCACCGCCCATCATGGCAAACAGCTCATTGACATAGGCGGAAGAAGCGCCGTTGGTCTGCAGTCCTGGCTCAGAACCCGTTGTGGTGGCTTCGTCCGTGGACGACTGAGTCGGGTGGACGACGGCCGTTTCGGTAACCGTTACCAGTACGCCGTCAGCGTTGGTCGAGGTTCTCGTGATCGTGGTGGAGGTCTCGGTGGCGGAGCTGGTTGAGGCGGTTGTGGTAGGTTCGTCTGAAGGGGTCGTAGAGCTCTCCTCCGTCGTGGTAGACGTTTCGGTTGTGGTGGAAGATGGTTCCTCGGTAGAAGACGTGCTTGTCTCGCTCTCAGTTGTAGAGGTGGGCTGGTCCGATGTGGTAGTAGTCTCAGAGGTCTCGGTGGAGGAAGCAGTTTCGGAGGTAGAGGTATCGGAAGAGGTAGTAGGATCTGCGGTGGTCGTGGGCTCCTCACTTGAAGATGAGGTGGACGTGGCGGTCGTTTCCGTTGAGGTGGGCTCAGTCGTCGATGTAGGCTCGGTCTCGGAGGAGGTCTCGGAGGAGGTATCAGAGGTAGACGTCTCAGAGGTAGACGTAGGATCGGAAGTCTCGGTGGTCTCGGTGGTCTCCGTTGTAGTTGGTGCATCGGTCACTGTCTCACTGGCGCCAGGCGAAGTGTCCTGCCGCTTGACGAAGCTCAAGCCATGCGCCATTGCGAAATCGCGGTCTTTAAGGTCTGGACGGGCAGTTCGGAGTTTCTCAGCGAGGCTGTGGATGATTTTCTCGTCGACATGCTCAACGACTTCACGGACTTCAATTCGAGAGATAGTGCCTCTGGGCCTTTCCGGAGCTGGAGCTGCGAGGGTAGACGACGCAAGCAGGGAAACGCAAAGGAGCTGCACGATCCGGCTCATGACTGCCATGGTGTTCGATGTGCTGGTTGACTTGACGGAGGTGACTGTGATTGAACGGCGATGGCGAGTTGGAGGAGATTGCTGGGTATGGGAGAGTAGAAGTAGAAAAGTTTGCAGGAACCAGGAACGGCGAGACGTCAAGCTCAAAAACAAGAAAGCAGTTTGCCTGACGTTTAAACTTGATCGGCTTTACAAACAGCTCCACTTGGTGTCAATATCGGTAGCTGCGATGGGCCAATGGCAGCTCGTTACTAGAGTAGGAGCAGACGGATCTGAAGCGTGAAGGGAGGACAGAAGTCAAACACAGTGAACACAGCTTTGAGAAACCAACAGCGAAGGACCACCTATTTAATTATAGCGCGTCCAACGCATCAACCGGCATTTGCATCCTCAAAGATTGTGTCAGACTAAAAAGCCGAAACTGAATGTTGAAGCGAAGCAGACGGGGCACGATGATAGGTGGCCCGGCGACCCAGCTGGCGAACTTTTGAAAACGGTGGAGTGGGCGGTGCTCGACTGCCGTGACCAAGCTTCGGGTCAGCAGATAGTGAGATACCGGTAGGAAACAGATGATCTGATTTGTAGCTAGAATGGCATGTTCTCCTCCGAATCGTCCTCCGTAGACGGACGCGCGGGGTGATTTGTTTACGCCCCAACTACTGTTCGTATCTTGAATCCTTCTGGAAGCATGACAGTCCATTTCCATGCCAGTGTCACTTTTCACCACTCCTGAGGCTCAGTGGCAAACCGGCAAAGATTGAATACGAGCCAAACGCCCACACTTCCTTATTGAGCTGAGCTCCGACAACAATCAGGCTATCCACCCCGCTCTACAAAAATAGTTGACTTTGTTGATCCAGGGATATGAGTATGACGCAGTAACTCAATCACTTCCATGGATGCCTCTCACAATTCATGGTTCCGCAGCCAGGCACTTTGAGTGCTCTGGTTGATTGGTTCCAAGCAAAAACTCTTCGGTCAAGCTCAATCTCTTCCAAGCCTATTCCGACAAAGACCGTCTTCAGCTTACTCTCGACGCTGTTGTTTAATCCTCCCTTAAGCTTCGGGAACCGGGAGCGGAAGGAGGCCGGCAACACCTGGACACCTATACGGAGTAGGCTTAGGCTATAACCGTACTCGTGGAGCCTGAATCTATTCTTGGCACTCTCCCAAGGCTATCATTGGCTGCGACTCAGTGTTCTAGTAAGCTAGCTCGGACCTGGCCTAGCGCAAACGCCCACCTCCAGGGAGTCCAGGCTCCGACGACTTGGACTGCTGAACAGCTTCAAGAACCAAGCCATCATCATCCCGACTGATCAACGATGGGGTGCCCAAACTTAGCACATGTGACACAGCGACGTTTATCCCCTCACGCACATTACGTCAAGACTAAGGGTTCTATGAATAGCTGACTCGGTGAGACAAGCTCTTCATTAGCCTCCGCTCCTGTACACCTTGTTGCTACCCCAAAGTTGTGCCGATGTCTACTCAAGCATGTGGCGTACCACCAATGCCGAATTGCTGACTCTACAGAAACAAGAGTGCTTTCAACTGGCGCCCATTGAGACTGATGATTGGTCTGGTAACTGAGATATCGTCCTACCGATAAAGATAGCGGCCTGGGGAACAATACAAGACGAAGGAAGCCTCAATCATTATCCCGGCAACAGATAGGTCCAGACATCGATCATTCCGCCTCAAGTGGAGTCACAGGGTACTCAAACACCCCGACCCATTCACCCCAGCCCGCGACCTTTCCAAGGACCTCTTTTTGTAGTTCGTCATAGGTTGCCAAGGGGCTCATCGCATCCGTATCAATCGAGTCGTTCAATGCGATGAGCTCAAAGAAGTAGCGATGGGGGCCGTTGCCGAAGGATGGAGTCGGCGGCACATAAACCGTGTCGTGCGTATTCTTTCCGTACTTGAAGCCACCGCGAAGCATGTACGGTTCCCAGCTGGCAGGGTTTATGCGGAAATCGGGGCTTTGCACTCCAGTCTTATCGCGCGAGAGCCGGTAGTATATTCCGTGAACGACAGGGTCGGGAATTGGCGCATCTGGGTCCTCGCTGATGAGAACATATTCCACGGTATCGTCCGTGGGGGAAGGCCACGCCAGGGCTGGGACAAGGCCGGCTCCCTCTGACGTGTGGTCCCTGTCAATGTAGGTACCCGACCGACCAAGCTCGGGGCATTCTATCGCAATCGTGGGAAAGGGATGGTCGGCGAACGCTGGTGAGCTAGTGAAGAGTTTGGAATGCCGCCATGCGCTGGCGCCAGCAACGAGCAGAAGGCAACCGGCTGCACGGTGGAGGGAACGCATCTATCATTGTCAGTTGGGTACTTTCTCGGTTGATTTGCCCTCGCTCACCGTGTAGGATGAAGATGCCTTTCTCAGCAGCTGGATAAAGCGTCTGGCCGGGAAAATGATAGAGCTTTGAGGATGGATGAGGAGCGCAGAGGTCACAGAGTCTGGATTCCGGCGTTGTACTCGCTCGAGCTTACAGACAACGCCCAAACAGGAAGGGACGAAGTTATAACCAGCACTTAGTGGATATGCATCCTGGGAAGGAGCCGGGGATAGCACCGGAGATTGCGTTACCGTTAGATTTTCGGCGTAAAGTCCTCCCCGAGGTCTCAAGCCGTTCAGATCGAGCGATCTAGACTCGCTTGTTCAATGTCGGCCATTGTCGGCCACGGTCATTTACCAGAGCTCAAACCCTTCTGAGAAGCCAGCATTACCGAAGAGTTCTTCCAAAACAGATGGATCTATGTCCAGGCTGCCCAGGTCCTCTGGGATACTTGGGAATTCTGGAGCGACCATACTACTGTTGCTCTCTGCCGCGCCAATTCTTTCGAGTAACTCGGAGCACTGGGCCAGGCAGTTATCCGCAAGGTCCCAGTCAAAATTCTGGCGATGGGACTGCAGGGCATTGATCATCTCTCGGGCAGTCTTGAGCGGCGTGTTGCGGGCATAGTTCCTCATCCGCAGGCCACTACGGAGCAGAAACATGGTAGCGCTCGTGAGAGAGAAAGCATGGACTGGAATCCAGAACCCCCTGAACTGACTCTCGTCTAGCTCCTGCACGAGATAGACGATTTCCTCTGCCGCTCTCTGAGCATCCATATAAAATGGAGATGCGAGATCGTCTTCGATCTGAAGGGTTCTCTTGCTCATATTGAGCTGAAGGCGACGAAGCAGAAGCTTAACAGACAGGTAGGCCAATCGGAAATTTGCAGCGCCAGGAATATCCAGGTTGATGCCTCGGAGCACTAGGTGGCGCACCTCATCGCTCAAAGACTCCTCCCAGTCCCGGAGGATCTGCTCCAAATCCATCTCAGACATGTTGCTAGACTGTGGAAAGTCTCTCGACACGCGGTAAACATGCTCCAGATAGCGTGCGAGCACGTCAGTCAAGGTCACCAAAGCCACAAAGACAGATGCAGCAGATCTATCATTGGTCGCATCAGGGTTGGGGCAGATATCGTCGACAGACGGCAATGGCACGTCGTACTGCGCGCGGTGCACCTGCAAAGGTGTTCCATATGCCAGACTGCACCTGCTTCAGGTTAGTCCGAGCAACGAATGGTCCTGGAAGCGCCCTACCAGCGATCATGTATGAGTACGAGCCACCAGATCCTTATCCTTAAACTTTTCTCCAGGGGCGATATGCTCCAGCTAGACGGATCCCGGTTGAGTCCCAAGGCATTGGACAGCGCAACAGCCATACCAACCATGCCTCCATTCCCAAACATCGATGTGCTTGGTCTGCCATTGACGTTGATGAGGATGGCCATTATTGATGAGAGTCCAGGCGATAAAAACAGTTCAGAATGGAGAGCTTCATTGGCTTGGTTCCAGATATAGCGGATGTCGGGAGTACGACCGCAAGACAACCTGCGAGAGCTTTTCCAGTACACGAGAGAGTTGGCGTACAGGTTACAGAGGAGGGCTGGAGAGATCTTTTCTTTGTGAGAGGAATAGGAGCTTCGGAATGAGGCTTCATCAAAGAGCGGGAAACATGGATTAGCCTTGAGAAAAAAGCTGAAGCTGGTCAACAACCTTGGAAGGGTACAACCGCTACAAAGAGGCTACTCACAGGTTCAGATACTCGTCAATATCGGGATCCATATACTTTTCGACAAGCTCACATTTTGAGGCAGCGAAAGACTGATTCGCCACGACGCCTAATGGCCGCCTGGGCACAACGTTGAACCTCACTGGGCCGATATGTCGGATTGAACCAGAGCCCGTGGGGACCATACACCTCTTCTGGGCGAAGGGGATCGCCGAAAGATAACTTTCCAGTATATCGTTGTCATCTGCGACCGCAGGGCTAATGATATGAGAGCTATCGTCCTCTGCTTCTGTGACAATGCCCATGAGAGGAGAGAAATCTCCCGTCCTGCTTTCAGGGGCGGCGGCGTGGGGGACATCTTGGCCGGTGCGCGGTAGCTGCGGAGGACCAGTCGTACCCACAGGTATCTGCGGTTGGGGATCCATAGACCGCTGGGTGCCTCGGCTGGCAGCTGTACCTGCAGGAGATTGACCGGGACATGGTCTGTTGTGCACGCGTGCATTAGGAGCCACCCTCCGCGGCCAACTTTTCTGCTGTCGGGGCACTCGAGGGTCGTCTGGTCGCGGGAAAACGCACTCGGTACCATACGCCTGGCACATGGCACATATTTCGGCTGGGCTCCTCGTCTTGCAGCGAGACTTGCGTTTTCTGCATGATAAGCAGGCAGGGTGGAGGTGAGACCGGTATGGCCTCCCTTCGGGCTGAGTGCTGGACTGGTCTTCCATCTTAGAACACTGTTGATGGGAACAAGCAGAATTCCCCGGGGAGGCTATGGAAACCCCTCACGTAAGCTTTGAGCTTTATCTCTTGCCTAGAGGCAATTCCGAGGTCAACCGGCAAGAGGTAGGTTGATAGAAGAAAGCACCAGTGACGGTGATAAAAGTTGGCCGCGGCCAAGTGGTGGGGACATCCCCGTGCCCTTATTGGCCAAAGCTCTTATCAGCTCTTATCAGCTGGATCCACTTGCCCGCGGGCACTCTTGAGGTTGTCCGCGGGTGTTGAGGAGTATGGATGAGGGGCCTTTTCAATGTGTTGGTATTTAAGCCATCATGGCTCTGACCTTATCTGACTCTATACAAGCGCTCATCTGCCCATCCCCCTCTATCATCTGATGTCTCTCTCCATCGTCAAAATGGGCTCCATTGGCAACGTTGACGCCTTCTTCGCAAAGGCTGACAAGTATCTCATGAGCACTGGAGTGCCATACTCTCCTCTCGTTATCACCAGGGCGAACGGCACTCGGCTTTACACCCAAGATGGCCGGTCAATCCTCGACTTCACATCCGGCCAAATGAGCTCGCTCCTCGGCCACTCACACCCGGAGATCGTCGAGGTCGTGAAGCACCATGTCGCCGAGCTCGATCACCTCCTCAGCAACATGATCACCTACCCTGTGGTCGACCTCGCTGAACGACTGGCACGCTTCCTCCCCGCTCCTCTAGAGAAGTCCTTCTTCCTCAACACCGGATCCGAATCCACCGAAGCCGCCATCAAGATGGCCAAAGTCTACACCGGCAAATTCGAAGTCATCGCCTTCGCCGCCAGCTACCACGGCCTCACTCAGGGCGCCGGCTCCGCCACATACTCCGCCGGTCGTCGAAGAGGCGGTCCCGTCATGCCTGGAGCCCTTGCTTTCCCCGCTCCCTACGGGTACCGCTCACCCTTCAAGAAGGCTGATGGTTCCTACGACTGGGAGGCCGAGATGGATTTTGGTTGGTCCATGATCGACCGCCAGAGCGTCGGTTCAATCGCCGCATTCATCATGGAGCCGATTCTCTCCACCGGCGGGATCCTCGACCCGCCAAAGGGCTACTTCAAGCGCATGGTTGAAGAGTGCCGCAAGCGCGACATCCTCGTTATCATGGACGAGGCCCAAACCGGCGTCGGCCGAACAGGCCAGATGTTCGCCTTTGAGTACGACGAGATCGTCCCCGACATTCTCGCTCTCTCTAAAACGCTTGGCTGCGGTCTTCCCCTCGCGTCTGTCAGCACAACCGCCGAGATCGAAAAGGGCTGCAAGGAAGCCGGCTTCCTCTGGCTCACCACTCACCTCAACGACCCTCTCACCGCCGCCGTCGGCAACAAGGTCCTCGAGATTGTGGAGCGCGAGAACGTCTGCCAGCGCGCTGCCGAGCGCGGCGCCCAGCTCCATGCGGGTCTCGTCAGACTGCAGAAGAAGTACTGGTGCATTGGCGACATCCGTGGACGTGGTCTGCTGAGGGGTCTAGAGGTTATCTCGGACCCTGAAACCCGTGCTCCTGGTCCTGAGCTCGGCCAGGCCGTCTCGGACCAGGCCATGGCGCGTGGTCTCTCTTGCAACATCGTCAGCCTGCCCGGTATGGGCGGCGTTTTCCGTCTTGCCCCGCCGGTTACTGTTACTCCGGAGGAGATTGAGGAGGGTCTGGCGATTCTGGACGAGGCGTTTGGGTATGTGTTGAAGACGCGGTCTGCTTAGGTCTTTGATTTGCATCTTGCATCTGGGGTTAGGGGTTATTCTGCATTCATGATGTTACGGTACGAAATACTCGGATGGATCAGGTTGTTTACAAAAGGTCTTGGTCTGGCCACCGCCAGCTTATAATTGTATACATTCTTCTATTATAAACTTCTTCTACCCTACACCAAGGACTTTTGAAACGGCCTCGATGCCTCGTAGAAAGGCTAGTTATCACAACATAACCATCCAGGCGATCCACTCCAAAGCCATCAGGCTACATCACGCTCTTCAACCAGCGACGATACGCCACGTAAGAGCCATCGAAGGAAATAAGTACCCCAGCCACAGAGGAGCATCACAAGACCACGTCCGTCGCAACAGCAGGTCCCTTGGCACATGCGTATACGCATATGCAAATGGACATGGATATGGATGCTGATAAAAGCAAACTGAATAATCGGATGGGTATCTACATACAACTATCCAAGCTATCCAAGAGGAGAAACTACAGATTAATCGTAAAAATAGACGCCCGTGGGAGAAAAGAATGGAGGGAGCAGAGCGAGGAAAAGGTAGGTTTTTATGCCTTGGTTGTTGAAGGTTCGATTACCAATTCTTGCCTGCGGGCGTGAGGTCCGGGCATGTTCGAAGGTTCTCCTGGGATCTATATTGTAGGGCTGATCTGATCTAAGCATACATCCAGAGGTTGATCAAATAGGTTCGCAAGATGGGCCTGGGACTCTCGTACGGTAGAGGGCTCATCAGCCATCGAATATCTCTTTCTCATTCCTCGTCCCAACCACATCGGATCATCGAATTCCATCTCAAACTCCACTAATTCCATCAAACCTCATCTCATCGTCAATAATGGCTCGTACCAAGCAGACTGCCCGTAAGTATCTATCCCCTGCTTATCGTGTTCATCGAAGTAAGTATAATCCACCATCTATCCCTACGCACAGCACCGGTGTAAGCTCGAGCCAGAGGCGTACCCAGCATAGTGTAGCGATCGATGGCAAGATTGGTAAGCAATGATGCCTTGAGCGGTTCCGGTCATTTCCGGACTGCTGCAATGACTTCGCAAGGAAGCTTGCTACCTGTAACAGTCATAACAAGCAGGGCGGCGTGGTCTGGCGAGACTGAACCGAACCTGAGCCTGAGCCTGAGCAGAGGCGAGCACAGGCCTTGATATCTTGTCCATGGTCCAATCGAGAAGCAAACTCAACATGTGCTCCACAACCAAAGAAACTATCTATCTAGTCCTGTGCGGACAAGTCAAGCTAGCACCCTTATCCTAGACGCCGTCCTTCCTCGGTCAACGTTGGCCGCGGGAAGATAGCGCAGACACCTGCAGGCTCGGGGGAAGTATCAGGCTGTACTACAAGCTATTACATGCTGCTTGGTGGGATGGACTGGGTTGTATATATGTGACTGCAGACTTGAAGTACCCGGGACCCAGGGTACTGTCAAGGACATGGGTGAGTGGAGCCCTCAGTAGCGGCTCGGTCGATGCACTCTGGCTAGGGCACAGGTGTGCAGGTGGATAACAGGTATTCAGGTCCTTCGTACACCTTGAGCCATGTCTGAAGCCTTACCCTAAGGTATTCTTGGATTTGAACCTCACATCTACTCCTCAAGATACAACCCCTCGTCCGGCGGCGGAACCCCGTACCACCCCAGCCCCAACTTATCCTCGGGATCCGGATCCTCCATCTGATAGTACCCATCATACCGCCACCAGGTGCGATCCTCCCAGACATCCTCAACAGGGAGCACGCCCTCAGCCTTCATCTGATCCCTCACCTTCTCAATCTCCCCCCAGACCCTGAGCACATTCTCCCCCGCCACGAGAGCCAATTGCTCCTCCGTCGCGCCGCGATCAAGGATCGCCTTCAGGAGCCCAGGGTAACACTTCACGTCCTCCAGCCCCTTGATCACAGAGGCAATCCCGTCAAAGTCCGAGCCTAGCCCGACATATTCCCATCCAATGCGGGTTGCAATGTAGAAGAGATGGTCGAGGAGCATGTCCATGGTTGCCTCGCCGCGGCGATGGCAAACGTGCTCGGGGACAAATGTCACCATGATCAGGCCGCCGTTGGCTGGGACGCGGTCGATGATGTCGTCGGGGAGGTTGCGCGGGCAGTCGAAGACGGACTTCACGTTCGAGTGGGAGAACATTATGGGGGCGCGTGTGAGGTCGAGGACTTGGTGCGCGCAGGCTTCGGAGACGTGCGAACAGTCGATTATCATGCCGAGCCGGTTCATCTCGACGACGGCGGAGCGGCCCAGTTTTGAGAGGCCGCCGTGCACGGGGCCGACTTTTGAGGTCGAGCTGTCGGCGAAGGCGTTGTTGCAGACGTGGGTTAGGGTGCACTGGCATGATTAGAGACACGCTTGTCCATAAGGGCATGGTAGGACTTACGTATCGAACGCCTAGACGGTAGAACGCACGGATTATCCCGATGCTGTTCCCGGCCATGTGAAGTCTATAGCGCGACCACTGTTAACTCTCAATCGCTCCATGGCCTTCGCGTTCGTAATGAGGGTGCGTACCCTTCAATCCCAATCGAACAAGCGATCTTCCCCTCCTGATAGATCTTTTTGACATCTCCTGGCCCATTCACAAGCTGAAACACGTCCGGATACGACTCGACCAGTCGCAGCGTCAGATCAATCTGCTCGATTGCATCCCTCGCCATGTCCGAGTACTCCGGCGTCGAGAAGTTCTCGGCGGACCTCAGGCATGGTACGCAGACAGACCAGAATTGACCACCGACAGCGCCTGTACCGTTGTTAGCTCCATCGGCGTTCATAATGGTCAAACGAACTACGACTCACCCTCACGCAGTCGCGGAATATCCGTCATACCCCGCTCAAATCCCTTCTTGAGGTCGAACTTAGGATTGTTGTAGATCTTGCCTTTGGTGATGGCCCGCGGCTGTTGTGGGAGGTCATTGTGGCCGTCGATCAAGGGAGTGTTTAGAAGAACGCGTTTGACGCGCTCGTCAATGTCGAGGGTTTGGTATGGGTGATTTGAAGCCATGATGTGTAAGTACCGTATGAGACACAACTTCGAGCTTCCGGGCAGAATGAAGCGGGGAAGCTAGGTGATACAGACTCAAATACCTATCGAGTATCGGTGTTTCTCCAACTCATGGAGTAGCCCTCATTCTTATTGGGGTGGTGGATAACCATTTAGGCTGTAGAGGAGTTTGCCGCGCAATTGGCCTCGCCGAGGAGGACCACTCGGAGACGAGATAAGCATCTGGGGCGAGATAAGACATGGCATGAGTCGTTGGCTGGAAGATTCACCAGTTCCCGTGTTGGTAAAGTTGGGGTAGCGATTCTTCGGAAATCGTGATATGGTCCTGGCTCTTTATATGGGCCATGTCCGCCTCCGGCCCGACAGGGGTTACTCACCTCTGTCTCTTTGACCTATCCTCAAAGGCCAGAAGCAACATGTCGGTTCCTGCAAAAGGTATCATGGACATAAAGAACCTTGACACTGAAGACCATCCCACAGGGTTGGATCCTATGCCTACCAAAGGCTCAATCGAGACCACCAACATCGACGATGCCACAGCCAGCCGCCTGCGCTGGAAACTCGACCTCCGCCTCCTCCCGCTCCTGTGCATTACCTACGCATTGCAATCGATCGACAAGACGACCCTTTCCTATGCTGCAGTCTTCGGCCTCCAGGATGATCTGCATCTCAAGGGAACAGAGTACTCGTGGCTTGGGGCGATCTTCTACCTGGGGTATTTGGTGTGGGAGTTCCCGACCAATGTGATGTTGCAAAAGCTGCCAATCAATTACTTCATGGCGGGAACAGTGGGTGATCCATCCAAGTCGGGTGCCGACAACGTAGACGGTGCTAACACGACTGTCTAGGTGGTCATCTGGGGCGCAATCCTCATGTGCCATGGCGCTTCCACAAACTTCTCCGGCCAGGCAGCAGCACGGACATTCCTAGGCGCATTCGAGGCCTCGATTAACCCAGGAACCATGTTGATGTTCTCGATGTACTACTCGCGGCGCGAGCAGCCACTCCGCATGGGCATTTGGATTGGATCTGCTGGACTTGGGTATGTAATCGCAGGGATAGCGTCTTTCGGGATCGGTCATATCCATTCCGCAATTGCGAGTTGGAGAGTGCTCTATATCATCTGGGGCGCCATCACTGTTGCATGGGGAGTGATCTTGCTGATATTCTTGCCGGGCTCGCCGCTGAGGACGAAGTTCTTGAAGGACGGGGAAAGGGAGCTGGTCCTGGCTAGAGTTAAGGATAATGCAGCAGGCATTGAGAACAAGGAGTCCAAGTGGGGACAGTTCCGAGAGGCGATGATGGACGTCAAGACTTGGTTGTTGTTTTTGTTTGCGGTGACGAGTAACTCGCCGAATGGGGGGTTGACTTCGGTATGTTGTCACCTCTCTCTTGTGCAAGTGCTCAGAAGACTGACAACGTACAGTTCCAAGGTCTGATCATCAAAGGAATGGGATTCTCCACCTTGCAAACGACGCTCATCCAGATGCCTTCCGGTGGTGTGCAGCTCATCATCTGTCCTTTGGCCTGGTAAGCCTTCACCCACCTTTCTCAGCCTGTTATCCAAAATTAGTAATGACAGTCGACTCACAACGAGCAGCTTCTTCGCCACCCATTACCCCAATGCCCGACTTTTTACCATGCTCCTGTGCATAGTTCCATTCCTGGTCGGCGTCCTGGGCCTCTGGCTACTCCCCTCCTCAAATCCCTACGGCCGCCTTGTCTGTCTTTGGATATCCTTTGCATATACCGCCGCCTGGACGCTCTCCATGTCGGTAGCGACTGCCAACACGGCAGGTCACACCAAGAAGATCACCACCAACGCTTTGCTGATCATTGGCTACTGCTTGGGTAATTTTGTCGGTCCGTTCTTCTTCAAGACCGAACAAGCACCGAGGTACCCACTAGGAGTGGGAATGATGTTCTTCTGTATTGCAGCGCAAGTGATATGCCTGGTTGGGCTATGGGTATTGCTTTGGTGGCGGAATTCGAAGAGAAGTGTTGTTTGGAGCGAGCGAGGGGTTAGTGAGGGGAGTAGAACAGCGCTGGCATTCGAGAGGGGGATGTTGGATGAGACGGATTTTGAGAACGAGTATTTCCAGGTACGTGTGATGTCCTCCCCAGTGTAAATATGCGAGAGCTGACTGCTGCCTTAGTACGTGTATTAGATAGCTGCGATGTCGAACCTCGGTTTCCTTCTCCAGGCTTTCCTGTTGTGCGGTTCTCGCCTCGAATCAGTTATCAATTCTAAATGTGAGCAAGCTCCGTAATGCAAGGATTAGCGATGTTTCCGATCAAATGCTTCGTAACGGTAAGGACAAAGCTCCCTAGCTATCAGGCATGCCAAGTTTGCAAGTCACGATACATATTAGACAGAGTTTAGATGCGAATCAGAGCGTGAGTTAGGGTTAGCTTGGCGAGACACAGCATTCATGCCTCGATTCAGACAGTCTTTGGGTCCTAACTCAACCCTCGATCCAGATATTGTGATCCAGTAATCTGGGAACGTCGTTTCGATTTGTTCCTCGAACAGGTGCATCGGAGTAATACTTGATGAGGAGGTGATCAGAATTTGCTGCCAACTGCTAGACATTCGAGGTCACGGTGAATTCGCAGCCGAACACACTACTCCATAGTAGCCGCTTGGCCGTGGCCATTATTTGCCCTTCCTTACGCAGTGCAGAGCACGTTTGTACCTAAGTCAATTGCTCGAGGCGTGCATATATGCCTTGTTGAAACAAATCATCGTGTCCGGCAGACATGCTCCGTCGGAGTACGTAGATGTGACTGCAAGCGACGGTTCGCAGCCGCGGATTTTGCAGGTGCTCTTCCTGGCATTGTCTCTTGGCCCAAAAAGCCGAGCTTCATGGCATGCGAACCGCATAGGCAGAAAACTTTTTATACAAGATTGTAAATTGTAATAGCAATTGGCCTTAGCCAAAAGCTGCCAAGGGAAGCCGTCGGGCCCTTCGGATTCCAAGTGGAGCTGTGGCTTGAAAGCCTGCGATCTAGACCAACAACCTCACGATGAAACTTGCTCCAGGAAGTCTTGGACTCTTATTTCCCGAACACCAAGATTTGAATTGGAGCGCGACACGATCTAGACTTCGTGCCGGTGGAAGCCCGAATTCCCCATCTGCCAGATGGAGAGACATACCAAGTTGAACTTGACATCAGCTTCTTATTTTTGGTGAGACAGCCGGATACCGCGGTAAAAATCAAGGTAAAGGCACACGACGAACATGAACTCCGTATTTATGCGTTGTCGAGTTGTACAGAGTAACCTCTCGGCAATTTGCCACTGCTCAGTGCTAGGCAGTCTGGGCAATTCTGACTCGTGCATGGGATAAACAATGCGTTAATAATAACCAGGGACAAGATATAAATATCTCGGTGGACCATGGACACGTGATGGACCATCGTTTAAACCGTCAGGACTCTTCTACAGACTGTTGAGTTCTATGGCAAGCATTGAAGAGTATGCCCGGATGTCGGACTCTGTTTATAGATAGCTGAATAAGAGCGAGCTTCGAAGTGGTCGACGCAGGCTGGCATCATCGAGTATCGAACATCGCACTTGGAAGGGTCAGCCAGGGTAATCAGCCTGTTACAGGTAGGGTTGTACAATTTACCGTAAAGAATAATTCCTTACCCAAAATTGCTGACCGAGGTTCATTCATTACTGACGAAGTAATAAATCACGTGCTACAAAAGTGGGTCTAGCTTGGCGCTAAGCTTTTCTGCCAGCCAATAAAATGCTGGGATATTTTATACGGAGACGTGCACTAAAAGTTTCCGCACACGCTAGTAAGCTTTATGTAACTTTTAAATTTTTTTATATATAATTACCATAAAAACAAATTCCAAGGGTATATAAACTATACTAAAACTAAAGGTGCCCCCCCTAAAATTAAAAAAATAACCTAAAATTAAAAAAATAAAGTTATTTAAACACCTAATTATTATTATTTTTTAATAAAAAAAGGTTTTAATATATAAAAAGCTACCCTTTTACCTTATAGCCCTTTTAACTACATATATTTTAATTTTTATAAGCCTTTTAATACTTATTGCCTTTTTTATAGCAAATAACCTCTTAAATATATTAAACTAGCCTTTTAATTTAATATTAAATAGTTTTTTAAAAAAGCTTTTTTTAAGCTTTATACTAGGCTACTTTACTAGTTTTTTTATTTTAAGGCGCTGTCACACCCACGGGTGCCAAGCCCCGATAAGATAAGGAAACTAATAAAATAAGAGTTATGGTAACATTAACCTAACACGCAGTAATAATATTACTACTATTTTAATAGTATATTTAAGGCCAACACCCTAATAAAAAATAATTAGCTAAAAGTTAGTTTTTATATATTTTAGGCCTTAAAATTTAATATTAATTTTTTATTAAATAACCCTTTTAATATTTTATTTTATACCTAGTTAGCCTACTTAAGGTTTTTATAATTTTAACTTTTTTTTTAATTAACTACCTATAAAACATGTATTATGCCGCTAGTATACTTACACCTTATTTTTAAATAAGATTATTTTAATAGTTTTAGAAAAGGACCCTCCAATACTTAATAATCTTTTATTATTAAAATTATTAAAAGTACTATTATAAAAAACTATTAAAATACTTATAAAACGCTAGTAACCTAATAATTATAAGATATAAAAAAATATATTAAATATTTAAAAAATTAATTAGCTAAACATAATACATCTTTAAAGTAATATTAATATTAAAATAATTTGCTAAAAAATTATAGTAAAATTAAAAATAAAAATATACCTAAGTATAATTTTAATTTTAGCCTGTAGTAACACCTTAACTAGCTTAATACTTTAAAATTAAACTTTAAAAAAGTACCTAAAAAATATAAATTAAATTAATAGTAAATCCTAGGAGCTTTAACTATAATAAAATTAGTATATAAAAGTAACTAAATTTAACATGCTAATAAATTAAAGGGTATAAATAAGGAATACTAAGAATTTTTTTAGGAATATTTTAAAAAATAAACAGCTATAATCCTAAAAAGTTTAATAACTAGTTTACCTAATACTATAATTAAACTAAAGTTAGCTTATTAAAAAAAAAACCAAGATCCTAGGGACTTTGCTAATTATTTAATTATATTAAAATAATATTTTTTAAAAAATAATAAAAAAAATATAAATTTAACACTATTTTAGCAAGCTTTTACCTTTACTTTAAAATAAAATTTATAATCTTAATAATGTAAAACTCCTAAATACTAAAAAGTATTTAATTTAACTTACCTTATAGTATTAGTCTTATATATTATATTTATAACCTTATATTACCTTATATTATAATAAATAACTAAAACCCGCTAAATAAGAAAAAAACACCACTAATTTAAAAGGGAATTAACACGGATTTACCCGTGGTAGGGAAACCTAAAAAAAAAGTTATTTTATAAAATAAATTTTTAAAAAAAGTTATAATAAAATACCTGCGGGACAAGCTCCTAGTATAATAAAATTTTTTTAAAGTTACACTAAAATAATACTAAACTAGGATTAGTTAAAATTAACTTTTATAACATGTTTTAAGTGCGGAAAACCTGGTTATATTATACTTAATTATATAAAATTATTATAAAACCCTAACTTTTAACCAGTAAATCCTAATTGGACTGCTAAAGTTTATAAAATAATAATTAAAAACTTTTAAAATAAAGAATATTATAAAAAAAAGCAAGATAATTAGTAAAAAGGTAAGTATATAAATTAAAATAAAAGTAAAATATATAAAATAAAAAATAAAAAAAAGCTAAAATAAAGTCTTATGCCCCAGCTTAATATTTAAAAATAAAAATAGGTAAGTATTTTTAAATAAAAATAATAATAAAAGCTCCGCGGGACAAAATTAAAATTAGGGCAGACTTAAATATTAAAGTAAAGGTAAATATAATAAGTATAAAATTTATTAAGCATACTTATTTAAATTAAGTAAAACTTTCTTATCCTATTTTAAAGAAATACAGCGGTTAGCAAGATAATCTAAAAAAAATATAAAAAATACTTATTAAAGTTACTAATTTTAGGGGTATTATAAAAATATTTAAATAGCCTTATATAAAAATTAAGTAAACTAAAGTTAAATACCTAATTATTTTTTTTATTATAACTATTTAAGCCATGTATATTTATATAATAATAAATTAATAATAATTTAGTAACAAAGTAGCAAAATACTAAATTTTTAAATAATATAAGTTTATAAAGGCTTACAGGAATTAAGCTTATATATTTATTATTATTTTTTTACTTAAAAAAGTTTATAATAGCGGCAAGTTAGATTAAATAAATAATTTATTATTTAAACTTAATATATTTTAAGATATATTTTTTTATATAATATAAAAATAATATTTTTAAAGTTAGTATCTACACATAATATTATAATAATAAATAGCTAGTTACCTTTTTATAGGCTAATCTACCCTTTTTTACTTATTAAATTAGCCACGTTACGCCAGTATATTAATAAAAATATTTAATATAATTATATTAAACCTTTTAAAAATCCTGCCAGAGCACCTATTTTTTTTATACCTAAGAAAAATAAAGGCTTATAATTATATGTTAATTATTAAAGGTTAAATAAAATAATAGTTAAAAATTAATACCCTTTACCTTTTATTTTAAAAATTTTTAACTAAATCTTGGGAGCAACCCGCTACATTAAAGTTAATTTAAAAAATGCTTATTATTACATCCAGGTTTATAAAAAAGACTAGTAAAAAATAGCTTTTTAATATTAATATAATTACTATAAGTATATTATTATGCCTTTTAGTTTAACTAATGCTCCTGCCACTTTTTAAAGTTATATTTATTTTATAGTTTATAATATTTTAAATTAAATTTATATTATTTACCTTAATAATATTTTAATTTTTTTTATTAACCCCAAGCAATATGTTAAGTATATTAAACAAGTTTTTAAATAATTATATAAGGCTAAATTATTTATTAATTTAAAAAAATATACCTTTTTTAAAAAAAAGGTAGAATTCCTAGGTTTTATGGTTAATTAAAATAGTATTAAAATAAACCCAGAATAAGTAACTACCATAATCTTATAAAAAAAAACCTTATTTTTATAAAGCCTTGTAATTTTTTTTAGGTTTTA